GTTCTGAAACTGAAGTGTTAGTAACTGAAAGTTAGGGTCAAGTGATCATCAGAATATTTTTCAATTGATATTCTAAGAAATTGATACTTAGAGTTATCAAAAGTCATAATGATTTTGATGAATCAATTGAAAATCTCCTTCAATTAACTCACAGGGAATGGAGATTGAATTGCAAACTATTCAGACTTTTTCATCATTGAATAATCATCAATCTTATCATGTAAACTTTTCAATACCATCTGATTATGATGGTGATGATAAATTTACTTTAAAAGTCATGGAGAAAATGAAAAATATTCATCAAATTGAATCAACTGAATAATGAACTTTTTGTAAGTTTTATTATCAAGTGTAAATAGTCATGGAAAAAACTCTCTCTCTCTCTTAATAAATTATGAATTTTCCAATTCCATGAATAGTTTAAGAACTTTTTTCTCGTTCAACTTTCCATCTCATCCTTTATTTCCCACCATTGGATATACTTTTGATCGTTCATCATGTTTAATATAACTTAATTTTCATGGTTATTCAAGACAATCAACATTCACCTTGTTCACAAACTAATCCATAAATTACCTTGAATGACTTTAACCAAGGAAAAAAAGTAAATGGCTCAGTGATAATCATGATTAACATGATTACCATTTAATTTATTGATTTATTGGTTTCACTTGGAAACTATCATTTCCTTTATCTTCATTTCTGAGTATGAATAATAAACTAATTTATAAAATTTCATCTTCGTCTTCATCTTCATCTTAATTTTAACTTTTCATTGATTATCCTGATCATGTGACCTATTTAATAATTATCATGATGGAGATTCAAATCCAAACTCAGTCTCTAACAATTTAGGAATTTAAATTATTAACATTAATCATGATTTCCATTAGTTTCTCAGTCATCATGATCAAAGGCTGATTTTTGCATGATGATGATGATAAATTGTAATGAAATCACTTGTTTTCATTAAGGATGATGAAAGTTTCCCATTGAGACAAAAGAAAAGTGATAACAACGTTAATTGATTAAGAAATAATTACATGAATGTTGTAACAAAGATATCACCCAGAACTGGACATTAGATAATAGTGATGACCATCATGATTGAACTACTCAATGGATTGATTTTTTATCGTCATCATTTTCAGCAGTAAAGAGGAGGTGGCATCTCATTCCTGGATCAGAATCTTAATCAACTGAATATCGTATCATGTTTGAAGATGAATATAACCAAGGAAAAGATTGAGAAAAAAAAAGTTCTGAAAAATTCTGATAAAACAGAATGTGTTCTGAATGTTTATTCATGTGAAAATGATTGAAAACTTTGGTGATTTTATTGAAGAAAAAAAAATATATTAAGAAAATCATTTCTACATTATCATCATTGTCCAAACTTTGCTGACCCATTCAAACATGAATCACCAGCACCATCAACATCATCATGGTGACTCTCATGAAGATCAGTATATGAATAAAAAAAAACTATATTGAAATTCATGAGTTGATTTATCATAAGGAAATATGATAATAACAATCCTGAAGATGATGATAATCATCTGTTAATCAATTGTTTTCAAACAACATAATGATACTAATGATAATCATGAGGATGATTTCAAGTATATCAGTTTGATTACTCTCTGAAATCATCATGAAATTATCCCTCATGTAATAATATATAAATAATCTTAATGTTTCCTCTTCATGATACAACCAGAACTGATAATGTTTAATGTAATAATATTTATGACATGATTCATGTTTGACGTTAATTTGTTGACACACAGAAACTGATTTGATTGTGATTGCTTATTGATAATCATCATCAACTACCGTTATGATTAAAGATGACAGTATCATCATCATTATCATCACTTTTGATTGGAAACAATCAACCTGATGTAACATAACAGTAAAAGTTACTATTGTTATCCAATCATAATGATCACTATTCAGATAATATCATGAGATACTTGATTTCCTAAGGTTGATCTGATTAAGAGCATTCAGAGAATTCAACTTGTTTATGATTAGAACTTTTTTCTTCTTCTTCTTCTTCTCATTATTGATTAATGATGATGATGAACAATTATTAATGATGATTATCATTTGTTTCTTGTTCTTGGTGGATTCATGATTATTCATCATTCTGAATGGTGTTGGAGAAAATATTTCTCTTCTTCTACCTCCATGATTATGAGAAAATTCTGATAATGTTATTATCACATTTCTCTTGATGAATTTTCTGTTTCCTTTGCGAGTTTTTCTTCTTCGTCTTCTGATTGGAATGATTCAGACAAATATAATTCTAGAGAGTTATTAGTTTAGATTCAGTGGATCAGAGATGAAAGTTCATGTGGAAATGATTTTTATACTATTATCATGAAGATGATGGTGATTGTCAATCATTGGACAAAAAACCAAAAAGATTAGTGTTCAGTTGACCCATGATAATCTCTCGCTATTTAAGCTGTGATAATATCTTTCAACAATTGGTTGTTATTATTTACAACAAAAGGATTAAGTTAATTATTATTAACGATTTTCATGGGTTAATAATCAAACTTTGTGTCAACTCAGTGAATCTTATCAGATCTGAACCGTTCAACATTCAACTAAGAATCAATCAATCTTATATTGTACATCATAATATCTGTTCAATATTCACACTCCCAGAGTGGCCGATCAAATATTAATTGGAAAAAGAAATGAAGATAATCAAGAGTATTAATCGATATTATCTAATCTCTAATCTCATGTGTTCAGTTGATTGGAGATGTTAAATGCTATAAAATAAGATTAAGATACATTGATATTGGAAATATAAAAGTATTGTCGTTGTTAAGACTCAATTTGAATCGGAAATTTATATAAATCTTATTGTTTCTGTTCAATCAAATATGATAGATGAGTTTGGTGATTCGCCAGAAATTATTAAATCCTGAGTGGGTTGAGGTGGCGGTGGGTTATTATATTATACAGGGAGGAAGATTTTTATTTTATGGAAAATCATTGAAGCAGAATTTACATTGTGAGGTTAACTTTGATTATTTTTTACTCTTTCTCGCTGATCTTAGTAATCCTTTCATGTGGACTTCAATTTAAATCAGGGTACATTCATCATCTTCAATTACCACCCCCATAGTTGTCTCTCTCTCTCTCTCTATTTAGCATCCTCATCTCTCTTGTATCCATCATCTTCATCCTGGTGATGAAGATGATGTAACTTAATCCAAGTTGAAATGTACTTTGATATAGATTGAAAGGAGCGACTTTTACATCATCATAATCCTACTCATCTTTTGTTCATTCTGAACATCATGATGATGACATGAAACAACAAGAGGAAATTTTTTTTCCTCTCCAAATAACCCTGAAAATAAAAGTTCCAACACTGAAAAAGTAGCTTGAACAATTGTAGAAAGTTTTTTACTCCTTCGTATTTTATCAAAATTAATCAACCTCAAGATGTAATTAAAAACAATTTAATCTCTGAGTGGAAAATTAATCTCATCCTCATGCACCATGATGAGCTGAAGAAATTGTATTATATGTTATATATCCAGAATTCCAGAATTTTTCAAAGATTCTTCCGGAAAATTGTTTCGTTTCTATCTGTGAATACATTTAGCATGAGAATCTTGTGAACTTTTCATATGCTCATTCAAATGAGATGGGAAACAAAAAATTCTGATCCGATTGAGTTTCCAAAGTTTCCAGTTGTTGATTAACATTAAATCCAAATTGAGGAAATATTGAAAATCCAATTGACTCTGAATTTCTCTGGAATATAATATTTTTTCACTCAATCAATTTTGCATTAACATGAAAGATTGAGCAACTTACAGAATCCGGATTTCTTATTATATAATCTCTGATTTCCAGGAAAGAGATTCAAACTTTTCAGAATAACATTTTCCGCTACAATTTGAAAGATTCTTCTCATTATTTGAATGGATTAAAAACTGAATCAGAATTTACCTCATTCATTTTCATGGATAAAAACAAAATGATGTAAATCGAATTGTTAACTTTTTTTCTTTCTCTTTCATTTCAATATCCTGAATCTTCAGATATTTGCAAGTTCATGGTGACCTTAAATGTGAATACATGAAATAAACTTGAAGATGATGATGATAATCATATGATCAATAATGATCATGCTAAAAATAAGCTCAGACACTCAATCCCCTTCATCTTAATATATACACTTTATTATATCATCATCATTATCAATCTTAACCATTTCCCACTGTTTCCACCTCTCCTCCCACTCCCACTCCCATTCCCACTCCCAAATCCTTGACTAATGATTATACTTTATCCATTATGAGTATCAAATCCAATGTAATCAAGCCCAGCGATTGGTGAAAATCATTCATTGTAACAATTTACTGATAATCATCTTCATGATATCAACTATTTCTTGCTGATTAGTCAATAAATCAGTCAATCTCAGGGAGTTTTAGTAACCTAATCTTTATCTTTATCTTGTTTTTTTTTCTTACCCCTTGGATCTCACTGATTGTGATTCTGTTTTGACAATAATCATAATTATCCAGGAACAAAAACTAAATAAATAAATGAGAAAACAGCCAAATCCAAACAGTTACAATCACTTTCAATTAGTAATTGTTAATTTATCTCAACTTTGATTAACTTTGATTTTTGTGTCACTTTGATCAGTCAACGTACAATTTACATGCTGCTTGATTAATGATAATTGTTTGTCAACTCAATCAGCATATTGCTTGATACATATAATCGGATTCAATTTTCTTCCTATAAAATTACATTAACACTCTGATTACAGCAAAATTTATCCAATTACCATTGATAGTAACGTTCAAAAGTGTCACCTAAACCTTTACTTTTACAATTGGATTTGTACAAATGAAATTTGTTATTTGTTGGCCAATACAAACCCTTTAACTTTTCAATTAATTTGGATTATTATTAATTGTTACCTTTACTTTTATCACTCTCTCAATTCACAGATATGGTGATATGGTTCCTGCCACGATAACTGGTAAAATCGTAGGGGGTGTTTGCTCATTAAGTGGTGTCTTGGTCATCGCTCTTCCAGTTCCCGTTATTGTTTCCAACTTTTCAAGAATTTATCATCAAAATCAACGAGCAGATAAACGGAAGGCACAAAAGGTAATATTTTAGAAGAAAAAAAAAGTTCTATTTAATAAAAGAAAACACTAACACTTTGAATGTTCCAACTTCGATTCGTTCTTACATTTAGAAAGCACGAATGGCTCGTATTCGAATTGCCAAAGCCACTAGTGGAGCCGCTTTTGTCAACAAAAAGAAAGCAACTGAGGCTCGATTGGCGGCCGTTGAGTCAGGCCAAGAACTCGAAGATGGACCAGAAGATATTTTTGAATTACAACATCATCATTTACTTCGGTGTCTTGAGAAGACAACGGTAAGTTGATATTCTAAGTATGGTAACTTTTAGAATAGGGAAATGAGAAAGAAAAAAAAATTCTAATCCAATTCGAACTAAATTTGATTATTTAGGATCGTGAATTTGTTGAGCTTGATGTACCTTTTAATGGCCAGGCCAATAGGCCTTCATCACTTCCGCCCGAATCACCGTTACTACTCAAAGTGACCAGTATTGATTCAAGGAGAAATATTTTCACCTCTTGTTGTCGCAATTGTTTGGGAAGGAAAAGTTATCAGGTAAGAAAAAAAAAACAAATCTACAATATTATCATTCTAATTATATGATAATGATAATGATAATGTTTGAATCATCAACTGAATAACTTATTATCCTTTTGATTATAATCAATGCCAATTGAAATGCTAACCATGAAGTTGTTCAGTCTCAACCATGAAAATGGTGATCAAGAAAACAATAAGAATTGAAATCAAGAAGAAGTAAAAAAAATTCAATTTCAACAAAGACAAAAAAAGTTTTTCATTCATCACGTTTGTTTGATTTGATTCATCGCCATGATAATAATTTCCAATGAGTTTTAATTGTTCTCATTATCAAGATAATGATTAAAGTTAATTTATCAAAATATTTAGATCATGACCAATTCTAACTTGACAATCAGTTAATCAGTTGATAAGAAATGGTTAACAGCAATTAACTATAGTTATATGATCCCTTTTGAACAATTAAATTGATTATTTTAATTTTTCTCTATTTTTAATCAGAATTAATTTATTTAAAATAATAAATTCACCAGAAAAAAACAATTATTATTAATAATTTGCCACTAATCATAATAAAAGCATGTTAATTGTGCTCTTGATTTAATCATTATTTAAGGTATTATAATTACTAATTGTTAATCATGATGAAAAACTAAATTATATTTAATCAATGAGATAGCAACAAATGTTGATATTATTTAAATTACACCAAGAATATGATTAGTTAATTGTTGATAGGGAGAAAGGTTGAAAATTAATTTAGCAATTAATAGCAATTAAATAACAAACTATTATGAATATTAAAAGGTAATGATTGTTATTAACATGATTTAGTAATAATTGAATGTGTTAATCATTAGATTAACAAATTATTGTATCAAAAATTAAGTCTAGAAATTAATTGTAACCATAGGAACAGAAAATGAAACACAATAAATTGGTTGATGATCAGATCAACAATTTAAGGATAAATGATCACAATTAAAAACAATCGAAGGCACAATTTAGTAATGAAAAGCCTATTTTCCAATCATATTGAATATTTATTCAATTCCTGAACTTTTATCATGAAAATTTTTTTTTCTTTTCTCATTCCATTTGTTCAGGTTAATTTATCTCTGTGGTTTATTTTTTCTTTCATCATCATAGTCTGAAAATTCATCATGATTTTTCATGATGGATAAAAATTTCCCATGAGATGATTATAGTTTGTTGTCTGTTTGTTGATTTTTTTTTTCTATGGTTCAAGTTTTCAACTCAATTCGTGAACTGAATTTCCTATGGAGATAATTTTGATCTACCATGGAAACGATGATTATTATCTCACTTTCATGAATTCTAGTTGAATGATGACCAGGATGATGATCGTCATCATCATGATAGAAAAACAATCTTCCCCTTAAATTCAATCAATAGTAACAATTAAACATTAAAGTGGGTGATGAATGAATCAATAACCCTGGAAACGTTGAAACATTTACTCAATATCATCAGAATTCATGATAAGAAAAACAGAAGGGAAAAAATATATTAGATTATCATGGTTTCCATGATGAGTTTAATTTAACATGATTAGAGTTTGAATCTTGATCCTTGATTTATTTATCTTTTTGTTTCAAAGGAAATTAAATTTCCGCTTTAATTAGCGATTAAACTTCATCTTAATTAATGATTAGATTATCATTCTGATCATAATCAACAACATTGATAAAATCTATTCAATGTTTACCTTTTGAAGAAAACAAAACTTCATATTATAGACTGAAATTGCTACGACAATCAAAGTTAATCAATGATTAACAATTTAAATCATTCAACTAATTGTATTAAGAATTGTTAATTGTTAATGTAATTTGTTAATTTTATTTTTCGATTTGATTTTTCTTCCTCTCATTGTCAACAGAAACATCGAAGCTCAAATGAAAACGAGGAAGAGGAAGAGGAAATGAATGATATTCATAAAAGTAAACTAACCCTTGACCTGGAACCTAATCAATCAACTGAACCAATTCCTGATCATCATCATCATCGTCATCATCGTCATCATCCATCATCTTCATCCTCATCAACTCCAGCTAATCCAGGATCAGATGAACGGCCTGTTAATAGTAATAATAATAATTTAAATAATGTTAATAATAATCAACCTTGTGAATTAGGGACAACTGAACATTTATCGACACCCGATTCGATGAAGGATCTTGGTGAGACTTCATCTGAACGGACAGTTTCAGCCCATTCATCCGTTGAACCTGGACAATTAGTGACCGTTCGCATATCCACACTTTGATTTGATTCCAAATGAAAAGAAAAAGAAAAACAATTAAAACATTTACAAAGCAAAAACAATACAAACAATTAACTCTTTCAAATTGAAACAAACAAAGACAAATCAACCAAATAAACTCAATCGATATCTAAATTGTTACTTAATTACTGATAAAAGTCTTGTAAATTAACCAACGATTAATATCATCAAGTGATTAGTAATAATTTAATAATTTATTATATATAACCAATAGAGGTAAAAGCATTTATTGGTTATTGATTGTCAAACAATTAAGTTGATCAAACTTTTCAATCAACTGGACTAATTTTAACATCAAATAATTGAAAATTTAATTGTTTAGTTTGTTATGGAAAGTTGAACATTTCGAGTTAACAATTCAACGAAACTTGAAGTTTAACTTGAAACTTTTTTCGGGTTTTGTTGTTAATCAACTCAAGAAAATGTTTAATCACTTTGGTAATCAGAATAATCGATTATCAATCTAATTTAATTGCAAGTGATTAAATTGTTGTAAACAGTAAAACATGAACATGACTTCAAACAAACAACAATTTGATTTAATTGTTTCTGTTTTTATTTTCGCGCTATTTTATTTTCATCAATTTTAATTGAGACAAAAACAAACAAACAAATTGTTACAAATATAATAAACTTATTAATTAATCGTATGTATTATTATTATTACTTGATTAATTAACTAATTATGATTAATATCATATGATTGTTATGTAAAAATCATTCAAATCATTGGTTAAAATGATAATTAAAAACAAAACAATGTACATAACAATTAACCCTTAATGCGTAAAATTTGATATAGAAATTGAACAATCAGTTAATTGTTTACAGAGAATTAGATTGAATTAGATTCATCATTAATTGTTAACTACTTGGATCCAATATGGAAAGTTGATCAGTTTTGATCAATTGTTGGTGATTAATTGATTGTTTTGTGAATGATGATTGAGCTTTTTAAAATTGTCAGCTAATTTGTTAATCATTCAATTTAATTTGCAATTGTGCAAAGCTTTTCGCTTAATTTGTTAATTATCATTGGATTTTGATGATTCAGGTTAATTGTTTACTATTATAATTTCATCCTTTTCGATTGTTTTTCAGATTGATCAACAATTTAAGTCTAATTTCATGAGTCTCTTGAGATTTTTTTTTATTTGCAATTTGAATTGTTTTGCTATTCATTAGTTTTAATTGTTGTTTAATTGGTAGATTATTTCAATAGACATTTGATTGAAAATTTTATAATCAATTAGATGGACTGAAATAATTTAATTCTGTGATTAAGGCCACAGGTTGATCATTAAATACATAGAAAAAAAAGACTTTTTAACGAGAATAAAATTAATCCAATGATTAGTTAAGATGATTAGATTAAATGAAATAATGATTTTTAAATGAGACGTAATGAGTTTTATCTTGATCACTTCAATTTAGAAGTTTGTTTGATTCCAAATGGAGATTAGGATTCTTGAAAATATCTCGGATCGACATCGTAGTTAAAAGGTTCATGAAGTTCATCGTCATTGAAGATCAGTTTCCGTTCAAAGTATTTAGATGGAGTCGTGTCAAAATCTTGTTTCTTAATAAGGTCAAAGAATCCAGTTCCAATACGAATGGGCATTCCAGAGATGATCGATTCGGACACACCAAGAATCGGATCTTCTTGACTAAAATAAGCGGCATCGAACAAATGATCAGCTGTTTTCTCGAACTAAATAAACAAAATAGAAAAGAAAAACAATCAATGATTGATATTTAAGAGAGAAACGATAATGAAAAGTTAGTATAAATGAAGAAAATGATGATTACCGATGCGAGCATAAGAGCCGATTCTTTCATCTTTGCAAGACCGAACCTTGTAATTCCCAAGACTTCCCCTCGATAGGTCATAGTATCGGCAAGAAGCTTAAGATGACGAGAATCGATACTAATACCGTGATTTTCCATAGTAACTTTAATTTCTTTAATTATCGCAGCTCGAGCAGCTTCGATTCCAAGACAAGCGGCAATTTCCATGACATTGTTTGAATAGGAATGCCTTGGATCTACCCCATAAGTAGCCATCACATCTCGAAGTCCTTCACCTTCAATCATCAAATAATGTTTAGAATTCATGTTTTCACCTTCGATACGAATAGCAGCTCGTTTCAAGGTGGGTATTCCTTTCACCACAACTCCACAAATTGATTCACGTAATTGCCATAATTCAGATGGTGAACTGGAATAAACTTGAATCAAATTACGACCATGAATTTTGATACGATGAGATTGAATCTTAAGAGTTCTAGTGAGAATCATTGAAATCAAATGTACGTCAACCTCGAGCTGGAAAAGGAAAAGGAAATAAATCAAATATTAACATTAATTTTTGATAAACTTAATGATTCTAATTCTGTATGAGCATATGTTTACCTTTAATAATTTAATCCTGTCAATGTAAAGTTTTATGAGAATGAAACAATCATCAGGTAAAATGACTTCTTCGATAAATTCGCAAATTTGACCTAAAGTTGTTTTCTCGAGTCTCATTTTCACAGCTCGAGCCTCCTCGCCGTTCTTAGGGTCTAACAATGCTGCACGAATAACGGGCGTTGAAATTGTTTTATTGGCATTAATTAACTCTTTGATTCGAGGGACACCTTGAGTAATATTCATTGAAGCAACACCAGCAAAGTGAAAAGTTTTAAGTGTCATCTGAGTGGCAGGTTCACCAATAGATTGAGCACAAATTGCACCAACAGCGGTTCCCGGTTCTAATTTGGCACGAAGATATTTATCTTCACAGCAGGCCAGAAATTGCATTAATTGAGTTTCCGTTAATCGACCAACTTGACCATAAACTTGATCATAAACTTCCCGTTTAAATTGCATACGAAAATTAACCAATTTGGTGGCCAATTCTTTGATATAAAATGTTAATTCATTTTTAAATGAGTTCGAGATATTGTTTGACCAACGATCAATTTGCTCTCTCGACTTGGATACAATAGTTTCTGGATCAAGTGAGGGTTCAGTATCATTCGGGTGAGTTGTTGACACATGTAACATCATCCGATCAAAATTAACAGGCTTATCATTATCCTCCATGCAAGCTGGATCAAGGGAATCATCTCCATAGATAAATTGGATTACCTCTCCACGAGAATTACGTACTGATCCATCATAATGGGAGACAAGATCTTCCAATGCTTTAACTAATCGTCTCTGCATGTAACCAGTTTCAGCAGTTTTTACCGCAGTGTCCAGTAAACCCTCACGACCGGCCATTGTGTGGAAAAAAAATTCGGTAACCGTTAGTCCAGAATAAAAACTATTCTCAACAAATCCTTTAGCCAAAGGCGATTTATCCTTATAACCAAAATGTGGCAGTGATCTACCTCCAAATCCATCAGGTACTCGTCCACCTCTAATCGCTTGCTGACCAACACAGGCAACCATTTGTGATACATTGATAAGTGATCCTTTTGATCCTGACATCGCCATGATTAAGGCTGCATTGGTTGATGATAATTCTCTGAGACAACTTTTACCAGCATGATCACGAATAACAGATAATTCTTTAAGTATCATTGATTCCAGTGTTGCCTCATCAGATTGTCCAGGTAATCGTTCAAGTTTACCATCTCGTAGATCAGAAATGTATTCATTTACTTTACGATATCCTGTTGTTAGTAAATTTTTTTTAGATGAAAGTAAAAGCTCAGTGGGTGTAACATCTTCTAATCCAAGGGAGAAACCATGATTAGCAAGGTAATAACTTGTAACACGAGCTAATCTCCACATGGCCATACCAGCCTCGGATGGGCTAAGATCCCGCAACATTATATAAAATACATTGGTTTTACTTCCGGAACCAAGAGTAGCCTTATCCATGGTACCACAAAGGAGTTGACTGTTTCTTATGGTAACAACTATTGATGAGTAAATGAGAAAAAAAGTTATGGTGATTAATTATGATTGTTTATAATGGAATGGGAAGAAGAGGAGGAAAAATTGTTTATCGAACTTACATCCATCATTTGCACAAAACTCTTCATTTTTACCCGAATAATTTCTTGATTTAGTTCGTAAATCTAGACCAGGTTTACCATCTCGAAATGGTTTCAATATTAAACTGAATATTTGTTTACCACTCCAAAGGGGTTTAGGTTTAAATATACATGGATGAGGAAGGGTTATTTTTGATACCCCTTGTTTATCACCTAAAATTGTACTAATTAGTTGGCATGTTTTGGATCGGTCAAAAAATGAGTCTTTTTGTGTAAGTAAATAACCTCCGGTGATAAAATCTTGTATAGCAGCGATCAGTGGTTCACCATTTCTGGGTGTAATTATGTTCGATAAGATTCCCATTAAAATATATGCTTCGGCTTTGGCCTCTTCGGTTTGGAGTAAATGTAAATTCATCTCATCTCCGTCAAAATCTGCATTGTAAGGGGTACAGACACACTCGTTGAACTGGAAGGTTCGATGTTCATGAATTTTAGCCTAAAAACAGCAGAGAAAAAAAAAGAAAACAGAATAAAATTAACCATCAACAATTAGTCGATATTTAAACCTGTTCATGGAGAAGAGAGAGAAAAAAAGGAATTGGCCTGAATACATCAAGGCAAAAGTTCATTTTCATATTTCCCAGTTGAATGTTTATCGATTTCAAGTTCATCAATAATTTTTCTTTCTCTTCTTATTGATGATGATTATTTATTGATTATTGATAGAATACCTTATGTGACATGATACTGAGTTTATGAAGGGAGGGTTGACGGTTGAACATAACGACATCTCCGTCGTCCATGTGTCTTTCAATTACATCCCCGAATTTAAGGTCAGCGGCAATTTTCCTACGGTTAGCATATTTTAAAAATCTATAATCAGATGGGAGAAAAGAGAATTGAGTTAATTGTTTACACGGCAAGTTTCAAGATTGAATTTACACCGAGACTTACATTTTATTACCGGACTTTTTGTCCTCGATAAAATTAGCACCAGGATGTTCATCAGCTCCCCTTCTAACTAATTGTTTCATCTTGTTTATATTAGCGGGTGTCACTTTCTCTGGAAATGTTAAAATTTTGGCAATATGTTTGGGTACACCGACCTCGTCGATTTTTAAATTTGGATTTGGTGAAATTACACTTCGTGATGAAAAGTCAACCCGTTTACCGCTAAGGTTACCTCGAAATCGACCATGTTTACCTTTTAAACGTTGAACGAGTCCACGGCCCAGTTTTTTGGGTCTCATATTCATGGGGATACCTGAGGTTTCACTGTTGATATAAAGGGCGATTTGTAGTTGAAGAAATTCCCAAACTTCAATCAGCATTGCAATACTTGCACCACTTGATCGTCTTTTCTGTATCAAATCATTTACAACAATGATCTCACTCAATTTGATTGTTAAATCATCTTCATTTGATCCTGATTCTAGTTCATTGAGAACCGATGGTCGTATACATGAAGGAGGAACTGGAATTTTGGTTAGAATAAGATCAATTGGATCAAAATCTTTGATCAACAAGTAACAATAATCGTTGGTTGGAATTTCTTTGAATAAATTTTGTACACGAAGTGGATCTAAAAGCTCAGCTTTACATCGGCGAATATGTTCCTCCATTTCTTTGTTCTCTTCGATGAAACTTAACAATTCCGCTGAGAGATCTTCTTCCACGGTTTTATCCTTTCTACCTGTGGTTGGCTTAGGAATAAGATGAGCGATTTTATAGAGACCGGCCTTTTTAACTGTACCATTTGCAAGTCCACAAAAAGAACAGACTTTAACTTTTTTACATTTATCGCAAATTTGTTTGTGTAAACTTTTCTTCTCCAGGTAACTAAGTTCAGGTTTTCTCAGGTGGTTCATAAATTTAATCCGATCATCAGCTGAAAGAAGGACTCGAGCACATCTTTTACAAATTGTCTGTAAAATGGATAAGATGAAGCGAAAATATCCAACATGAAACACCGGCAGAACAAGATCAATATGACCAAAGTGACCGACACATTCTGCTAAACCATCACCACATGTTTCACATTTTTGTCCATTTTGACTTGTACCTAAAAGATAAAAATAAAACAAAACAATTCAATGAGAGTCCAAAATGAAAACAAAAGATTCTCTGAATTGGTGATTCGAAAGAGACTTGATCTTTCGGTTTCATCTATATTTTTTGCGAAATTCTCAGAGAATAGATCATTTTACTCACCGAGACGATGATCGAGGACACCATAAGCAGCTGATTTATTTTCTTGAGCTAATTGTATCATCGTACAGAGTTTTATTGACACATTGAATTTGACTTTGCTTTTGAATTTGAAACGAACTCGGGATACCAAAACATAGATGACTTATCTTCAAGCCTTGGCGACTTTCTCTATATTGTTCCTTTTCCATTGAAGAAAAAACAAATCAACAAGTGTTACAAATGAAAAGTTAATTGTGACAAATTATTCCGACATGATTTTAGAAAACAAATAAACAATTAACATTATTTACACTTACAAGTCAATCAAACATGTTAGTCGATCGCCATCTCCATCTATGGGTGAGAATAGTAACTAAAACATTTTCCTTTTTTAAAAGGAAACATTTTTTATTTCTTCATTTCCTCTTGTCATCTACAGTTGAAAGTTTAATTGGTGCAAATTGAATTTGTTTATTATTAAATTGTTTTCAATTGAAATGGACGAAGCCCACAGAACTGCCAAAGCCTGGAACGATCCACCACCAATGGCGGAAATGATGGCCAAATCAACAGGTGTGGGTAATATAGTGAAAAAATATCGCTATCCTTGTGATAATCATAATTCAAGTTCCCAACAACAACTTGTATCTTCAACACAACAACCTTATTTGTATCAATCTAGAAACAATTAAATGTTATCAAGTGATATTAATCATCAATTGGAATTTTTGTTTGTCGATTTGATTTTTCTTTCCTAATTGTCAACTGACCAACTGACAACTGTCAATTGTCCTATGGAAAGTTGAACATTTCGAGTTACCAATTTAACGAAACTTGAAGCTTTTTTTTCGGGTTTTGTTGTTAATCAACTCAAGAAAATGTTTAATCACTTTGGTAATCAGAATAATCGATTATTAATCTAATTTAATTGCAAGTGATTAAATTGTTGTAAACAGTAAAACATGAACATGACTTCAAACAAACAACAATTTGATTTAATTGTTTCTGTTTTTATTTTCGCGCTATTTTATTTTGATTGAGACAAATTTGATACAGAAATTGAACAATCAGTTAATTTTTTACAGAGAAATTAGATTGAATTAGATTCATTTCTAATTGTTAACCACTTGGATCCAATATGGAAAGTTGATCAGTTTTGATCAATGGTTTGTGATTAATTGATTGTTTTGTGAATGATAATTGAGCATTTTAAAATTGTCGGCTAATTTGTTAATCATTCAATTTAATTTGTAATTGTGCAAAGCTTTTCGCTTAATTTGTTAATTGTCATTGGATTTTGATGATTCAGGTTAATTGTTTACTATTATAATTTCATCCTTTTCGATTGTTTTTAAAATTGATCAACAATTAAGTCTAATTTCATGAGTCTCTTGAGATTTTTTTTATTTGCAATTTGAATTGTTTTGCTATTAATTAGTTTTAATTGTTGTTTAATTGGTAGATTATTTCAATAGACATTTGATTGAAAATTTTATAATCAATTAGATGGACTGATATAATTTAATTCTGTGATTAAGGCCACAGGTTGATCATTAAATACATAGAAAAAAAGTCTTTTTAACGAGAATAAAATTAATCCAATGATTAGTTAAGATGATTAGATTAAATGAAATAATGATTTTTAAATGAGACGTAATGAGTTTTATCTTGATCACTTCAATTTAGAAGTTTGTTTGATTCCAAATGGAGATTAGGATTCTTGAAAATATCTCGGATCGACATCGTAGTTAAAAGGTTCATGAAGTTCATCGTCATTGAAGATCAGTTTCCGTTCAAAGTATTTAGATGGAGTCGTGTCAAAATCTTGTTTCTTAATAAGGTCAAAGAATCCAGTTCCAATACGAATGGGCATTCCAGAGATGATCGATTCGAATAAGAAAATCAGCTGTTTGTTTCCCCACTTGTCGATGAAAATGTGGCTCCATCTCCGAATGGAAATGGTAACGTCAACATTTTCTTTCTGTCTCTTGACAACAACAGGTAAAGAAATTAATTGGTGTAAGTTAATTGTATTTCTAATTGAATTGTATTATTCTTATTTTGTTTATTTAAATTGTAACAATTTGAGAAAATAATAAGTTATATTTACATGTTTTATCAATTGTTTCTTATTTTACTGTAGATCAATTAAAATGGATGAAGCTCGGAGAACTGCCAAAGCCTGGAATGATCCACCATCAATGGAGGAAATGATGAATAAATCAACTGTTAACAATCAAACAAATCGTATTTCCAATGTAAAAAAATACCGATATCCTGAAGCAAATTATTCCACATCACAATCAAGTGTTAATCCGATCGTATCACCATCATCGTTACCATCATCACAAAATTTAAGTGTATCTTCAACTCAATCCGCTTCAACAGTTTCCCATAATCCGCCATTTAATCAAAATCAGTATCAATATTATCACCACCAGAATCATTAGCTTGAGATAATGTTACCACCGGAGATAATGGTTGATCCACCCCAACCACCATCACTTAGGATGATATTTGAACCTTTACCTTTGTGTCCTCCCATGATAACAGTACCACCATGTCCAGATAAAATGGATGAACCTTTCTTACCCTTTATTTTCAACATTAGTAACATCATTTAAATCAGTGCACCCAAATCACAGTGAAAAAGGAAAAGATATCAAACAATTAACAATTGATACACAAAAGAGGAAATGATTAGCAATCAATATATTTATTTATATTTACCCCGGAAATCAAGACACTTCCACTGTCCCATCCACCCCAACCGCCCCAACCACCATGACCACCACTAACGAGGATATTGGAACCTTTATCTTTATCAATTAACAATTAATCAATTAAGGGGAACAAGAACAAATCAAATTAATCAATCGATACAATCAACACACAATCGGTTTCTACATTTGTATTAATTAATTATATTTATTGTATAATTTTCAATACTTACGACCAGCAGATGATTGTTTGATAACACAACTAATTGTGATTAAAGTGATAACAATTAAACATCTAAAATTCATGATTAACGATTAATATTATTGATTTGGACACTAAATTTCAAAGAAAACAAGACAATTTAAATTGTAACAAATTTCACTAAATTCAGTCAACTGATTGTTGTTGTTGTTGTTGTTGTTTCTGTGTTGATTATTTGAATGAATTAACTAATCATAAACAATCAGTTTTTATATATTTTGGCCATTTAATTGTTTTAAGACTTTAATTATTAACAAGATTTGCGATTTTGTTGATTTAATCATTTACAAAAATCACTAACCATTAATTAACTTTGACAAATAATCAATAATTTATATATCATAAGGCTTTCCCAGCAATTTAACGAGGTTAACAATTAACTTTCATCTATAACAAACATTTAAACAACAATTAACCTTGAAAGGTTAAAGTTAAATTGATTATAAACAATTTAAAATTAAGTTCACGGTTAATTCATTAGGTTAAAACTAAATTTAATCAACTTAAAGGTTAATTGTAAATTTTTAATTTCTCAGGTTCATATTGATTGTTAATCAAATAAAAGTAATAAACAATATTTGTGCTAATTGTCAAGTTTAATTGTCAACCAATCGATTGATTTAACTGTAAATTATATTGAGTTTGTTGGTTGGAGTTTTTTTGTTACAATTTGAATAATATTCATTATCATTAAATGTTAATTGTTGATCAACAATCAGCGCAATCTCTTGATTATTGATCGGAACATCTTAAACTTTCTTACCATTAGAACTAAATTGTAAACTCGACAAGACAATTTATTCAACTTTCTAGTGATCAAATGTTAACATGTCTTGATAATCAAGCGAAATCTCATCAACAATCAACTAATCAGTGATTCAATGATTAACTTTTAATCAACTAACAGTAACTTAAATCATTTAAAGAGCTTCCCTTAATTAACTAATTATTTTTAATCAGTGAAAAAATATTAATCATCTTGTAAGTGCCTTTGATTGTTTGCAATTTTCAGCCAACAATTAAGATGGACAAGGTAAGCAATCAATTAATCAAAATAATTATTTACAAATCTAAATTGTAACCTTAAAAATTGTACAGTTCAAGGTTTTGATTAGTTAATTGTTGGTATTAAGGTTAACACTTGATTGTAAACAATTTACATATCTGATCATAATTTTAGTTTAATTGTCAACTAAAAAATACTCAACCAGTCCAACTAATTAGACAATTCAGATTACACATTTAGATTAATTATTAACTATTGATTTAAAAAATGAACAATCAATTAATCAACACTTGGCGATTACGTTAGGTTAATGATCCTTGATTTACATTGTAATTAAAATTCAATGTTAATTTTTTTCTCGTTAATTGAATGACTTTAACCTTTGATTGTCAGTCAACAATTAACTTAATTGCAATTTTTGAAACACTTTCACCAGATTATTAAATAATACATTTTAATTGTTGACGATGATACAAAATTTTGTAATCAAATCAATGGATCGATTAAAGTTTTCACTTATAGATTTAGTTGATTGTTTCAACAGCAAAGGTTAATTACCATATTGATTGAGATTGAAAGGAAAACAAATTGTTTCCTAGTAACAAATGAAAACTTTGATTGTAACAATCAAAATTAAATTCATTGACAAGATTAAGTAATAATCCAGTGTCTGGATTATATTAATTGTTGACAATCAACCAGAAAAAACATCAACATATTCAAGGTTTTCATTACACTAACCTTTTAATTGTTGTTACAATTAACGATGTCAAAATGATGTATCGTTTCCTGAACAATTAACAAGATGACATTGAAAACAAAAGGATTAAATCAAATCAAATCAAATTTTTATGCAAACACAATCAAGCTAATGATTTAGTTGTTTAACTTTGATTTGTATCAATTAACAAACAATTAATCTGATTATCACTATAATTGTATCAACATTACAATGAATATGAATGTTAATGTTCATCATTATCACCATCATTTGGAAAACTAATCAGATTTTAAATCTTTTAAACAATTAATCAACCATACAAATGATCTTTTGAATGATTATTACTTTTATTTAGATATTATCAGGTCTCTATTTAGGTGGAATCCGTGATTCCCGTGATGTTCAACAATTAACATTAAATAACATCTCACACATTATCTCAATCCATGATAATCCAACGTCAACTAATCAAAATCAAGTAAGTAATCAACAATTAAACATAATTCTCTCACGAACAACAATCAACTATTGAACATTAGTCTTCAATCAAGAATCTTTGAGCTTGAATACAAGAAATGTAAGGAATAAAAAACAGAATTAGTCTTATGAGAAGAAAAAAGTTCTAATACAAAATCGAAGCCTGAATCAATCTCGATAACATTCAAGTTCTAAATCGAACCGTGATTGAACTTTTCGTCACTATTTCCAAAACAATGGACAATTTAATTTAATAGCAGTTGACGAATTAAATAAAGATCAAAAATCAGATCGAACAAAAAAATCGATGTCTTTTTGTTGAGGAAAATAAAGTTTCATCTTCACCTTTTAGGTTGAAATAGTTTTTCCTGTTAATGTATTTTCATGATAAAAGCTTTAAACTGAGTGGATTTTAAATGATTTTCATGATAAAAGTTCATGAAGAAAAAAAATCCTAATGGAAAACATTTTATTTATAAAGCATTTGAAATCTGATGAAGGAAATGTTTTCCTTTCATGAGAAACCGTTTAGCAAGTTGATTGTTTTCCCTTGAAAAATTTCACAATCAACTGATTGTTAATTGTTACCTAATTTTCTTGCTCTTAATCAGATACCAATCAAATATCTTTGTATTAAAGCCTCAGATGAACCGGATCAGAATTTAATTCAGTATTTTAGTCTTACTAATGAATTCATTCATTCAGCTCGTCTCAATGGTGGAAATGTTTTAATCCATTGGTAAGTAACAATTAACTTAATCATTTGATAGGTAAAACTGTTCAACCAACAACAATTAACATTGACTTTCATATTAAATTGGGTGGAGATTGACATAGACATTGATGATAATAATAGATTACAATTAAGGTGTGGTTGTTGATTGTTGAAGGTAAATTCAATCTCTTGATTGTTGACGTCTCAAACTATATTATTAGTATTTACTTACAATCAACAATTAACATGATTGTTGATTCACTGATTGTCTATGATTGAAGTGTATTGATATTGATATTGATTAGATAATTAATTATTTTCCATTGGAAATCAATCCTTTCATCTTAATCCTTTTCGCAACAATTTAACAATCGATTGAAATTTGTGTCTCCAATATTATTGATATTATGATATATTGGTTTAAATTGTTTAATCAATAAACAGCAATCAACTATAATTTAGTAATAATGTCTACATGAAATCTATCGTTAAATTATATTGTTGATTGCTAATAATTTAGGTTAATTTTGTTTTTCTCCAGGTAAATATGAAAACAGTTTCATCACAATTGTTAAATCAATAAGTTTTCAAGTGAATTAATTTTTCCTCCCAAAAAAATCAGGTTAATTGTTGATCGTTTATCCATAGATATTGATTGAAAGTTTTACAATAATTTGACTTTAGTAACTGATTAAATTGTTGGTCATTTGTTTTCCCTAATTGTCACTGATTCAGTTTGGCTGGTGTTTCTCGTAGTGTAACAATTGTAATTGCTTACATCATGTCGATTACAACAATTAACTGGAAAGAGGGATTGAAATGTGTCCGAGCGGCTCGATTGTTGGCCTCGCCGAATCAAGGATTCATTAAACAATTACAAGAATTTGAAAGAACTGGTAAATTGCGACAGGTGAGTAATTAACTGTGATGAACAATTAATTGTTATTTAGCAATTAGTTTAACAATCAAGTCAATTTTAAATTAGTATTCAAATGACTTTGCTGTTAAAATGAAGCGGAAACATTGATTAAAATGAAAGTGTTTAAATTTTATTGATTAATTGATTGATCCAATTGAGCAATTAACTATTCAGAAACAAAACAAGAAAAGTCAAAATCAATTAATTGTTTGTTGTAAAATTTTAATCAATAATGAAACGAAAAAAAAACAAAAGTTAATTGTTTCAATTTCTCATTGAATATGATTAATAATTTATCACCTCGACAAGAATAACAATCAATGAGAATCGAGAAAAAAAATTTCGGTAAAATTATTAATTGTTATGAGAAGTTGTTTCTAATTGTTACTCTTACCATTTAGTTGATTAAGTTACTATTCCCTCTGATTGGATTTAATTGTTACAATTAATGTTTCGTTTTCAGATGGAAAAGTAAAAAAGTTCAACCAACAGAAACTCAAATGTTCAGGGAAATGATTAATTTCCCAATGAATCTAAGGCGTAACTTTATCATGCAAAAAGTATATAACTTTTTTTTCTGCTCTTGAAATTCATGATAATCATGATGATCGTCATGAAGGATGATCAAGGATGATAAAAATAATAATATGTAATGAATAAAGACAAATGTTACTCATGGACACGAAATGAGATTGTAAAAGTCAATGAATTAATTTCATGATAACAATTTTGTTATCGATTACAATTTGATTGAGATTATTAATATTACCATTTTAATCAATGTTTCTGTCCAAGTTCATTGTCACGAATAGTTAATTTAATATTAGAGATGCAATTTAATTTCCTCTCTAATTGTTAATCGCGATTACTTTTTGTTCAAGTTTCACTTTCATTAACTTTCATTTGTATCTTGTTCATAGGAGAGGAAACGATTACAGAGTAAATTTAATCAACAATTAACACAATTAACTGACGAGGAACATGTTACCTGGTTAATTAAAAGATATCATTCACTTGGACCAATTAAACATTTATCGGCAGAGGATTTACTAAGGGCTTCTCAATATACTTCGTTCAGTGAGGTTGATAAATTGTCTTCATTAACAAGGAGGGAAACAATTAAATCCAATGGATCAAGTGGTTTATTTACATTTGGGTGATACAAACAGCTAATTGTCTACAATTTAATCATCAACAATTTATTCATAATGAATTTTGGTGTATTTTTGGCTTTCATGAGTGAGAATCGACCAATATGATTGTCTGATATCGAAAGAATCAATTTTGAGATTTGATCTCTTCCTTAATTTCAACAATCAGTTGAAGATTTCGCTGATTATTAACGGCATGACATCGGCAATTAACCAGAAATTGGCTTGTTATTAGTAAATTATGTTCCTAATTCAATTCAACCGCCTTAAAATAAATTGTTGCAGATAATGATAACAATCAAAGTTTTTCATCATTCCAGATAATCAAGAATATCAGGAAAAAAAAGCTCCAACCAATTAAATCAACTCCAAATTAATAGTCCATTTCATGTAATACTTTAATTGTCCAGTTATTCAGTAGACAAAATGAACTAACATTATGGTCAAGTAAATCATAATATCTTAATCACATTGAGTTAATTTAATTAACTATGTATGAATACAAAAACCAAATGAAAGCAAATCTTCAAATTAAATGTAACTAAATCAATTCAAAATTAAAAAATGAAACCATTTCGTTTGTTACGGATCAGTGTTCATCTTAATTGCTGAGATTATGACAATTAATTAACAATCAACCAGTAAAAGTAAAGGAGGTAGGGAGAGAGTGAGAGAGAGAGAGAGAGAGAGAGAGAGTTAACTAATTTTTTTCTGAGATTAATCTATCCTAAATTGTTGGTTAAGGTTCAAACGTTGAAAAATTAATCAACATAATCAGAAATTCTGACGCAGTATTAATAATAACTACTTTTAATCAGCTGATCGGACTGAACTCAAGTAACACCATCTATCATTTGAATGATTTAATTGTTAACAATCAATTCTTTAGCAGTAAATCAATCATAACATTACCAACAATTCTAATTGCGAAACAATTAACATTTTCTCTGGCTATTCAAAAGTATTCTCATGGTATCATACTCTCATGTTTATCACTAAAAATGATAACTTGAGCCTATGACGATCCCCTCAGGGCTACTGATGTCATCTTTTGTCGTGGTTGGTGGGAAACTGATCTTCGTCAACCAATGATTGTCACAATCAGAGTTAAATTGTATCATTTAATTGGATCTTGTGAATCATTCAAATGATAGATGGAGTTACTTGAATAGATTGACGAGATTAAGTAATCCAATGTCTGGATTATATTAATTGTTGACAATCAACCAGAAAAAAACATCAACATATTCAAGGTTTTCATTACACTAACCTTTTAATTGTTGTCACAATTAACGATGTCAAAATGATGTATCGTTTCCTGAACAATTAACAAGATGACATTGAAAACAAAAGGATTAAATCAAATCAAATCAAATTTTTATGCAAACACAATCAAGCTAATGATTTAGTTGTTTAACTTTGATTTGTATCAATTAACAAACAATTAATCTGATTATCACTATAATTGTATCATCATTACAATGAATATGAATGTTAATGTTCATCATTATCACCATCATTTGGAAAACTAATCAGATTTTAAATCTTTTAAACAATTAATCAACCATACAAATGATGATCAGTTAATTGATTGTAATACAATAATTGTAAATAATAACAACTAACAAATGATAAATGATAACAATCAATTGATTGTGGATGATTTTGTTTTTCATTCCATTTCTTTGATAATTATTATTACTTTTATTTAGATATTATCAGGTCTCTATTTAGGTGGAATCCGTGATTCCCGTGATATTCAACAATTAACATTAAATAACATCTCAATCGAACCTCATCTACATAACCAAACAATCAATTAACTACTGAAATCAGAGACGATTAGAAATACGGAAAAATTATAAACAAATTAAAAAACAATTTGTAATAAAAAATTCACTTTTTTATTATCATTTCTATTTCCTTTTTGCTTTTCTGAGACTAATTAACGTTCACAATTAAAAGCAATCAAGTTATCATCATTTATATGATAATTAACAAATAATAACAATATAATTTGAATAATAATAATAATTGCAATGAATATGATAAATTGTGTAAAAATGAAACCAAATTAAAGTTTGAAATCATCAATTAAATCAACAATTAAATGTTATCAAGTGAAACCAATCATCACTTAGCTGAAAAGTAATAAAACAATTTAAATTATTTTGTTTGTAACGGACCAATGTGCATGTTAATTGTTGAGATTATCAATACATATTTATCGCAATTAAATGATTGTAATTTAGGAGTAAAAAATGAAGAATTAATCAACAATTAAGATGATTTTTCCTCCTCAATGATAAAGATCGAGAGGGAGAGGGAGAGAGAGAGAGTAAAGTAAACCATTAATTACTATTCATCATCATATTGTTTCTAATGAGATAACAATAAGTTTAAATTAAATCAACTATTCAAAATTAACAACAATCACGTTAATACAAGTTTAAAATCAATTAGATCACCACAGTACAATACCAATTGAACAATTAAACAACTTGTCAACAGTTTTCATGCTTAATTGTGATCAAGATAAAACATTGTTTCGCGTTCTCAGTGATTATTAGCACAATTAATGAGCTTAATTCATTTGGGTGATCAAGCTAATCGAGCTGATATACCTAAAGAGAGAGAGAGAGAGAGAAATTCATAGCCAGACAGGTAAGAAAGACGAAGATGAAGATGATAGAAGACAAATGATGACGATGATGAGAGAGTCGAAATGAATATTCAACTCATAAGATATTCAAGAAAAGTTGTTCCGTTTTGTTGTCAACTGAATCTCATCTTCAGAAAATCAAATCAGATGTAACATAAAGCTGATTGTTGTCGGGAGATGATTAAGGTGAGTCTGAACGAGAGAGAGAGAGAGAGAGAGAGAGAGAGAGAGGTAGTGAGAGTGGCCCACAACTCCTTGTTTACAAATTAGTCTGAATCTCACTAATTCATGATTGTTATTAATAACACCATGTTGATGATTGAATTTTGCCATTAATCAGAAACCCTTTGACTTGATGAGCTACTGAATAGTTTGGCTTCATCAGTAAGCCTTTTTTTGTGAACATCTCAATCCATCCTCATCACTCAATAGTTCATATAATTGATTTGGATATTTTTCTTCAATTGTTTTTCATTGTGAGAGAATAAAAAATTCTGGACACCATGAGGATTCCCTGTCGTTTAGTTCAAATAACTTTGATCGCTGGTTTGATCCATCTAATTAGTGCCAATCATCAACATCAGGTAACATATAGTGAGAATGATGAAGGAACTTCCTATGGATATAAAAGTTTACCTACTTCATCAGTAACTTATGATGATGAAGATTCTTACAGAGCTGAAGAATCAGCGACCGATAGTCAACGATTGATCACTGGAAGCGGTCGAATGGCCATTCTGGATAAAAGAGTCGATTCACCAGCGAATCAATTTAATCAATCACAACAAGAAATAACATCAAATGTTAGTCAACCTCAAGAACCTCAGAATGTTGATCAAAATCAACAACAACAACAACAACAACACTCAACACCACCAGTCATGAATAATTTAAATATTGAATGGACTGAATCAATTGACCATAGTTCATCTAAATCACCTTCTAGTAAATCATCATCTTTATCATCATCTTCATCCGAACCATCATCAGAATCACCTTCATTTTATGCTCAAAATGTACCTCGATATCCAATCAACTACAGTTCCGTTGATCAATTCAATTCTGGATTTCCATCAACATTCAGTTACTCATCATCTTCATCTTCATTGGATAATCCTGACAATTCAAATAACCACGATAACAAAGTTTCAAACGGTCCTCATGCTGGTTATACAAATGACGGAGGTCACCAGGGTCAATACAATGAACCTTATGTCGGTTACAGTGAAAGTAGACGAATGGATTCTGAATGGGAATACCCTGAATGGCTGAAAGAATTGAAGAAGAACGAGAAAGATGACGAAAAGAAAGAGAATGAGAAAGACAAGGAAAAGGAAAAGGAGAAAGAGAAAGAGAAAAACAAAGAGAACGAAAAAGAGAAAGAGAAAAGTGAAGATATCGAGAAAGAGAAGGAAGAAAAGAAGAAACCAAAAGAAGAACCAAAGAAACCCAAATATGAGGTTGACCATTGGTACGAAGAGCCCGTCGATAAGAAAGAGGAACAATCATTTGGTCAGAAAGAGGAAGAGAAAAAGATTGATGATAAGAAGAAGATGGAAGATGATAAAGGCGAATTCGAGTGGACTAGTTCTTGGAATGAGATACCCAAAAACCACAACAACCTGAGAAAATTAATCATCATCATCAAGAGGAATATGGAAATAAGATAAAGAAAGAGGAAAAGGAAGATGATGAAAGGGAAAAGGGGAAAAATACGCAACTCATACTCAACATCATCATGACCATTGGACTGACCATTGGTACGCTGAACCAAAGAAAGAGAATCCTGTCCAAAAGAAGGAAGAAAATTATTATCAAGAGGAAGATAATTATTACAATAGTAAGAAGAAAATGGAAAATGATTATAATCCTTACAAGGGTTCGAAAGAAACACTTCCAGTGTATTCAGAGGATAAAAAGGAGAATGACCATTGGTATGACCCCAAAGGAGGCGAAGATTATAAATATCGAGATAATGGAAGACAAGAGGAGAATAATTATCGAGATTATGGAAAAAAGGAAGAAGACAATTATCGGGAGAATGGAAGAAAAGAGGAAGATAAATATCAAGAGCCCGAAAAGAAGTACGAAGATAAAAAAGAGATGGACTATTATTCGGAAAATGATTATTCAAAGTACCATCATGGAGATAATAACGGTGCTTATAGCAGAGGGAATGACGGTGGGAATGGAGGTGGAGATGGAGATGGTTCTGGTAGTGGTGCTGGTGGATATCATGGTAAACCTTATGATGAGAAATCATCTGATGATGATAAATATGAGAAACCAGAGCAAATTGGTCGTCGTCCGGGTGATGGCCATAAATCGGGTGGACTTTTGGAATCATATTTTTGGAAGGCACTTCCTGGTTCCGTGGGTGATAACAGGAAACGCGATTCGACTTACAATTATGTCATTCATGTGAGTAAAATTGATCTGGATAAGGCAAAGAGAGAGCAAAAAAAATATGATGAAAACGATAAACGAAATTAATATTCATTAACTTGAGACAATTTTACCACCGGAGATAATTGTTGATCTGTTCCAATCACTCAGGATGATATTTGAACCTTTACCTTAAATAAACTAACAATTAATCAATTAAGGGGAACAAGAACAAATCAAATTAATCAATTGATACAATCAACATCCAATCGGTTTCTACATTTGTATTAATTAATTACATTTATTGTATAATTTTCAACATGTATTTACGACCAGCAAATGATTGTTTGATAACACAACTAATTGTGATTAAAGTGATAACAATTAAACATCTAAAATTCATGATTAACGATTAATATTATTGATTTGGACACTAAATTTCAAAGAAAACAAGACAATTTAAATTGTAACAAATTTCACTAAATTCAGTCAACTGATTGTTGTTGTTGTTTCTATGTTGATTATTTGAATGAATTAACTAATCATAAACAATCAACTTTATATATATTTTGACCATTTAATTGTCTCAAGACTTTAACTATCAACAAGATTTGCGATTTTGTTGATTTGATCACTTACAAAGTTAACCAACTATTGAATTTTTGGATAATTTTTGTTACAATTTGAATAAAATTCATGATCATTGAATGTTAATTGTTGATCAACAATCAAATAATTCAGTTGAAAGAATTGAAGAAGAACGAGAAAGACAACGAAAAGAAAGAGAAAGAGAAAGAGAAGAAAAGAAGAACCCAAATATGAAGATGACCATTGGTACGTCGATAAGAAGAAGATGGAAGATGATAAAGGCGAATTCGAGTGGACTAGTTCTTGGAATGAGATACCGAAAAACCACAACAACCTGAGAAAATTAATCATCGACAAGAATAATATAAAGAAAGAGAAAAAGAAACATGATGATAGGGGAAAAGGGGAAAAATACGCAGCTCATACTCGACATGATGAAAGACAGAGATTAAAATAAGTGAAGACAGAGAATTTTATAAAAATAGAAAGTAAAGTAAGAGAAAAGAAAGAGAAAAAAATTTGGAGGCGTTTTTATTTGGAGATGTGATGATTGTTGTTTTTGTTTGATTTCCATTTTGTCTTAGGATAATTTAATTATTTTCTTTGTTTCTTTTTTAATTGTTACTAATTAATTGATTGGTTTGTGTTCCATTGTGTTGGTTAACTCTTGTTACTAATTAAATTGTGATTATTTTGTTGAAAATTCCAACATGAAGATTTTTATTTTTCTCTTCTCAGTAATTCTGTTTACAAGTAAGTTTCAATTTCTCTTTTCATTTTTCTTCTATTCTCTTATTTTTTTTCCTCATTCATATGATTTTGGAATTTGTTTGTTTATAATATCTTTTGTGGGTTTCTTTTTCGTTTTCTCTTAGATGTTTATTTCACCAGTGTTTCTTGTGAACTTGTTAGATTTAATGTTGTCAATAGTGCTAATGTTACCTGTTTGATGGTCGAGTTTGATGGTAAAGTAAACCACTCAATCGCCAATGTTTCTGAAGATATTGCTGGTACCGTTGACACAAGTCGTTCTTCATGTAGTGATACTATGAATGTATTAACTATCGATGGAAACCTTTATACAATGCGATTAACATTCACCAAAGTAAATTCGAGTATTGTATTTTCTGATGTGTCTTTTAACGTAGAGCGACCAGTAACAGCTTGTAAGTTATTTTCCATTGATTTCGTTTTAAATTGATGAGCTAAATCTTTTATTTCTCTTGTTTAATAGACACGCTCGATAAGGATATGTTTACTGTCCCTGAAGGAAAATCATTCAAATGTGATTCAGGAATTACCGAGTATTTGACAAATCAATCTGGGGGAACTGTTAAAATGGAACTCAAAGAGATGAGAATTAACGCTTTCAGAACTGCAGATGATGGTACAGAATATGAACCAGGTAATTATCACATCCCTTATCTATCTCCCATTTCTATCTCTTATGTGATTTATAACATTCCCATTACAATTAATTGTAATGATGAAAATGTCACTCATCTGTCATTTTCTTTCCTTTTCGGTGAAAAACGTCATTCCTTTCATAGTTTATTGTTTTCTCTTTATTATCCTTCATCAATTTATTCTCTGTTAAAAGAGAATTTTTTCTCTTCTTTTCTATTAATATTAATATTTGTTTTTTAATTTTCTCTTATTTACTTTAATTTATCAATTAAATAGATTCAGTTTGTGCTGCTGACGGCGGGAGCAAGACAGTTCCAATGATTATCGCTTTTGTCCTTGCTGGTATGGTTGTCATCATGTTAGTGGGTTATATTATCCTTCGTAAAAAAGAAGACAAATCAACTTACCAGACAGTATAAAGAGAAAACAACAATTTAGTTTATTAATTACACTAATGAAAAAGAAAATCAACAGAAAAAGATATCACTCATCTTCCTATCATCTTTCCAATATTCACCAAGTAATTCATACTCTCCATTTTTCTCCCTCTTTGTGTATCCCTGAATGTTTTTCATGGTGACATTTGAACAGAATTCAAATCTATCTTAATTTCCTGTTCCCTTAATTTTCCCTCTGCTACGATAATTAACCATTTTCAATCTAAATTTTCACCTACCTTAATATTCAATAAACCCCAATTTACTGTTAACTCTTCAACCTAATTTTTGCCATACGATCAATCAGTTAATCCTTAAATCCAATTATTATAAGTTAATTCTGATTAATTTGTTAATTTAGCAATTATGTAATTTACTTTAATTGTCCTTTTGCTATATTTTAATTTATACTTTTGACTGTTGAAAATTAAGTGTCCTTAATTGTCAGTTAAATTTACTTATGAATCCTAGAGTTTCCTCTTTAATTAACCCACTGATTAATTAACATTTCTCCTCTTCTTCTTTACCAACGTTAATTAATCAGCCGAGTTTTCAGTCCATTTATGATTCAATCTGATTTACTTTCGGAAAAACAATCAATAAACTAATCAAAACCATATAAATTATAAGTAACAATATTTTAATCGTTTTATATTGTTGATCTTTTGGAATTTATGATGATGCTAAATAATTGATTATTTATATCTAATTGTGATGATTAAATTGTTATACAAACACAACAATCTCTTAATTTAATTTTTGGCAACAACATTTAAGATTATTAATTGTTCACTTTTAAAAATATCCAACTAATGTCAATAGAAAAACATTTATAATCCTCTTAGATTATCGGGTAAACTAAATATTTGGTTAGGATAGTTTTCCAGAAATAGTATCAATTAATTGGAGACGAAAACAATTTACAATTAAGAATAAATCAATTCGAAAGTCGAAAAATGAGCGAATTCGGTTACTAGCCATTGGAGTAGATCTTGGATCCATTTGGAAAAAGAATTGAGAGTTACCATGGTTACAAAGATATTCGATAAAAAGATACGGATAATGTTCGGTTTTATTAATTTTCGAAATTTTTTCTTTTTTTCGTTCGGTTTTGTTTATCTTTTTCTCTTTTGTTTTCTTTTCAGGTGATTTTTTAAATTCTTTTCCTTTTTTTAGTTTAATGTTTCCATTTTTAAGAAAGAAATTTTGTTATTTTTTCTTTTATTCTCAAAATTTTTTCGTCTTCTTCTTCCACCATGAGTGACTCTCGTCCCATGGAAACAAAGTTAATGTATTACAACGGCAACGATGATATTCCAACTCTCATTCGACTCGCTGTCTCACCTAATCAAGTGACTCTAAGTGATTTTAAATCTGCTCTTAATCTCAAATCAAATTGTAATTATAAGTTTTTCTTTAAGACAGAAGATGCTGATGTTGGTGTAGTTAAAGAGGAAATAAGTGATGATAATGCCAAACTCCATGTTTTCAAAGGTAACATTATTTGTTACATTGAATCTCAAGCTAATGATGTAACTAATTGTTCCGACGGACGTAGTAGTCATCGTCGTAATCATCGTGGACTTTACCATCGATCTCACCATCATCATGGTTCATCTCATTATTCTAGTATATCTGATGATTATATGGACGATGATAAAAGCTCAAAGATCTCATTTTCAACCCATGAAACCTCTGTTAGCCGTTATAATCCAAGACGAGAGAGAGTCATGTCCAATTCATCTTCCATTTCCAGTGTTTCTGAATCATCTGCCATTGAACGTTCAATTAAAACGATTATTCTTGATTTAGATGAAAACAATTTTCTTGGTATGAGTTTAATTGGTCAATTCGGTGATCCTGAAAATAGTGGTATTTATGTTGGATCAATTATGAAGGGTGGAGCAGTTGCTGCTGAAGGAACCATTCAAACAGGTGATATGATATTACAGGTGAACGAGCACATTTTGTCAAATATGACCAACGATCAAGCGGTTGAAATACTTCGTGAAGCGGCTCAAAGAGCGGGTAAAATTGAGCTTGTGGTGGCAAAATTTATCGAACCGAATGCAAAAAGTTATTTTACTATTCCTCGAGAAGAACCAATTCAACCTCTCAACTTAGAAGCTTGGATTCAGACAACCGAAGCTGCGAGATTAAATGGTAACTTCTAATTGTCCATTTCAATCTGATTCTTTGATTGTCATAACTTTTTCAATATTTTCTTTTTTCAGCTCATCCAAAATTAGAGGGAACACCTTCCGAATCCGCTTCGATCTCTGTCAGTCATTCACCGATGCCAAGTTCTTATGCTAGACCAGAACAGCGACAATTAATATCTGAACTGAACCTCGTCAATTGCACCATGTCTACAGTCGCTAAAAATGCCGCTTCCAGTGACAGTGGATTGATTGTGAAAGACAGGAAATGGTTGAAAATTATTATTCCAAATGCCTTTTTAGGTAATAACTATTACTATTTCTCAAGAGTTGATTTATTTGCTTTTATTAATTGTTTATCTTACTCTCTCTCCCTGTGTGTTTATTTAGGAGGTGATTTAGTTAACTGGTTGACCACTAAAGTAAAGGGACTCGCTCGTCGGAGAGACGCTCATGCTTACGCTAAACAAATGATGGCTCATGGGCTCATTAAACCAACGGTGAACAAAAAATTCTCGGAGTTTTGTTATTTCACTTTCGATGAAAGTGTCACTTGCGAATCGAGTAATGAGGATTCGGCTTTCTGTTCACAAACTTCGTTCAACTGATTTCTCTCTCAATCTCATTATCGTGTTTTTTATTTTGATTTTGTATAATGTTTGCCTATTATCATGATCTTCATCATCATCAATTCTTTTTATTCCATACATTGGAGGAGACCATTTTTTTTGCATCCAGCGAAATTGTGACATTTTTTTCATTTACAATCAAACCATACGAATTTTTTTTATAAATTTATGAAAATATGAGTTTGTTATTATGACTCTGGTTTCATGTTTGTTTTTCAATTGTCCCAACGATATTGAACTTATCAAAATCGTCTTTGAGCAATTTAATAGCAATTAATACACAATATGTGATAAAGATGTAAAATTTAGTAAAAAATAAATCGTTTTTCAGACAAATGATTCAATTTAAGTTGATTCCATGATCATTGGTAATAACAAAACTAGTTGTAAGTGATGGATGATGATGATGATGATAATAATTATATTGAGATGTTGATGATAGGAAACCATTAATTTATTCAAATCGGACACAAAACGGAGTCCTTGGAACAATAAAATCCAGTAAGAAATCCTGTTGATAAATGAGACAGACAAAATTAGATTAAAATCGAAAATTATATAATCAGTTAATTATATGGATTCAATTAACTAATTTTTACAAAAAAAATATCAAATGCTGGACTCATGATATTAAATGACAATTTGAAAAGTTACCTTATAAACCGGTCGACAATTAATTCTCGAATACCATTCCATGGGTATTAACATAGTTTGAAGGGCAACTCCAACAATCAAAGAGGCAAAAATTGAAATATTCATAACTGAATTAGTTTTACCACTGAATCGAATTGTTGCAAAATATAAATAAACGCCATTAAAATACATTAGAGTTAAAACTGGATAAAAGAAACCAAATCCCAAAGCTAGAGCATATTCGTGAAATAATGAAGATATAATCATCGTTGACGAAGCAGCTAAACTACGATTGTCATATTTCTGTAATTAAAAAGAGTCAGATTAGTAAATAATATCCAATTTAAAAGGTTTCATTTTGTTTTTTTCTTTGAAAAAAAATGAAAGAGCAACATGATCGTGCTATTTAACTTTCTTCATGTAATTAGATCACAATTACTAGTAAATTAACAAATAGCAATTATGTTGTTTGATTTACTTTATTTTCACCCACCGGGAAGATATCCTTGAATATTATAATTGATAAGATGAAACAGCAATTTGATTCAAAGGTAATAAAGTACTGATTACATCTAAATCGTCATTTAATGACAATTACGTTTTAATTTTTATCGCGCTTTAGATTCGTGATTAAGGTATGATATTATATAATAAGTTAATCAAAAAACTAATTGTTATAGATTAAGTTAAGATTGGTAGACAAACAAATAGCAACCACTGAAAGGATAACACTTAAGTGGAAAAGGGTTTACTTATCATGTATTAAAATAATAAAGAACTCGAAGACAAAAACTATTTAAACACTTAATTAAATGAGTTAAATTCAAGTGCAATTATTAGGTAAAAAATTGAAACAGTGAATCTAATTCATTTACAGGTTAAACAACTACTTGATTAGCTAATTAACCTTGAAAGAAGATTAATTCTATTACCTGAGAGATCAATATATTTTTCTCAAGGCTATGTACAAATGACAATCTGAAAAATGTAATAATTTTTGTGATTAGGTTAGGAAATTAAATTGAAATTAAAACTCAGAATAAATATAAACAATGATTCAAATGAAACATTAAAACAATCAAAGATAATCGTTTCCATGTTATTAAGTTCTAGAAGTCAAATCATTTGATTAGTTTAATTGTAAACACTACTCCATGAATAATTAATATATTATTTTTCGAGCAAATGATTAAAGCTTAACATCAATTGAAATGATTGAAGACGATTAAGAAACTACAAAGTAATCAAATTATGGTTAGTTTTTAAATATGCTCTCAACTAATGTATACAAAATGTACATCAAATTCAATGTCAATGTTAATTGTCACAAATGATTAGATAAAATATAAAAGCTTTAGTGAACTTTGGATATGACACCAAAAAAATTCACAAATGATTAGCTATAATTATCATTAAATCAAGAGAGAGAAATTGATTCATTCAATTTGAATCCTTTAACAATGGAAATTATCGTTATTCTAATCAAATGACAATTTAAGAAGGTAATCATTTATCAATCAAGATAATCCCCATCATTGGAAATCGAAATAAAAAAAAATTCCCTCCAAAAACTTTACCAAATCAACAATCAAATTAATTATCTACGTCAATCAACTATGGACAAAGAGATTATGATGTAAAGAATTAAAATTATATATTGAAAATTATGTTGTTGTCTCATGGCCATGGATGGACCCCTTTAGTTAAAGGGTCTTCCTCTCTACCTTTAAAAAGTGATGAAGATTATAAAATCAAATTATAATAATTCAGATAATAACATGATCATAAAGTTGTCGATTGGTAAACAAATTACCCTTGACATTACGTATTTGTTTTCATTAGAAATAGTTATAACTTTGTGATGCAACAATTGTATCAAAATAAAATTAACCACTCTGAAGAAATTGAAATGTCCAATCAAATTAGTTCACAATAATCACATGAATTAACAATGTACGCGCATAATTTTAACTAGAAAGTGTATCAATAAACTGAAAATAATCAACAAGTGACGCGTTAGTTTAAAGGGGATGGAATTATAATCAAAACTGGTTAAGAAACTCTAGTTGAACTGTAATCACGCAATGAGAACTAAAAATATATTGAAATGTAACTAATGACGCTTATGTAAGTTATTTTTACAGATTAAGGTGATGACTTTTGCTTTCTAATTTTGGAAGTTTGTTTTCTGGTGCTACCTGGATAGGAAATGTGCATTTGTTGTTGTTGTTGTTGTTGTTTGGCAATGACGATCAAAGTTAATCAATAACACGTTGCTATAATAGCGATAATAAGATTTAGTTAAATTTACCTTGTTAAGCGGATTGTAAATGTATGTGTGCAACCAAACATGGACAACAGCATTCCATTTACGATAATATTCACCATATGATGATGATAACCACCAAGCATCATAGAAATGTCTATCTGCAAATTGTAACATTTCAGCCCACATATTTAACCACGAGTGTAAGAAACCATACATTACGTTGAATTTAACAATTAAACCACAGACCAGGGCAGTTGATATGATAACGGGTAGTTCATTGATTTTCAAGGGCACAATTCCGGTTGAGCTGAAATTGTTAACTACAAAACGTCGAGCGATTGCAAATACAGCAAAAATAGATGCTAAGAATTGAAGAAAGAGGAATAAAACTTTATTCCAGCTTCGAGTTTTTGATCTGGAAGAAATTTAAACAAAAGAAAATAAGCGAAAGTGTCAATTAGACATGAAAGAAAGCGGATATTTAGATAAAAGAAAAATAAATAAAACAATCAATGATCAGTAAACCATCAAAACCGTAAGGTCGGATTAAGAAAAAAAAACTTTTGAAATATACCTTGGATATGATGGTCGATAAATTAATGTTGGTGCAAACATGAAATAGCAAAATTGTTTGAAAGTTGCTCGACTTCCTGTGAGAGAAAAAAGTTCAGTTAAGTTGAATTGTGTTCGTTTTCCGTTCATTATTTTTCAATGAACTGTTTCAATTACCTGAAGGTATTTCCATGTTTTCAACAACTAGAGACCACATTTTCATAGCATTACGAATCTAGTTGAGAGGGAAAGAAAATCGGGTTAACAATCTATGTGAGATATTTTACTGTTACTAAATCGAGTAAGAGTAAAAATTTACCTGTTCCAAGTAAATGGCGAGTGATAAAATTGGTGAAAACTGAATTCGATTGATTAAAATAACAGGTATCACAGTGAACATTAAAATTAGCATAGATTCTGTTATCCAGAAAGTTATTGACATTTTATCTGTTAATAATAGAGGAAGAAAAAGAAAAGAAAAAGAGAAACAATCAAATAGTTGATTTTAATTGACTGAGAACAGGGTTGTTGACATTAGAAGAAGAAAAGTTACTTACGGATTTTTCGAACTATTATCCATTGGAATATTGAGCAAACAAAAAGATAAGACATCACAGTTAGACCAAGATGGAGTTTGCCAAAGGCCCATTGCATGTAAAATAGATCCTCTGTTAATCTGCCATGGTAAAATTAACACGTAGGTAACATAAGAGAGATAGAAAATCAATTGAGATTTTATCAATAGATAAAATTTATACACATGAAGAGATTCAATTGAACACCTCTTGATACTTACTCATTATAATTTAATAGGTAATGTTGTAGACGAGTAAAAGAGAATAAAATAAACAGCGAGATAATTAAATTGTACGCTGATTTGATGTGAATGTTTGTCTTGAAAATATCACTGCCAAGATAATAAGATAAATCAACAATAATCGGGAAAAAAAATAAGTCAAAAGAATAGAAAAAAAAATAGATGAAGAGCAAAGAATTAGTCATAGTTAATGAAAAAAGAGAAAAATCAAAAATCAAAATGGAAGAGAAAACCAATCAGTCTACTTACGTTAAAATTGATTCTCTTTCTTTAAAACAATGAACGTAACTTTTATCCGAACCCATGATTATTTAACTATTTTTAATTGAAACGAAATAAAATTAACTAAATTGTTGTAATTAACTCTGTGAACGTTGAACAATCACCGAGGAGAATGGAAACTTCAATGGAACAAGAAAGAAAATGAATCAAATGTTGTTCTCCTTTATTGCCCCTAGGGGGACCCTTACGGTCGTTATACAACTGAACAGACTCGAGTTCTGCCCTCTTACGGTTGCATATCTAACCGTTTAAATAGGTACAATAAATAATTTAGTAACAAAATTTACAACAATTAAATATAATTAAATACAATAAATTTAGAAAAAACAGATAATAATTAATAATTACAATAAATCAAAAGACCTGAAAAAAAGGAGATAAGTTAGTGGCACAAAAGATGGGGTGGGTTTCATTTGTGTGAGCGATCAGTTTTGCGACCATGTGGTTCTCACCACTGTTGTTGTGTTCACTTTTGGTTGTACAGTTTTGGTTGTTCCGTCGTTACTTACCTTTGATATATATATTCTTACCTTCACTAGCACTAGTTTTAACGAAATTTACTGATTAAAAAAATGAAATGATCCATTTAATTAGGTAATTCCGGCACAATTTCAGGAGAAAAAAATTCCAAAGCTTTCTCTCCTATTGGTAGAATTTTCTGTGCGCATGCGCAGTGAACATTGTTTTCTTTTTTTTCTCTTTGATTGTCAATCAGTTGTTGAAATTAATCAACGTTGTTAAAGATTATTGTTGATTTAATTTGTTAATTTCTCTTACCTGGCATCATCATGTTAACAATTACTGTCCTACTCTTCATGGTCAAAGAAATTTCCTAGAAAAAGGTAAAAGAGAAAGTGTTTGGTAAGTTATCGTTTTTTATTTTTCTTTTCTAACATTGTGTTGATTATTTTTGATTATTCTTTTCTGGTAATAAATTGGTAATATTTTGTTCCCTCTACTTACATGTTACAAAAATCTCAGATTGTTGTCCACTCCAATGGTGACAGTTCATCAAATTGATTTTGTTCCTTGTGTTTCATTTTTACATCTTTTCTTCCTCACTTTTGATTGATTGGAATACTAATAATTTCCAATCTTTGAGAATTCAAACTCTAAAAAAATACACATTCAACTTGTTTTAATTCGACATTTATTTACTTTCCAGAGAGAGGGGTACATTCAATTCATCAATAATCTTTAATTGTTGGAAACACTGGTTAAGCAGATTAACTTAATTAGAATGGTAAACAAAATCAAATTAAATTTCTTGGTCGATTTGTGGTGCCATCTATTGGTGGAGAATTGAAATTGAAGTTGAACAACCTGTTGACAAGTTGAGATGAATTGAATTGAATTAAAAAAGGAAATGGTTCCTCATTTGTGTACGAAAATGATTAAGAAGATGTTTAATTAGATCTTAATCATCTTTCGGTTGGTTATCATCATCAAGTTTACTCAAGGATAAACAGAGAGATAGACATAAGAAAAACAATCCAAGTGAGCAAACTGGTTTATCAAAATTAACGCAAGAAAAAAAAAGAGGAAAAGGAAAGAGACTCTGATTGTTATCTCCATGATATTCATGGTGATGGCTACAGAATTTTGTGAGAATGAAAGTTCTCAAGGATTTTCCATTCCTCTATCATCTTATTTTAATTCTTTTTAGGTAATTATCTGTGATGCCAATTAGTGTAAATCATGTTGATGAAAACAATGGAGAGGAACCTGTTGCTTTTTCTTACAATAATCAAAGGGAAACAATCAAATTGATAATTAATTTACTCTTTTCGACTATTCCATCCAAGGATGTTAATTTGATTTAATTTTTTATCACAATTGAAGAGGATTCAAGGTTGGTATTAATTTGTGATCATCTCAAATCAATCAACTCAATTTCAAGATTAACTATTGGATTGTAAGTTAATCCTTTAAACTAATTGGTATTGATCTTTTTAATTTGATTATAATTGTTTTTGTTTTTCTATCTAATTGTAGTTTACAAATTGGATTAAGGAACCTCAAACTGGATTTGTTTCACTTAAAACTTGGAAGTAGTAAGATGTGTCTAAACGTTAAAAAGGGAGGAGCTTAATGTTGTTAGGGGTGATGAATGAAAGTATAGGTGAATACCAAATGTTAATGAAGGAAAAAAGCTTAAATAAAGCTAAAGGCTAAGTTTTAAAAGAAAAGTGCAAGATTAAGTTAAGCCAATGGAAAAAGTTAAAATAAAGAAAAGTGATTAAGTTCCAAAGGATTATAATCAAATTAAGGTAAGTTAAGAACCCGAAAAAAGAAAAAAGAAAAGACAATTAAAGTTTTAATTTTCAAATTTAATTTTTATTTGAAGGAAGCAAAGTTATAATTCGAAGACGCTTGGGACACTGAATGAGCTCGAAAGAGTCATTATGTGCGCGCTTCTTACAGGGGGAGAAGTGAATAACTTGAGGGATGATAGGGAGAGTTCGGGTTGGGGTTTTCTTGATGGGAGTGGAGTGGAGGGGAACAGGTGAAGCCGGTGAATATGATGATGATGGAGATGACTCGATCCCAATCTCTGAGTGATCAGAGACTGTGGACCAGTCACTCTCATGGGTGGAGATGGAGGAAAAGGATGACATTGGGCCAAGGGAAGTAGAGGAGATAGAGTCAAGGGTGATGGAGACAGAGGGATCGGTGATGGTGGAGTAGTTGGGGTCGGTCATGGTCGAGTCAAGGGTGATGGTCGAGTCAAGAGTGATGGTCGAGTCAATGGTGATGGTGGTCGTGGATGCTGGTTCTGGTTCAGGTTCGGGTTCAGGTTCGGGTTCAGGTTCAGCTGCTGAGGTTGGATCCTGACCATAAAAGTCAATCATCTGATCCGCTGCTTCCACCAGATAAGATGAGGCTGCAGCTGGATCCCCATTCTCATCAATTGAGACACGAAGAGAGTTGAGGAGGTTGATCACCTCGGCCAAGGGAACAGACCCTTGCAGACTGTATGGGTCTGCAAGGGCTGCCCTTCTAGTGGCGTCGAGGGATCGAAGAGCCACGACCGAAGGAGCATAATGGTGGCTTAGTGGTGGTGAAGGAGAGACTGGAGCGGCAGCAGGAGCTATCGGGCCAAAGAGGTCGGCAAAGGTAGCCGAAGACATGATGAGGGAAGCAAGATTGGAGGGTGATGGAGGTAGAGAAGACATATTGAGAGCGAGAGAGAGTATAAGAGAGTAAGAGTAAGAGAGTAAGAGTAAGAGTAAGAGAGTGAGAGTAAGAGTAAGAGCAAGAGCAAGAGCAAGAGATAGATGAATACTGACAATCTTTACTGTTCAAGATCTTGGGTTTTATACTCAGAAATGCTCACTCGTTAAACTCCACCTCTTGTCTTCCATCTCACTCGTAGAGCTCCCTTTCCTATCTCCCTCCCATAGTAAAGCAAAAAGACTCTCTCTCACTTGTTAGTACAGTGGAAGCTGAAGTATCATCTTCATCTTATAATCTGTTTTAAGTTAATCTCTTTACTAGAAGAATGAAAAAAGAGAAAATTGGAAGAGATAAACTTTTTAAAAATAATCTTTTTAAGAAAGTTAATCTTCTCGAAATTAATCTTTTCAGAGTTAATCTTTTTTAAACCTAATCTATTGAAAAGCAGTGAAATGTATTGAAAGCAATGAAAGTGAATGGGAGTTAATCTTTTTCTATTGAAATGTACTGAAGTCATAGAAACAATCATCTTTATCATCCTTCAGCATTTACTGCATGCTATTTACTATAGTATATTCAGTTTACTTTCAACATTCAAAACAATCACAACAGAATCAACAGAACCAACAGAATCAACAACACAACAATCAACAATTAACAATCAACACAACAATTAACAATCAACACAACAATTAACAATCAACAACAATCAACAATCAACAGAATCAACAATCAACACAATCAACACAATCAACACAATCAACACAATCACAACAATTAACAATTAACAATTAACAATTAACAATTAACAATTAACAATTAACAATTAACAACAATCAACAATCAACAATTAACAATTAACAATTAACAATCAACACAACAGTAACCATAGTAACCCGTAACCATAGCAACCACACCAACATTCAAAAGGTAAAAAAAGTCTCCACCCCCTTTTCTTTTTCTTATTTTTCTCTATCTAAGTTACCATTAAGGTTCTATGGGTTTAATTTTCCCGCCTTTTTTTATAAACTATCTCAAAAAATTTTCGGCTGCAAGTCCAACTCACTGCGCTGATTAATATAGGCTAGCAAAGTTATAATGAAACTTTTTTTTCAAGCGACTTAGTTTTTAACTTAGAAATTTACCATGTATTCTCTATGGGGAATTTTGCATGTATTCTCTATGGGGAATTTTGCATGTATTCTCTATGGGGAATTTTACATGTATTGTCTATGGGGGATTTTACATGTTAGTTTTTTTTTTCCTAATATTAACACTTTTCTTTATCACCAGTTAACATGGACTTAACACGAGCCTTCCAAATTCTAAATGAGGAAATGGAGCAAGAATACGATGAAATCTGCAGAAGATTTGTGATTCCAGATAACCAAAATTGCGCTGATTCGATAAACCATGGACTTGATGCTTGTATGGAATGTGATGAAGACGACGAGATATGTAAAAACTACTATGTTAAAAACGATGAAGAAGAACTAGATATGTATATGGAAAATCAAGACGATGATGACATATGTATCAACTTAGGGATAGAAGGTGAAACAGAAGCAGAGGAGGTTAGTATGTTAGATTTATCAGCTACTGGTGTGATTAATGAAATAGCGACAGGACAAATCCTTTCTCAATCAATTCAGAAGCAACCGGATGCTATTTATTATACTGATAACCATTCTAGCAGTTCTGGTTCTACATCTCTTGTACACTCTTGTGCTTCCAATGAACAATATGATGTCGGTCACTCATCTCAAGATATAGCGCAATCAACTCATCGCTCTTCATCGTCTTCTACTTCAAGCTCATGTTCAACTTGCAACTCTTCACAGTCTTCGTCTTTCTCTTCAAGCTCATGTTCAACTTGCGATACATGTTCAACTTGCAACTCTTCACAGTCTTCGTCTTTCTCTTCAAGCTCATGTTCAACTTGCGATACATGTTCAACTTGCAACTCTTCACAGTCTTCGTCTTTCTCTTCAAGCTCATGTTCAACTTGCAACTCTTCACAGTCTTCGTCTTTCTCTTCAAGCTCATGTTCAACTTGCGATACATGTTCAACTTGTAACTCTTCACAGTCTTCGTCTTTCTCTTCAACTTGCGCTCAAGACAACACTTCCAGATCTAAACAAGATTTTTCTCAACAGGGAGGTGGTCAAGGTGATGATTCTATTCTTCATTCAAGACCAAGGGAAAGAGAAATAGAGTTTGAGATTGTAGATGAACAGCCATGGAGAACAAATGCGAACTTCCATTCAATGACCAAACTTCTTCGCGCTAGGCTCAACAACAACTGCTCGTCCGGTGTTGATATTTCGCGCTTATCGCACGCAATAGATACAGCCTATGAAAGATTTGTTTCCAAACTGATAGAAGATGCCAATTCAAATGACAGGATCTTTATAACATTTCGTAATCCGCAAGAAAACCGTGAACTTTATGTCTCATTCCTCAAGAAAAACTTCAATCCACAGGAGTTTCTTGATAGAGCCTATGCACTAGCACAATCAGCAGGAAATTTCCTAGATGATGGAGTTTTTGAAATAAAAGTTCAAATAGTCAAGTCCATTTCAGGAGGAGCAAGGGCAAGGGTTTGAAACTCTTATCAGGCGCTGAGAGAGCACAAAAGAAGAGAAGTGTTTTCTTGATTACAAATGATGACTACAAGTGTGGATACATGGCTATTGCTGCTGGGAAAGCTTACGTCGATGAAGTTATATGTAAAGACAATAAACAATTCTGGGATAGCTTAAGACGATCTAAAAATAAACAAGTTGCTCTAGCCGCAAATTTATTCATGAACATGCAAGTAGATGTTAGTTCACCATTGGACATACAGAAAATTTCCGAGATTCAAAGCTTACTACCATCTTATCAAATTGTCGTTATTGATCAAAAGACACAATTGAAACTGTTTTCCGGCACTGATGTTGAACATAAAATTGTTTTAGAATACAGCGAACCACCACACTTCAACCTCATCACATCAATAACTGGGTACATGGACTGTGACTATTTTTGTTTCAATTGTTGGGCTAAAACCAGCAAAGATACACATTATTGTAAAGGATCATGTAAAAAATGTCGTTCAGTTAAGGCATGTGTATTCATCCAAAGAATTACTTGCAGTGAGTGTAATGTTGATTTGAATTCTCAACACTGCTTTGATCAGCATAAACAGAATGGTGTTTGTGGTCGCATTAGAAAATGTTTTACCTGCTGGGTTCAATATGACACAACAGCAGGTGATCATGTTTGTGATGTTTATACTTGCAATTTCTGTGATGTAGGCTACCGTGCAAGCCCACACTACTGTCATGTCAAACCAGCAAACCTCGAACATCTCATCGACGATGACGTAAAACCATGGATATTAATTTGTTATGACATAGAATCAATGCAGATCACCAAGACAGACAATACAAATATCCTGACACATCAGCCAAATTTGTTGATAAGCAGGACAATGTGCACATCATGTACTGATGAAAAAACTTTAGTAAGGAACCTTAGAGATTGTGAAATGTGTGGTGATGAAGAACATGTATGGTATGGAACAGAGTGTGTCGAACAATTTTGTAATTATCTCTATGATAAGATGCTTCCTCGAACTGCAGCTGAAGATGACTCAAGAACCGCCATCCAGATAAAGGTTATTGCACATAATCAAAGAGGATATGATGGTCATTTCATTATGCAAGACTTTTTCAAAAGGAAATTTTTACTAGTCCCAAATGTCATCATGTCTGGGTCAAAAATTCTTTACTCACAGATGGAGAATATAAAGTTCATTGACTCTTTGAGTTTGTTTATGCAGCCTCTTTCATCCCTCTGCAAATCCTTTAACATCAAAGAAATGAAGAAGGGATATTTTCCACATAAGTTCAACACACCAGAAAATCAGCATTATGTTGGAGTGTTTCCAGCTATCGATTTTTATGACCCACTCTCCTCAAACCGACGCAGAAGGCTGAACTTGAAAAATGGTATTATGAGACTATAAAGACTGACCCAGTATTCAATTTTAAGACTGAGATTATTGAATACTGCAGATCAGATGTCCTCATACTTCAAACAGCAATTATGCGTTTCATTGACTTGTTTAAATCGATCACTGGACTTAACCCAATAACTAGAAGTTTCACGTTAGCTTCAGTAGCGATGGAGGTCTTTAGAGCTCGCATGCTTCCAGCATTTACCCTTGGAGTCACTCCTCTTTCAGGATATGCTGAGAGAAAACAGTCGACTAAAGGCGCTGCGTGGTTAGATTTAATGCAAAAAGATCTTCGAACAAAAATCAGAAGAGAATGGAGGCTTGGACCTTTTTACGCAGACGGATTTATTCCAAGTAATAATACTGTATTTGAATTTTGGGGATGTTATTACCATGGATGTCCTGCATGCTACCCGGATAGGTCAACGATAGTTACAATGAATGACGAAGAACTAACGGTTGAATCATTATACCAAAGAGTCTTGCTCAAAAAAGAATATTATCAGCATAGAGGTTATCTTCTTCATGAGATCTGGGAACACGAGTTTGATGAGAGAGAAAGATATACCAGCTCTCGTATCTCATACTACAATCAGATAAAACAAGTAGGGTCAATAAATATCCGCGAAAGCTTTTATGGGGGTAGAACAAATAACATCAAGTTCTTTCATCAATGCAGTTCAGATGAAGTAATCAGATATTTAGATTTCACATCATTATATCCATTCGTCTTGCGTGAATATGACTATCCACTCGGACATCCTTTCCTCATCCAAGAAGATTTTCGAGATATCGGGAGTTACTTTGGATTCATCAAATGTAAAGTACTTCCACCTACCAAGCTAAACATTGGGGTCCTGCCGATGAGAATATCCAAGAAGTTATTATTTCCCTTGTGTATGAAGTGTGCAGTCGAAAACATTCAAACATCATGCACACATTCACCTGAGGAGAGAGTTATGACAAGCACTTGGACTAGCATCGAACTCCAAGAAGCTGTTAAATATGGCTATAAAATCATGAAGATCTATCAAGTTCTCAATTATCGGAAGACTCCACATTCAGGTACACTTTTTTCAGAGTATGTAAAAATGTGGCTCAAAATAAAACAAGAGTCTAGTGATTGGCCTTCATGGGTTACCAATGAATTCGATAAACAAAAATACATCAATGACTACAAAGCAGCTGAAGGTGTTGAGTTGGATCCAAATTCTATCGAGAAGAATCCTGGAAGGCGAAGCATCGCAAAGCTTATGTTGAACAGTTTTTGGGGTAAACTAGCGCAAACTGCAAATTTACCGAAAACAAGCTTTGTAAGAAACTACGCTGATCTATGGGGTATCGTTTCTGATGAGCAAAATGAGATTCTGGGTATGCATGAACCTTCTGAAGAAGTTATTATGCTGCAACATCGTTTTATTGAGTCAGCTAAGGAGAAAATTTCGCCTGGAAAGACTAATATTGCAGTCGCTAGTTTTGTCACAGCATACGCACGTAGAGAGCTTTTTCGTTTGATACAACGTATCGAGTCACATCGACAAGGTAGAGTTCTCTATTTTGACACCGATTCAGTTGTGTTTGTAGAGAAAACTGGTGATCCGAAAATTCAATGCGGAGACTATCTTGGTCAATTGACAGATGAGATTGAACCTGGCTGGAAATGTAATCTTTTTGTTTCATTAGGCCCAAAAAACTATGCATACCAAGTCATAAACTCTCAAGAAGATACTAAAAGTATAATAAAAGTAAAAGGGATACGACTCACATCCAAGGCATTAGACATCATAACTACACAGAAACTTCTTGAAATGGCGCATTCTTACATAGGAGGTGACCAACAAAGAGTTAACATAACACAAAGTAACATCGTATCAGACAAGTTTACACATACAGTTGAAACACGGAATTTTGAGAAAATCTACAGGGCAGTCTCCGAAAAAAGACGAATAATTGGTAATGATACACGCCCTTTTGGCTATGTAGATTGATTTTTTTTGAAAAACTCTAAATAAAAAAGAATAAAAATTATTATTTGCGTTAAACTTTTATTTATAGAAAGACTATAATCTGTCTGAAAAAGCAAGATAAAAGGTCAAATTAGGATTCATATGCATGTATTTAGATAGGTTTAACATGTATAATGAGGCGTGTCTTTGTTTCACAAAAGGCAGATGAGAGGGAAAAAGAGGCGTTGAAAAAGTATAAGAAAGCACAACTAAAGATTGAAAAGGGCGTTTTCATTGCTAAAGAAAACTGGTTTTACATCTATTTTTGCGCATGTTTGAAATTATTTCCATCAAGTGGTATAAAAGAAGAGTCTTGTCACAGTATTTTTATTTTCAGTCTAACTCTCCAACTGATAACATCAATTTTTTCTAGAAAAAACAACAAACAAAAAAACTACATCATCGAAATGGATTTCTCAAAATTTTCAGTACCTGTCTCAAAAACTAATGGTGAAGCTTCTGAAAAATACATCAGAAAGCCAACCCCATTTGTTAAAATAAACTCAAAGTCAGGTGACTACACAAGATTCACCTTAACTGATACCTCGTTCAGGTTCAAAATTGACGAAAAATGGTACAACTCAATCATTGCTTATCTCGCTGCTAACAAGGATCTTAAAAAGATCGAATTCAATGATATTCTCACTGCTTATTTAGCCAAGTTCCGGGCATGTTGGGAGTTGAAACGCCTATTAATTGCTACAGGTAACACTATCCTAATATATTGCGATGCAGAAGATAAAACATTATCTTGTGGATTCGATCAAGATGACACAAATGCTGATATGCCACACAACTGGACAGGTAAAAACCTTCTTGGATACGTTTTGATGCAATTAAGATGTGAACTCAAGGAGGACTGGAAGGTAGAAAATCTGTCTGGAGATGGTAACGTCATCAAACGAAAAAAAACCAATGAATAATTTTCATAATATATATAAAGAATAACAAAAAAAAGTTTTGATGTAACAACTTTCATTTATAAAATTATTCAATTAAAATAAAAATGGTTTCAGAAAATAACTCTTATTTTACTTTTATTCACCCTTTCACGTGTATGGTTGCAGGCCCAACATCAAGTGGGAAGACTGTACTTGTTAAGTCTTTAATTGATAATCATAGATTCACATTTTCGAAACTTAAGTCAAATCCTAAGATTGTATGGTGTCATGGGCAAATGCAGGAAAGCTATAGTGAGAGCGACAGTATAATTGAATATCACGAAGGTTTGATTGAAGATCCTAGTAATTATGATTTGATTGTTGTTGATGATCTTATGAATGAACTAGGAGGAGATAATAGACTTCTAAATTTATTTACTAAAGGTAGTCATCATCTCCACATAAGTGTTATATTCATAGTACAAAACATTTTCCACCAGGGTAAACACATGCGCGGAATAAGCTTGAATTGTCAATACTTGGTACTGATGAAAAATCCTAGAGACAAATCACAAATACACTGCTTAGCTAGACAAATATATCCAACCAAGAGCGCAAGACTGATAAAAGCGTATGAAGATGCAACTAAGCAACCATTCAGCTATTTAAAGATTGATCTTACACCAAGAACTCCAGATCATTTGCGAGTTCAGACCAACATAGTTCGAAAGGAAGCCAAACATAACATCATCATTTATGAAATATGATTTCACAAGAATTATCCGACTGTTTACCCATTATTCACCTCTACATGAAGTTGAAAGGGAAAAAGCTACGACAGGACTTTCTAGCAGACCAATTCAAACAGGACTCAAAAATATATAAAGCAATCCATGAGATCGTTATGAATGTTGTACACCAGAATCTACCTCTTCCTGATGACGTTAAACCAAAGTTACGAAGACACAAGCGCGCAATAGTTGATTTCATCCATGACAAAATAAAAGAGACATAAAAACATCTGATACAATCTGGTGGATATCTACACTATCTTATTCCTGCTGCTATACAATTGATAGACACAATAATATCCAATGGAAGTAATAAAGAAAACTTACCAAATGAATGATACTGAGACCTCTCAATTACCAATGAAAGGTTCAGGAATTGTAACAGCTAAAACTTCGAGTGATAAAATAAAATTGATTACTCATATAGCTTTGAAATTTGCATTACGTAATTATTATGACGCCAATAATAGGCTGTTATTCAACGATAAGGTCATTGCTGATAGTGATTTAATTGATCTTTTAGGCTCCCTCACAAACCAGAGTAAACTTCCTAAATACATAAATGAATTTTTATTTTTACTAAAAAAATGTGATGTTGATTCTTCGCTGATAAAAAATGATAAAATCAGAAGAAAACTCAAGCATATGGCAATTAGTAAAACTGATTATCCTCCTGATCAAATTTTCGAACCAATTGTGTTAACAGACATACAAAGAAATGGTGATTTCTATGTAAAGAAGTTGGAAGAAAACCTCAAACAAAAACCGAGGAAAAAACTACAAAAAACTCCGAACAAAAAAGCCAAAGCCAAAGCTGAACCTGAAGTTATTACTCCAGCTGATAAACAATATAGGAAAAGAATATACAACCTCAGATCATATGGAAATTGGACAATCCCAAAAGGAAATACTTTCCAACATCTATTACCAACCGAATAATCCAGCAGGTTTTGCTTCGTCATTAAAACTTTTCAATGCCGCTAAGAAAGAGATTCCTAGTCTAACACATGAGCAGGTTAAGAGATGGTTAAAAAGTCAACTTACTTACACTCTACACGCGCAAGCTAGAAGAAAGTTCGTAAGAAACCCTATTATCGTTAGCAAAATAGATGAACAATGGGAGGCTGATCTTGTTGAAATGCAAGAATTTTCACGCCAGAATAATGGCCAGAAATATATCTTAACAGTAATTGACTGTTTCAGCAAATATGCTTGGGCGCGGGCACTTTCTAATAAATCAGCAAAGTCCATTTCGGATGCTTTCAAAGATATTCTATCTACACGAACACCTGCTGCTTTACGAACTGATAAGGGAAAGGAATTTATTAACAAAACATTTCAAGATCTTCTTTCATCAAAAAATATCAGATATTATTCATCGAACAATCCTGATATAAAATGTGCTATAGTTGAACGATTTAATAGAACACTGAAAACTCGAATGTTTCGATATTTCACTTCAAAAGGGACGAGAAAATTTATTGATGTATTACATGAGCTAATGATTGCCTATAATGGAAGTTTGCATAGATCAATTGGCATGGCACCGAAAGATGTAAATGATGAAAACTCGAACTCCATTTTCGAAAAACTTTATGGAAAAAAATCATTACGAGAAATTTATCAGGGAACACCCCTCATACATAAGATTGATGTTGGAGATGAAGTGCGAATGAAGTATAAGTTAGGACCGTTTGAAAAGGGATTCTACCCGAATTGGAGTGATCATGTATACAAAATTTCATCGGTGGATAGAACAAATAAAAAAGCAATTTTCACACTAGATGGTTATGATGGAACCAAAATAGAGAATAGAAAATTTTATGAGGAAGAGTTACAGAAAGTCCATGCAGAGGTACATCGTATTGAGAAAATATTGAAAAGACGATTATATAAAGGAAAGCCACAATACTTTGTTAAATGGTTAGGATATTCTGCAACTTACAATTCATGGATAGATGCACAAGCGATAACAACAATATCACAATAATGAATGCTGAAATGTTTACGTTTACCATGCAAATTGTAACGCTTTTTTGTGTTGTTATTGCCTCACTTCTCAATCTTTCTCTTGGGATGGGAGATCAAAAGTTATGGCTGACTTTGCTTACAATGTCTCTAGGATGTATACTTCCAACTCCAAAATTCTCCAAAAAAAATTCCTTGATGAGCCGTAATGCAAGTGAAAGTGATATAAAGCGCTCAATAAATATTTGATCAATTAAATTTTTTGTTTTAAAGAAAATGCCTAATTCGTTTTATGTTTCACTTCCTAGTAATGTCTTTACTTATGAAAAAAATAAAATTTCTGATTATATAACATATCTTCCTAAACCATTGAATTTGTCTGATGATTATCATGTGGCTCTAACAGAGTTATCGTACACTAAAAGTTGGTATAATGTTCAACAAAACTCATTATTCACACTTCATGACACTAGATCAATCATTTTACAAAAACGGGTATAGCTCCAGGGTGGTATAAGAACATCCATAATTTGATAAAAGCTATTAACGATAAAATTGAGTTTTATTCGAACAAGATAAATACTTACAACCTAAATTAGTTCTAGATGAACACAGTCGAAAGGTGGAAATGAAATTTGGCCGTACTAGTGACGGAGTACCGATGCTAGTTTATTTAGGAAATGAATTAGAGGAAATGCTCGGTTTTTCTAATGAAAACTCAATGAATATGTTGGATGAGAATGTTTCTATCGTGCCATTAATAGGCGATAAATACATAAGATTGCAGAGTAAAAGCCCTGAAAGACTATTTGATATGAAGGAGAATTCATTCTTTAATGGTTTATAGTGATATTGTATCACATTCAATCGTTGGAAATACACAAGCTAATTTTTTACGATCTGCCAGGATAGACGATCGTGACGAATTCGGATCTGACATAAATTTAATCTTTCAAAAACCATATTATTTTCCTGTTAATTCAAATTTCATTGATAAAATAAGAATTAATATAAAGGATGATACAGGAAATCCTATAGAATTTCAATTTGGAAGAGTTTCGGTGACTTTACACTTTAGAAAAACATGGAAAGCTATTATTTAGAACAAGCAGGTAATGGAACTGCAATTCAATCTTTCTCAGGAGTACGTTATCAACGAGGCGGTGGCTTTTTCAGTAGACTTTTTACTAGTAAGGTTTTACCAATATTACGTTATCTTGGAGACAAAGCCCTGGACACTGGAAAGGCTATTTTGAATGATGTCAAAACTTCTGACCAATAGAATCATCGATACTGTTCAAGAAGTAGCTCAAGAGGCTATAAAAGAAAAGTGGGAAATGAAGATGGTCAGTCCGGCTCAGGTATAAAAAGGAGAAAGTTGACAAAAAGATCTTACATAGCTGATTATAATTTTTTAAAATGACCACTCAAAGCAAATATTCGAAAGAAGCTGTCCTTTCTGAATTGGATCTTTTTACGATACCACCTGTTCAGAAATCTATTGAGAGAAGCTATGAAGTACAATACAGACCAATATCATCTCTCGACTCTACAAAAATAATAGAGTTTTCAATTCCTACATCTAAGGATGAGTATATTCTTCTTCATGAAACATATTTTTATGTGAAAATTCAACTTAAAATCCGAAAAGCAGACGATTCTGCGTTAACTATTCAAGACTGGGAAACTGTAACACCAGTAAATAATTTACTTCATTCTATGATAAAACAAGTTGAGCTTGAAATTGGAGGGAAAGAGGTTACCATGTCTAATTCAACATACGCTTACCGAGCCTATATTGAAAACATGCTAGGCTTCTCCGCTGATGCTAAAAACTCGCACTTGTCGAGTTGTTTGTGGATGGAGAATGCAATAAGGAGACGATCATTTTTCACTCCGAGAAGTTTTGCAGATGGTAGCAGTAAAGAAGTTGATCTTTATGGACGGCTACATTTTGATATGACATTTCAAGGCAAGGCTATACTTGGAGGTAAAGATATTAAAGTAAGAATCCTTACACGATCCTTCATTCTTCATGCAATGTGAGGATAGAGTAAGCGATGTTGCAATGGTGATTAAAGATGCATGTCTATACGTGCATAAAATGAAGGCTACACCTCAATTAACAAACGCACACTCAAAAGCTCTGGCTATTGCGCCTGCATGTTACCCTATTTCAAGGGTTGATTTACGACAAGCCTCTATCCATGCAAACTCTCTTGATGCGGTTCTAGATAATATTATAACTGGACAACTCCCTCGAAGATTATTCTTATTAATGGTTAAAAATACAGCATTTAATGGTTCTAAGTCTCAAGATCCATTCCACTTTGACCATTTTAATGTTTCACATGCAGCTTGTTACGTTGATGGTGTTCAATTCCCGACAAATGCGTATCAACCCGACTTCAAAAATCAATTATGTGTACGAGAGTACTCTGGCCTATTTCAAGCAATGAATATGAACTCAACTGATACAACAGTAAATATTACTAGGGAAGATTTCATGGGAGGAAAAACAATTTTCGCCTTTAACTTTGCACCAGACCTGTCACATGGACCTGGTATGACTGGACATATTAACCCTATTAAAAGAGGCTCGTTGAGAGTTCAATTGAGATTTTCTGAACCATTAAGAGAAACAATAACTGTACTTCTTTATTGCGAGTTTGACAATATTATTGAAATAGATTTAGAACGTAATGCTGTAACTGATTTCAAATAAAAGTAATGTTTGATTATGAAATAAAGAAAGCTCTTTGTTCTTACGATAAATTCATAGGATGTTTTGCGCGAGATAAAATACCTTCAATAGTTGAGTATCCATCATTTATTATCGTCAATACTGACAAGTCATCTGCTCCTGGAACGCATTGGGTTGCTATGAGATTTACATCGAATGAATGTGAATATTTTGATTCATTTGGTTTACCTCCATTGCATCAGGAAATGATAAATGCTATCGGGTCGCGTAAAATGTTGTGGAATGGCCGTTGTTTACAACACCCTTCTTCACGAACATGTGGAGAGTTTTGTATAGCATTTGTAAAGTTTCGCTCTCTGAAATTTTCATTCATAAAATTTATCAAGTATTTTCTGCTGATACAAAATCTAATGATAAAACAGTAAAAAGTATAAGTTCGGATGATTGGAATACAAGTTTTCAGTTGCATAACAAAAATGGATGAGTACACTTGCCCACGGGTTACAAACATGGTGGTCGCCTTCTCTCTACCTTTTGAGATAGATCTAAAACAGCTGATAAATATTTATCCTCAAACTGATTACCGACCTAAACGATTCAATGGTGCTATCATTAAGACGAAAATAAATTGTTTACTAGTATTCCGAAATGGAAAGATTAATGTCGTCGGAAATAAGAGAATTGAGGATGCTGAAGATGCTGTTGATGAATTGTGTTTAAAATTGCATAAGAAAAAAGAATATACAAGAAGAATAGTTAATATCGTTGCTACTTGTGCATTAGGTCATCCAATTGTGTTGAATGATCTAGCAAACAATGGAGACTTTGAATATAACCCTGAAATATACCCAGCTGCTTACTATAATATCGGTAAAGCTAAAATATCGGTTTTTCATACAGGAAAAATAATTTTCACTGGCTTTTCAGATTTTACAGATATTGTGAATTCTTTTGATGAAGTTCATTTGCTAATAAAAATGATTTGATATTTTATAAGAAAACAGTTTATTTAATTAATCAATTTCATTCTACATATATGAGAGATACTTGATTTACAAATTGGACAATCGTCAAGCTGTGTCGCACAATCGATGCAAGAGATAGCGTGATCACATGGTGCGAATACTGTACCGATTTCTTTGTCGAGACATATCTTGCAAGTGTATCTGTCCTTATCATCAGTGGGTTGTGGTAGCTCTGTAAGGGGAGTAACTGTATCTGTTGGGGAGTTGATATCATCTACGAACATCTGTCCTCGCTTCAAATATAGATAACTACATTTAGGGAAGTAATATGCATGGACAGCCCATGCATTATCTCCTCTCTCCCAATTTGAGATTGTTCCATTGCAGTTGAAACATCTGGTGTGATCGTATACTCTAGTGTAAAAGAATCCGGCCTCTGCAAGTTCTTTGGGTGTTATTATCTCATTGATCGGCCAATTTGAGAAAGTTTCAGTCCGACTTTGTAGTGTTCTAAACTGAAGGTTCAGCGGCTTAAAGTATCGTCGTCGATTGGATGATTCTGAAAATGATACCAGCCTATTTCTTGTTATACGCCTAGATACTCTAGGAAAACGTCGGTTCGTTCTTTCGATTGCTGGAAGATTGTTAGAATTTTCATTTTCTGTTAGGATGTTAGAGATACCAGTGACATTATCATTGTTTTGTGGTCTTGGGTAGTCATCAACTACATCTTCTCCCTCAATTTGGTTAAATATAATCACTCGATCCTCTGCAGTGTTATTAGAATGTGAAGGATTATTATTCTGTACTATCCTTGATTCTTCATTTTCATAATTAACCATGACTCTTAGAGGCGTGTTTTCCTGTAGAACAACAGTTGATATAGATCTTGGTATATTACCACAAGGAAGACCTTGGATGAAAGGACAATCTGATGAATGAAGACGATGTTCAATCCAGTGTAAATCTTGCCAGATTGAGGCGTGGTAGAGGTATCCACAGAAAAAACATTTAACCTGTCGCGATATTCCTGTAAAGTAAAAACCATCGCGCGCTAGCTCCGTTCGGTATGAAATCTCCGTGCCCCACGCTGATTGGAAAAAGCTTTCATATCGAGCTTGCTCGGAAGCATAAGTACTTGCATTGTTGCTTGAGTCTGTTATATTCATTTTAGTAGAAAAAAGAAAGAAACTTCAGATGTGACTCTTAAGAATTTTGAAATGAAAGTGAATACTCGTCAATACAAACATTTGCTTTTTATTCGAGTTCGGTCTCCCTATCTCACTCTCTATAGATGTGCGCACTATCAATTGTATTTTTCATTGCGCATGTGTGATTTGGCTTGCAAAGTTGCTTCTGACCCCTACCCCCTAACAACATTAAGCTCCTCCCTTTTTAACGTTTAGACACATCTTACTACTCTTGGATGCAACAATTAAAGGATGATTAACATACTGATCTGAAACGGAAGATTATTCAAATTAATTTTTACGTGATTAAATATATTTCGTCCAATATATAATTTACTTTAACGGAAAAGTTAACACCAACAATTAAGCAACAATCTTGTTAAAACATAAATCTAATGGACTAATTTTTCTTGTCTACGTTGATCAATGAGACATAATTAAGTATCCTAATGATCATGTTGATAATTTCAATTAGATGATTACCATAATCAAAGATAAAAAATCTTATTATCCTGATTATTTAAATTATCACCAACAATTAAAATTTAGTTGAAATTGACCTGAAAAATTTAAGTTTTTAGCGAAAAAAAATGAATCAAATTGTTGAACTTTTTTTTCATTGAAAATGAAATGGATTTTGAATTAAATAAAACAATTAAATGTCCGCTCATTTGATTAACCAAAAGCAACAATGATAGCAATTAACCAAAAAATGATCATCTACAATTTAGATTCACCAATTCGCTACTTTAATAGTAAATGATTAACTTGATGACCTTTTAATTGTCTCAAACTACCAGTTGATGAAAAATGAAATTAGATGATTAAGATTAATCAAGAAAACACAATCAACTTAATTAATCAACGGAATATATTGAGACTGATGATTGACGGGACCAGCTGATTGGTCGACTTGACTAGTCGACGACGATTGATAGGGCCTGATTCTGGTTGGTAGTAGCAGGCGGTAAAAGCTCGGAATTGCGAATATCCATTAAATCCGAAAGACCCTTGGAAGAAAATAAGAAATTTGGACATATCAGATATATTCGAAGCAAATGGTAAAAAAATATCTATCGAACTTACAACAGTACCGCTCTGAGAAATCTGGAATTTGATTATCTCACTTTTCGCTCGTCTATATTCATTCGTTTGATCAGCGCTTATCAATTTATTAAATTTACCCGTAATCAATAATTCGTAAGTCGAATAAAGATTGTTGAGCGACCACTCGTTCTCACCTGAATCTCTCTCTATGTTAATATGGACCAGAAGATTTTTCTGATGTATGTCTTGTGCTTTTCGATTTAAAATGAGTACGAAATTGCTTCAACTGATCATCGTTAGGCTTTCGAATTATTTCCTGAAATTTAAAGTAACAAAATTTTTGGTCAGGTTATATGAAATCAGTCATCAAACTTATCAGATTATGAGATTTTAAATCAATTTTTTTGCTTGAATTAATATGTCTTATTAAAAGATCAAGGTCATTTCCGTAAAGAAAGCGTTTCAAGGTCATCTGAAGGTAATAGCGTTATTCTTTACATTTTTCCAGCCTGGTAAATGAGTTTGGAGATTATTGTGATCGCAGATCTTAAGATATTACAGTTAAATTAAAGAGCTTTTGAAAATCTTTCATCCAATAAATTCGCATCAGAAGCTAAACTCATAGAAACCTAAAAACTTTACACTAGTGTAACTGAATATTTTATTTTATAAAATTACCATCAAATGACCTTGAAACACTTTCTTTCAGAAATGACCTGAATGACCTTGATCTTTCAATATGACATTTGAGTATTGCTCAAACTGATACCACTCGAGTCTCTGCGACTCATAGTTGCTGAGAAAATCGCAATAAATATCGGTAAAAGTAGCTGAATAGCCCTGTGTATGGTAAGTCGCGTAAAGATTAGTCATTGTCCATTCAGTTTCTTCGCTTTTTTTCATGTTTATCGCATTGAGCAAAAATTCTGGTGAATCTTGTAGATTTTAGTTTAATTTTATTGAAATTGACCTGAAAATGTGAGTTTTTAGCGAAAAAAATGAATCAAATTGTTGAACTTTTTTTCATTGAAAATGAAATGAAGTTTTGAACAATTAACAGAAAATGATCATCTACAATTTAGATTCACCAATTCGCTACTTTAATAGTAAGTGATTAACTTGATGACCTTTTAATTGTCTCAAACTACCTGTTGACGAAAAATGAAATTAGATGATTAAGATTAATCAAAAGAAAACACAATCAACTTAATCACTTACAATAAGTGTTTCTAATTTATCTGAACAAACTTAGGGTCAAATGATTAAATCAACAATTAACTTGTTGATTTCCAAATCTACAAGATACCAAAATCTAATCACAAGTAAATGAAGCGACAATTTACTTAATCAGAAAATATCAATTAGTCGTATCAATCAATTTAATTGAAAGTTGAATTGTTTTTGATTAAACAAAAGTAAACGAGATCGTGAAAATCAAGTTAATCAATTTCTGTCATAGTGTTGACCAATAATGGGAATCAAATCAAATCACAATTAACCTTTGTAAATATTGACAATTTATTTTCATATGAACAACTAAATGATTAACTGAATGATTAACTTTTTGATTGTTACAACAGGAACAAACTGACATTGAAAACACAACAATTTAACATTGGAAATTAAGTTAATCATCTTGTTAACAATAGGAACTTGATTATCGCCATTAGTAAATCCAATTACCACAAAATTATTTATCTAATCAGTTGAATGATAACAATTACAATTGAAAAAGGAACCACAATTAACTAACTACAATCAGGTGCGACTAAAAAATATCACAAAAATTAAAGTTTTTATCAAGAAAAAGTATCTTAATGTTTAATTAATGACCAAATCTTTGAACAATTAAATTTAATTGTAAACATTTTTCAAAGATATAAAAATGTGAATAAAATTTTAATTGTTTTAAATCAAACTCGGATTACAGTTAAGTTTACAATTAGATTGATCTATTTTTTTTTCTTCGTCATTTTATTTTGTAATTTGTTGTTGTTGGCAAAAAGATTGTGATTAGTTAATTGTTGGATATTTATGATTGATAGTTTCGTGTTGCTGTTGCCTCTTTGGGTGCACCAAGGTAAACATTTTGTGGTGGTTGCTCGAGGGCATATTGGACACCGGCGGGAGCGGGATTGTCCATACCTGGTTCGTTGGATCTGATTGTTGCTCGGAAACCATTTTCATCGGCGACATAATCAACATAACGGTAAACACCATAAGCATCACGATAACCATATGAACCAGTCACTCGACCTGAGCCATCACCAGTTTCTTGATGATAACGTTGATTACCATATTCATCGGTTACATCGTAATTAAAATTGTGAGGTTGAGGAGCCTTAATTGTGGGAGGTGAGAGAATCAAACAATTAAACAATTTGCTTTCACTTGAACACACAGAAACACATTGATTTAACACCAGAATTTAGGGAAATTAAAGGGAAAAACAGTTAATTACTTACATAGTTTTCCTCTGGACCTGCGACATAAGCACCAGTGTTAACTGGAGCAGCGTTGGCATATCTGACTGGTGCAGCGGCAGCGGCAGCGTATCGCCTTGGGGCAGGAGCTGGGACAGCGGCAGCAGCGGCGTAGTTCAAGGTTGGTGCTTCTGCAGCCGCATAAGCAACAGGTCGATATTGACTTCGAGCTCGAGTTCGTGCATAAGGTACAGCAGCTTCAGAGAGCGCACAAAGAACGGTAACAATAACGATACATTGATAGGTGAACATTTTGTTTAGTTTTCACTTTCGAAACTTGGTAAATCCGAATAACGAAATAAAATTAAATTAAAACAATTAAATTTAATTGTTGTTATGATAACGATGGCAAGTTGTGAACTGTTTTCAATTTCATCTTCTCATTTCATCTTAAATACAAATTCCAAGTCTTGGTCAATGGTGAGCAAAAGGATGAGTCATTCGCGATTCTCTGACCAAAGAGACTCACTCACTCGCTCATCATCTGTATCATCATCTCACTCACTCACTCACTCACTTTCTCTTTCTCTCTCTCTCTCAGGTAAGGAAAGGATGGACTTTGGATGATACAATCAAGGAGGAGACCAGAAATATCATCATTCGTCCAGATACCAACACATGAAAGTGACCACAACCTCCGTCCATCTTTATTCATCCTCCTCCTACTCTCATCATCATCTCCTTTCACTTTCGTATTCAAGGTAAGCAATACTCTTGTTTATGTTCATCATTATAATCAACAAGATGATTATGATCTTCATCATCATCATCATCGTGAGAGCTACGAACACCATTAATTATCTAGAAATTTTATTCTTTTTTCTTTCGAATTAAAAATTCAATCTTTTCTTTTACAAAATCTACCTTCAGGTAACATGAATAACACGAAGGTAAATCTACTAATTGGTTTTTTAATTTCGTTCTGATTAAAGGAAATGATTTACTTGTTACTAATCATCATCATGATGATAATTTATTATTGGAATTGTTAATCTACATCTAAATCAGTTTCTTCAATTTCTCTTCATCTTCATGATTAAAACTTTTTCTTTTTTCTTAATCTTTGTCTCAATTTAAGTTTTCATGATCGATTAGATTATTAATTGTTAAATATTCAAGGTAATTTACTGATTGAAATAATATATATATCATATGGATTCACGATTATCGTGGTTACAGATATTTAAGTTAATCTCAAACAATCAATCTTACAAATTGTTGTTAACTTTTGATTGTTTATTTGACCTTTTTTCTTGTTGATTGTTGAAAAATCTTAATATTCTGATTAACGGTTAATTGTGAAGGGTCAATAAGGTGTAATCACCAATAAGATAATAACAATTATCTAATTAGTTGATTGCAAGAGTCAAAACACTTTCACTGATTATCACCATCACTTGATTGGGATTGATTTCAACAATCAACTATTGGTTAATTGTTGAAATCAGTTCAATTATTTGGTTGATTATTAACTTCCTATGTTAATATAACAATTAATTTGACTTTTCAAATTGTAAATTGTAAAACTTTTTATCGTCTTAACTAATTGTTGTTGTTTCCTTTTGATTAGTTGATTGTTTCAAATTGATAATTACTCTTGATTGTAATGAGGATATACAATGAAACAATATAGATGAGTATCATATGATAATCATCATGATTAGTTGATTAGTTAAATAAATCAACTGTTGGTCCACAATTAATATTACAAACACTAAAGGTGTAAAACAATCAAGGACAATAATTAACAATAATCATGATCATCTTTTAACAATCTAATCAAATCCATCATAATTTTTGTTTCAACATTACAAATCTGATTGCTGTTATTACACAATTAAATTTGATTATCATCTTAATCATGTTTGTTTTTCCTGATTTAACACTTTAATTGTCAAAAAAGGTTAAAATTTGATAACAATCAACAAGTTTAATTAGATGACCAAAATTCATTCTTGAAATGATGATTGATTAGTTACAATTTAAATTATTGGAAGTTAATTAACTGAATCTATTCATGAAATCATCTAATGATTAGTTGATTTTTTTAATTACTATTTTTTGCTCCTGAAAGGTGCAAGTTAATCAATTTACTTGTGGTTTACAATTAGTGTTATAGTTAATACAATTGGAAAGAAATTAATTAATTTGAATTAGAAAATTAATTTCGCTTCTTGATTAATCGGTTTAAAATTAACTGATTGTTTCGTTAAAAGTCAAGGTTAATTTGAAGATTATTGTTAAATCTTTAATTGTGATTAGTATTTGTGATGGGAATTAGTTTCTATTAAATCTTGTTAGGAGAGAGAAAGATTAACAATTAAGGATTAAAAGTTAATTACAATTAAATGAGTAGATGAGCTAAATGATTTACATAATTGTTTCAATGATATTAAATTGTGACAATCAAATAAGACAATTAAAAAAGTGTCCTTAAGTTTATGAGTGTACACAATTTAATAAATTGTTACTAACAATTAGTAAGTCAAATGGTCAAGTTGTTGTTGATTTAAATTGTTGAAAATGATTTAATTACTCAATATAAATTGTTAATTGTGTTTAAATTTTGATTCTGATTCTGAAAATGTGACAAAACAAATTTAGTCAACAATTTGTCAACTGATTTGGTAACAAAAACTTGTATCAGAAAATTAATTGTTTAAAGATGATCAAGATAATCACTAAATCACTTGACATGGTAAATTATTAATTCACCAACAATTAACAATCAACAATCAAAAAAAAAGCTTATGGAGTAATTGTAAAGAAAATTAATTCTAATTGTTATAAACACACAAAAATCAACGTTGACAAGTTAATGGTCACTTGACAATCAATCGGACTGATCACAATTAACAAACGAAAACAATTAATGACAACTAATCATCTTAATTGTTGACATAATGTTGACCCAACGAACCCAATGATTAACATGATTGTCGTTTCTAAATCAACTGATTGATTTAATTAAATCAGATGAAAACATTATCCTTTTTAATTGTTTTCCCATTTCATTTTAATTTCCTGAAAAAACTCAACAATTAACCAAATCAAAGCGAAACAATCAATTGATTAACAATTAACAAATTATTTTCTCCGAAACTTTTCCTGTCAAAATCTCACAATTAGTGCGAGAAAAAAAATAAACGTCCAACTAATCAAATCAATTCTTAAATCAATCAATCATCAGCAAATCGATTAGTTTGTTAAATTTAATTTTCGCACATTTAGTTAATTGTATTGATCAATTTTCCCAAAATTGTCATTTGCTTGTCACTCGCCAATGGGTCAACATTAATGTTTCTGTTTTCTTATTGTTCCTCCTCTCTAATAATTAACTTTTTATACACTTGAAATTAGATTAATTACTTTGCAATTGGAATTAAATTGTTTACAATTAGTGTCTTCAAATTCACGATCATGTTAATTTGTTAATTAAAAATAATTAAACGGTAACCAGAATCATCAAAACCTTGAACGATTTACAGTAGTAATAAGGTAAGTGTTTATATCTGTTTCTCCATTTTTTTAATTATGTTATTGGTGCTTCTTGTTAATTAATTTAATTTAATTTCTTTAGTAATTTAACAGATAACCAATGCTACATTTGATTGCCCACTGTGATTAATTAATCTTCTTCTTATTCTAATGATTATTTCTTCCTGGATTTCCAGGTAATCAGGTAATCATAATTTTTTCTTTTCTTTTCTTTTCTTTGCTTATTCTCTTTTTCCTATATTTCCAATGTTTTGGCTTCTTCTCCAAAAGATTTACCTCTTTCTCTCTTGTCTTTGTATTAACTGTAATTCTTTTCTTACTTGTTTTTTGTTCTTTTTTTATTCCATAGAATTTTTAATATTTCTGGAACCAGGAAAAGGCTTGAGGGTAAACATGAGCTTCCAATGGAAAGGAGTTCATAGATGGTGAGGAAGATTAATCTATGGAAATGATGTAATTCATCCTCTTTAATCCGATGTCTATGTTGATGCTCATCGTTGGAAGAGAAAAAAATTAATGGTGATTTTTTTGTTCTCTTTTTCTTTATTGATAATCATCGTTACTGGTTTTCTAAACTTATTTAACTTTTTTGTCTTTATCATTTTTAAGCTCCTTTTTTTTCATTTCCAATCATCTTCTTCTTCCTGTTTCGGATTCTCTTTCACTATGGACTCAGTGGATCACCCTGACTAGGAATCAACTGAACAACAATATATCTATGATTTGGAATCAACAATGATATAGATTTTCAAATAATCTAATGTTTTATTGGTTATCGTGTCCAGTATGATGAATGAAAAAGAAACTTGTTGATGGTCAATGTCCGGTTTACATAAGTGCAATCATTTTTAATCAATCAATTCCATCTTATCATAATTCATAATCCATTTTATCCTTGGACAAAAAAGATATTTAAATTATTATTCTGCTGCCTGACATCTAATACTCTGATTACTTTCAGGATAAATTGTGTTCAACAAATTCAGCTGAAGGTGAACTTTTCGACGATGATCTTCCACGAGGTCGAGCTTCCATACTGTATGATAACAAAGCGAAATAATAACTGTAGATTGTAGTAATTAGTTGCTGTAAAACGAAAATAAGACCAACATCGTTAATAGCATCCAATTTATACCGAAAACATTTCAACCACAAACCTTTCGAATCTTATTGGTGCAAAGTTGCTTCAATCAGCTCGATGACTTTGGGAAACAGGAAAAAGGAAACACTTAAAGAGGAAGATGACCCAAGACCAGCACCAACCGGAACATTGGAATTAATTTAAGTTAATTTTCGATAAGAAAATTAAACATCGATGTAACATGGTAGCATATTGAAAGAGAGGAGATGTTTAAATGTAAAGAATGTGTTGATTAGCTAACTCATGACTGCGCTCTTGGTGAACGATGACTCTAATTAAACAGTCCAATTTGTAAGCGCACTGACAAGGCGCTGGAACAGAAATGGTTCCCTGTTGATATTAATAAAATGTTTTCAATTAAACAGAAATCATTAGCAATTGATGTTGTTATGCCCTTTCTTGACCGCTGCCATTATGTGTCTGGTAGACACTCTCAAGGGACCATTGCTTTTCCCTTTTCTACTTATTTTCCCTTTTCTTACATTCTTTTCTTTATCTCATTTCCTTTTCCTCTATTTTTCTACATATAAATAGACTCTGATTACCAATCAGAACAACACTTACTCTTTTCTTATTGTTCTTGTTTACAATTACTCTTGAGTCATCTAATTAAGCCACTTATCTAATTACTTTATTAAAGTTCGTTTGTGTTAATTGTTTGTGTTATTTGATTGTTCTACCAGAATAACTAATTAATCAACCTTGGGCTTATTCTGGACTTTACCAAAGTCCTGAGTTCCCTAAGTTTGGTCCGGGTTGATTGTTATGCCGGTTAAACCATAACATTTGGTGGAGATACCTAGTCCTCTCTCGCAGCTCGCTGCCTTGTTGGTGTTTTTGTGTGGGGTGTGTAAGTGAAATAATAGTTGAGGCAAAATCTCTGCGAGATCATCTTGTGTTAAGCTGCATAACGGGACCAGAAAACACAATTGTCTGATCTGATCGATTGATTTGTGTAGCTCTTATTATTTGTCACAATTTGTCTGGTAGACAAACACCTGGCTCATTAAAAATGCCGCTCGAAGAGAACCCCAATCAGCCGAGTGGTGGCTCTGAAGATCAATTTTATACTGCTAAGCCTGAATGGGCCGATCAGACCATTGATCAAAGGGTTGAAACCGTGGCTTTCAATTTAGAAAATTTAGAAGTTCATTGTGATTTAATGTTTGATGAAGTCAAAAATGAAGTGAATAAGGTCCGTGTTGAATTAGGTGAAAAATTCAACCTCCTAATGAAAAAGATCGAAGATCTTACCAAGTTAATTCCCTCAGTGATCCCTACTCCCATCGCTACTTCGACTCAAAATCGAATTTCGAACAACCAGAATATTCCATCTCCTATGGAAACTCTTCGTGCTGGTAGCACCCGAAGAAATGTTAATATTAATGATACACCAGCGGTGATTAATTTGGACACTACCAGTTTCCAATCTTCTACCTCTCTCCATAATCACCCACCTCCTGAAATGTTTAGTGAAATGAGAGATGAAACTCATTATGCTGAACCTCCTTCTTCCTCAAGAACCGGAATGTCAACTATTGGAACCCGTTTGTTTGCTGATTCTATTCCTGCTTTAGATTATTCAGGTCAAAGAGCTTTACTAAAGCCAACAAAGATTCCAACCTTTAATGGTGATCCTGCTAAAGCCGCTGAATGGTTAAGAGATTTTGAATTGGTCTCGGCTTCAAATTTCTGGCGCGATTCTGATAGAATCAGAAGCTTGGCCCAAGCTTTTGTTTTAGACGCCAAAACATGGTTTGTCGGTGTATATTTACCATCAATTCCTATTGGAAAAATTGCTACTTGGCGACATTTTCGATTAGCCTTCGAAGATGAATATTTTTGTGAAGGTGAAAGAGAAAAACTCTACGATAAAATTCGTAACTATAAACAATCTCCAGGTGAAAGACTTACTGCCTTTTTCAGTAACATGGTTTGTATGTGCAAAGATTACGACCCTGATATGCCTGAAGAGAAAATCATTCAAATGATAACCTGGAATCTTCAGGATGGTCCAAAAACCGCTGTATGTGCTGCACTACAACAAGAAAATTCATTGGAAAGAGTGAGAGCGGTGCTCAAGTCACTACAAAACGCATCCAATGATACGAATAGACCGAATAATAGTAAATTAAATCTAAATATCTCGGCTAATCAAACGATTAACCTTTCAGACACTAAAGTGCAATCTCCTCAACAACAAATTTCAAGCATTAATAATGCTGCCTTGTGTTTCAATTGTGAAGAACATGGTCACTATTTGAATAAATGCCCTAAGCCTAAAAATATCGACAAAATTAAAGCAGCTATTGTTGCCTTTAAAGCGAAAAGATCTGGTCAGATTATCAATCAAATTGAATTAGAAGATAACCTATCTTGTGATTTTTCTGATACCAACACCTTAAACGAAGACATCGGTGATGTCGGAGAAATTGCTGATGAATTCGGAACAGAATGGTGGCAACCCTTTTCCAAATGTGATGCTATTGATATTCAACAAACGGCAAGTAAAAATAATCTTTGTCCTGTAATTAATGGCTATATTAATGGAAAACCTGGTCGAATATTAATCGATTCTGGTGCTGTTACCTCAGTTATGGCCAAAAGCATCACCGATGCTTTACAATTAAAAATTTACCCTTGGCCTTACAATGAAATTAGAATGGCTAACAGCTCATTAGTAAAACCGCTTGGTTTAAGCTATTGTAAAGTAACGATTGGTAATCATCCATTTCCTGTTAGATTTTGTGTTCTTGAAAAGACTTCCAGTCCAGTGCTTTTGGGCTCTGATTTCTTTAAGAAATTTAAATGTGTAATTGATTACTCTCACGATACAATCACTCTGAGTGACTCAGGTCAAATTATTACTATACAAACTATAAGACCACCCAGCAATATAAGAACACTAAATGTTTCTAATGTCGATGATCATCTTGTGACTCAAAATTTAAGTGAATCACCTGTAAAAGATATTCTATTAGAATATGATGATGTCTTTGCTAAAGACAGAGCTGATGTTGGACTTATAAAAGGTTCAATTCATAAAATTCTAACTGGTGACCATCCGCCAATTCAACTTAAACCTTATCGTTATAATCGTCAAGATCGAGAACAAATCGATTTATTACTGAAAGAAATGCATGATTATGGTATAATCATCAAATCTCAAAGCCCTTGGTCTTCACCTTGTGTATTAGTCGGTAAAAAAGATGGTCATACTCGCTTTTGTGTTGATTATCGAAAACTGAATAATATTACTCAAGATGATTTATATCCAATCCCAAGAGTTGACGATTCTCTTCATTTAGTACAAGATTGTACTATCTTTTCAACATTGGATGTTGCTGCTATGTTTTGGCATATACCAATGGACCCGGAAGATCAAAAGAAAACTGCTTTTGTTGTGCCTCAAGGTCAATTTGAATTTACACGAATGCCATTCGGATTGAAAAATGGACCTGCAACTTGTTCCCGTGAAATTGCTCGAGTTCTCGGTGGACTGAACAATATTGATTGTTTTGTTTATTTCGACGACATTTTGATATTTGGAATGGATCAACAACAGCATGATTTAAGGTTGACAAAAGTGCTTCAAAGGTTACGTGAGTTTAATGTTAAATTACGTAAACACAAGTGTACATTTTCATCTGAAGAAATCAACTATTTAGGATTTACAATTGGTAAAAATGGTTTCAAACCATGTAAATCTAATCTTCAATCGGTTTCTGAATTTAAAGTTCCAATCAACTTAAAAACTTTAAGATCTTTTCTTGGCCTGTGTTCTCATTACCGCCAATTCATTCCCTATTTTTCCAAGATTGCATCTCCTTTAAATTATCTATTGAAAAAGGATGTCCAATGGGAATGGAATCAACTATGCCAAATCGCTTTCGAAACATTGAAAGCTAAATTAATTTCTGAACCTGTTCTTGCTCAATTCAAAGATGAGGGGCGATTGGAATTAAGAACCGACGCTTGTTTCAAGGGTTTAGGCGCAATACTATTGCAAGAGCAAGAAAACAAATTGAAACCATTATGTTACATTTCTCGGACTCTTCAAGCCGCTGAACGTAATTATGGAATTACTGAGTTAGAATGTGCTGCTATCGTTTGGGCAATTCGTCGTTTAAGATATTATTTACATGGTCGTAAATTTACAATTGTGACCGACCATTGTGGTTTGTGTTGGTTAAAAACTATTCGTGAACCAACAGGTAGATTGGCCAGATGGACTTTACAACTACAACCATTTGATTACGAGGTCAAATATAAGAGTGGAAAAGAACATGGTGATGTAGATTGTTTATCACGATTTCCAATCGAAATTAATCCGAGCGATCAAGAGATAGAGGAAGAAGAAGAAGACGATCAAATGTTTCCATTCATTATCAATGAAATTTCAATAACCAACAACTTGTTTGTCAAACAATGTTTCGATTCTTATTGTGATAAAATCAAGAGGAAATTAGATGATACAAGCCTATCCAAAAGAACAAAAACCCGACTGCAAAATAAATTCGTATTGGATAAAGATATTCTATTCAGAATTTATCGAGGTTCTCCGGTTCCAATTTTACCTCAATCAATGATAAAAGATGTTCTCAAAGCTTTACATGATGATCAGTTAAGTGGTGGACATTGTGGTGTCAAAAAGACAATCGCTAAAGCAAAGAAACGTTTCTTTTGGCCTGGAATGAGTTCCGATATCACCAAATACATAAGAAGCTGTGTGGTTTGCCAAACCAAAAAACCTGATAATCACCCTCCTAAAGGACTGATGCAACCATTAAAAATTTCCCATGTAATTTTCAGTCAAATAAGTTTGGATTTAATGCAATTACCACCATCATCTAATGGTTTTGAATATATAGTTGTGATCAACGATCAACTATCAAAATATTCAATTGCTGTTCCTATTAAAGTTGCGGATTCTTCTTCAATCATCAAGGTAATTTATGAACATTGGATTCTACAATTTGGTTGCCCAAAATATTTACTAACCGATAGAGGGACTAATCTAACCTCAGTCGAATTTGAGGATTTTCTCAAACAATTTGGAATCAAACACAAACTAACATCAGCTTACCATCCTCGAACTGATGGTCAAACCGAAAGATTCAATGCTTTTCTTGGAATGTCCCTAAACATCTATTGTGATAAAATCAAAAATTGGGACTTGTATGTGAAAGAAATTTGTTTCATGTATAATTCAACGCCTCATATTTCAACCAAAATCTCACCATTTTTTGCTATTCATGGAACTGAGTGTCGATTACCAATCGAAAACCAATTATCTTTACCTTATGGATTACAGTTAAAAGATGCTAAAGTCTATATGGATTGTGTTTGGGAAGAAGCTAAGAAAGAAATTGAAAAATCTCAATCTCAAGCAACCAAATATTTCAACTCTGGTAGAGTTGAATCACCATTTAAACCACCAGACTTGGTTTATCTCAAAGTTCCAAAAATAACAACCAAAGGCAAAAATAAGAAATTTAAAGATCGTTTTATTGGTCCTTTCCGTGTAATTTCCAATCGCGGACCAGTAGTTACAGAGATAACTAAATTATCCGGACGACCATTAACTTATTTTGTCCATTGTGAAAGACTTCGTCATTTTGTGAGACGCGAATCTGATTACCAATCAGAAAATGAATATTCAATTCTTGAACAAGATCATGTTGATGACTTATTTGACATTCTTAATGATTCATCTGATTAATTTAATTAGTGCGCTTAAATTTAGTTTCCTTGACATCAACTCTTTGACTCAGTGTATCCACTTTATACTTTCCCTTTTGTCTTTTCATCATTTACCCTTTGACTAAGTTTCTTCTTTGTTATAACTGTGGTACAGTTTTAGTTTTTTTTTTGTTGTTATTTCAATTTTTTGAGCTTCACCGAAGCAAAATGGATTTTGGTGTTCCAAATAACGAATGGGACAATGTTGGTAACATTGCTGGTATTCATATGCGACAAGATCGTGAAGATGCTGCCGCTTATCGTGCACGCACTTCAAGACAACGACGATTACAACATCCAGATCAATTCATTCCGGTGGAATCAAATGGATACCATCCAGATTTGTTTGTTAAACGACCAAGTGATCAACCAAATTGTTTCTCTCGTTTTCTTTGTACAATTTGCCATGAAGTTCCAAGTACAACGCCTCTTTGTCATCTTCGTGATGATGAAACAATGTGTTCAGCTTTATTCTGTATGGAATGTTCTGACAACATGAAACGGCTCATGGATAATCACACTTGCCCCCTTAGGTGTAACACACCTTTACTTTTTGATGGTGCTGTGAATGTCATTCACATTAGTGGTTATCGTTTGTACAATTATCTTTTTCTTGAAATGAAATGTACCATTGAACCAAATGAGGTAGTTTATCTCAAAGATTGGATTGGTCATGAATTAGCTTGTCCGTTTCATGACAATTATTGTCCTTTCTATAAATTGGTAATGCCAGGTCATATTTACCCTTGTAGAGATTGTGAAGATCTACCAAAAGCAATTAGACCATCGTCTCTACCAGAGACTCAACAAAATGTGATTCAAATTTCATCACCCAATGTATCTCCTCTACCAGAGGCTGTTCCCGAATTGAATCTTGGAATCGAAGATCATTTAAATGATCCCGATGTGTTCCCCGAACAAATAAGAAGAGTCGATCCAATCGAATATCAACAAAGACTCTCCGAAATAGACGATCTCAATCGAGAAATTGCCACAATGAGATCAGAATTAGATCGTCTTCGTTTAACTTGTGGTAATCTGAATGTTGAAGCTAATTCAACAAGGAATCGCTTCGCCGAAGCACAAAGAACAATTAATGAATTTAATTCAAATTCTGGTTTGTCAAACCATATTCGTGCTGCTGGTGTTCACTATACGATGTCGGCGACAATTCATTATCGTGGTGACCCCGTTGTTATAACCAATTTACATTGGGATTCAACTGGAGCTGAATTAGCTGATCGATTCCGAGCCATTACCAATGAAGATCCTGGAACCATGGTCATTATGAGACACACACCAATCATACGAAACCAGAGGCTTCGTCAACATCAACTCGGTTTTCGCCCATTTCATGTTATCGCTTTGGGACAACGAAATATTCCTCTTGGTGCTACTCTTCGTGTCGCTCTCAGCGGAATTGGTCCATCCATTTAATTGTTCGAGGTCGAACAAGTCTCAGTGGGGGGTAATGTTATGCCCTTTCTTGACCGCTGCCATTATGTGTCTGGTAGACACTCTCAAGGGACCATTGCTTTTCCCTTTTCTACTTATTTTCCCTTTTCTTACATTCTTTTCTTTATCTCATTTCCTTTTCCTCTATTTTTCTACATATAAATAGACTCTGATTACCAATCAGAACAACACTTACTCTTTTCTTATTGTTCTTGTTTACAATTACTCTTGAGTCATCTAATTAAGCCACTTATCTAATTACTTTATTAAAGTTCGTTTGTGTTAATTGTTTGTGTTATTTGATTGTTCTACCAGAATAACTAATTAATCAACCTTGGGCTTATTCTGGACTTTACCAAAGTCCTGAGTTCCCTAAGTTTGGTCCGGGTTGATTGTTATGCCGGTTAAACCATAACAATGTCTTTCAAATCTTCCCGTTCGCTTAGTACCTCGGCTACTTTTCTGGTCTTATGATAAACACAAGCGATTTGTCCTTTCGATACACCATCACGATAGATGAGTATTTTCTCATGGAAACGGCCATTTATAGAAGGCAGCGATTTAAGACCAACTTACCAAGAAAAGAGAGAGAGAGAAGATTACATAAATTATTACGTTCGAACTCAGATTAGAACTTTAATTCTTTTACATTTTAAACTCGAAGCTAAATTATTAATACAAGACATCTCGAAACTATTATGATATTATGATATAAAAACCTTGTACCAAGTAGAGTAGTAGAGTACCAAGTAGTTATCTCGACATTGGTGCTACTAACAAAACACACAGAGAGGTCATTTTTAACGGTATCACGATAGGTGTACCCAGCGATCATTGTATCTTTGGGATCTATTTTCAACAACGAAGCAAAAAGCGATTTAGTTCAAACAGAAATACGATTTAATATAATTTATTCCGACAAAAGTAGGGGGAAAATGAGTGCAATTAGCGCGATTATAATACTCATAATAAATGATACCGATATGATTAAAGCGCAAGCTTGAGCGCCCATTTTAACGGACATTTGGGAGAGCAATTTAGAAATGTTTGGTAATTGACTGGACGGAATTGGTCGATAAGTTTGGGCTCGATCATCTTCTGTAGGTATAAAAAATTTGGAATGAAAATTTTAACGCCCAATGGACCCGCGACTCGTAACAACCCTTAACATGTCCAGATAACCTTTCACCATATATCGATCTCTTATCGGAGTGACAACAACCTAGAACTCAAGTGTAACGGGAACTCTCATCCTCTCTGACCTGATACTTTGCTTCAATGACTTCAATCAAATGGCCCCGTCTTCCGGTCTTCTAGTCGAACTGCTGTTCCACCTTCACCCACTTTCGTCAATAAACCCGAAGGTTTAGTTTTGTTTACAATCTACTTGATCATGATGAGTTGTGGTGGTCAGTTAATTATATCAAATAACAACAGCAACAATATGATGCATAGTAATTAATATCTAAATCATAATAACAAGGTTTTGGTCATATCATATTAGCGTATTGATGATTTAATGAAGATGCTGTCTGATGGTCAAGGATATTTGTTCCTGCTGTTAAATTATGTTAATATTTTGACTTAATTAGTATGTATATTTTGGTGTATATTGAATTAAGATTAATTATTCTTCCTTATAATAATTCAGGTTATTAATTTTGTAAGGATTATAAATGAAAGGAGCCTCACTGGCAGAGGATTAACTGGATATCATCGTATCTAATTTAAACCAACTGGTTTCCCTAAACTAAATTAACTTTCAATTGTCTATCATCATCCATTCAATTAGTAATTCAACAAGATTTCAATGCAAAGTCACCTATTCAATTGTTGAATTGATTAATTGTGATGCAGAGTTAAGGTTTTGTTTCAATGTTTCAATGATGAAATGGATCCATCAAAATTATATGTTAATCGTATATACGAGATTATCCCTTACGATGATAACAATTACTGGATTAAATGTGGTAGACAAAGGGAAACAATAAGATATTAACCAATTAGATTACCAAGTTAATCCTTGATTGATACTAATGACCAACCAGAAAAAAGTTAATTGAAGAAGACAAATAATCAACAACAAAAGGGTATTCAGATTTGTGAGCTGATGAACTTTCATTCATTGAGATTTCATCATAATCCTGAGATCAGACAATTGAATGAATTGTTAGCATTGTAATTATAATCACCTGAAGCTTAATCATCATCATCAATGATTAACTTTCGCGTGCCATTATCGAAACAGATCTTTCTCTCCTTTCAATGTGATTCTAATCACAATCAAATATTAGTGTAACTTAGATAATCAACTTTCACTTTTTTACCTTTTAACTTTTGTTTTTTTTTCTTCTTCTTCTTTCAGGATTAACGATTATTATTATTAATCGTTAATATCGTTAAACTGGTGAAGATTTTTGGATTATGATTAGTCTCTCACGATTTTACCACCAAATGAAATTCATGAGATTCACCTTGAATTCAATGCTAAGGGACAAGTAAACTTGACCAAACCCGAACAAAGTATCTTGACCATTTATCATTCACATTAATCAAGTAAGGAGGTGATTCTTAACTGCGAGATTATCATTAAATTTAATTGTTTCACCGATGATGTTTATCATCATGATTACAATTACGATCCTGATTTGATTGACCAAAATGGTCAGTCTATTGTTGATAATCACTCACAAATTTCCTACACTGACCAATAATAGAAACATAGTTACAAGTATCATAATAGTTTTCTAATTATCCTTGAGATTAATTTCCTTAATTATGATTAAGATTAAAGGTGAACATCAATAATTAGCCAATCCTAATTTAAAGATGATCAACAATTTCAATTGTTGCTAATTACAAGTTGTAACTTTTTCAATCATCTTTTCAGTCATAACAATCAGTATGCTTAAAGTTAATTACTTTATTTCTTGGTAACAATTTAACTGATTTTCTTAGCTAATTGTCTTGAAATCAATTGATTAATAGCTGATAATCAAATTGATGAATGTTAATTGAATTATTAATTACCATTTATTATTATGCTTTCTTCTCATTTCTATTATTTGAAATTACTAATTCCCCTTATAATTTGATCATCAGGATTTAATTGTTGGTAATTAAGCTTAAATTGTGGCCACCTTTAACTAGGAGAATCAAAAAATCATCATGATAGTCCTTGAATTGTGAAGATGATTTAATTTATGATTAAAACAACAATACAATTAACTGACCACCAATTGTATTATGCTGATGATGATGATCATCTCTGGTGTTTTGTTTTAATACAACAATTAAGACAATGAATCCATAATCAAGGTAGTGTTAATGATGAATTATTCAGTAATCGTATCATTAAATTGTGATACATGATAATCAAAGTTAACCATCAACGTTATTAAATCTTTCATCTTAATTTCTGATACAATTTAATGATAATAATCAGTGTCTATTAAAAGAATCGCTTAATTATTAGAAATCTAATTTTGATTGTTGATAAAATGGTGAAGATCAAAGTTAATCGCGAATCAAATTGTCTTCAAATTAAATTAAATCTAAATGATGACGAAAATTTAAAATTCAAATCATCATGTTATTACAAAGGACAACATTCATTTACTGTTATTGCTGCTGTTATTTATAGTGATGATTAACCTTTAATTGTGCATGATAATTAACTAATTTATAAACATCCTGTTTCTTAAATATACTCATTTCCATCAACAATTAATTGTTAACCTTGTAAACTTTTTGGTTGATCAACTGTGCTAATGTTATTATGAATCTACATGTGTTTCCATTGACAATCAACTGAGCTCAACAATCAAATTGTATTATTATTGTTTAATTGAAAAAATTAATTCTCACAAAATGGATCAACAATTAATCAGCAAAATCATAATTAATTTTTAACATTTAGTTAATATTTCAACTATTCTCAGTTAATGTCTCAATCAATTTGCATTAAATCAGTTATATGATTCAAATTAATTCGGTTAATGATCAAAATTTAAGTTTATTTAAATGATCATTGTTAAGGTTGATCATTAATTAAAAAAATTTGTGACCTTCTTAATCGTGTTTAACTTAATTATTAACTGAATTAGCCAATTTTCTGATCATAATTATCATTTTATTGGATTAACATTTTCATTTTTTTGATCAAGTTTTTTGTATTAACAATCAGATTGAAAGAGTTAATTGTTCTTGAATCGTAATTAATTGTAATTGATTAAGTATAATTTGTAATAAAAATTAAATTTACATTGAACAATAATTTACAATGAAATGATTAATATTTTTACCATCAACAGATTAACTAAATTATCTATTCAAAATCATAACGGTAATTGAAAGCACTTTTCTGATCAATTAAATCTTATACTTTGATTGCACACTAATTAAAATTGAATAATAATCATGATAATTACATAATTTAACCAATAATTGTTGTTTCCTCATTTAAATATAAAGGTACAACTTGATCAATCATTTTTATCGGTGAAAGTGATTCCTCCAAAAATTGTGATTATGTTTCAGCCTTCAGGGTTTAATTAGATTTGTAAGGTTAATTGGTTGATTTGTTTAAGATGATGATATGTTAAAGTTGCTCGTTGAAGAAAAATATAAATGATGATTAAATTGATGATGATTGAATTGTTTTTCTTGTTCCTGATTAGATTATCCAATGATTAGCTGACATTAATTCCATTTGTCATGATTTGGTTTCTTTTCGATGAGATTTAGTAGTTAGCCGATTTGAATCCAGTTTCATGAAAGGTCTGAGTTATTCATATCGTAAATAAGGTTCAATATCCAATTGGTAATAAGTAGTAATTAATAAAATTGATGATGAAAAAGATGAGATCATGGAAAGGAAGAGGGATGGAAATTGATGAGACAACTGGATTAATACATTTTCTCATTGCAGTTTAAGTTCAAGTGTACCAGTGGCTTCAAATTCAGTGACAAGTCTAAAGAGTTGGAGAAAAAGACAATTAGTTAACTTGAGATAAATTATTTGATAGAAAAATGGAAGAAAAATAATCATTTTCAATGGAAAATTAGACTTACAAAAGTAATTCTCTGTTGGTTGGTAAAGCGATATCGGGATATTCTTCTCGAAGAATAGAAATGGCTCCTTGAAGATTCTTTTTCGCCCTGTAATAAGCAGTGACAAAATACATTCGCTGATGAAGTGTCATCGCCAACAAAGCAGGTGAAGGTTCACTTGAACGTCTCATAATTAATAAGAGATCAACCAATTGACGAGAAACAAAGAGAAAAGAATAGAAAAACAAAAATTCTACAAAAATGTCGTTAACACTTTTTCTATGTACACAAAACGTAATTGATTTTGATGGAGAAATTTATATTTCTTATATAAACCCACAGAATAGGTAATGACAATCAAAGGAAAACTCATCGAATCAAATCAATCCCATTACACAATTAACATGAAAGGTAATCAATGACATTTCCAATCGTCCATAATAATTGGATGGATTAACAATTATCTCCATGTTGTTAGATATCAATATAAACAAAACCCTTAATTTCCCAATCATTGGCCGATGACAACACATAAAATTATCAACCAATACAACCGAAAGATTAACAATTAAGTGTGAGACTAGAAAAAAATTAAAGATTAATTTAACAATCACTGATAATTAAACAAAAAGAAATTAAAAAAACAAATGGAACCCAAAAAAAAGGGTTAACTTGGAAGCGAAAAAATGAAATTAATGAGCAGTGAATAGAATTAAAGATCAACAAGAGATGGCGACACTTATGATTCTCTGGGCTACAGGCTCAGTTTTACTCTTTGTTTCATTTAGAAATTGGTGATTTGTAAATTAATCTAATTTGTTTTTAATTCTATATTTTAATTGTGCTTGAGTTTATTTGTAATCAGTGATTATTAAATTATATTATCTTTGTGAGACGATCAAAAGTGAACAAAAAACTTAAGGTCACCTTTAAAAATAAAAGGTAATCACGGTTGTGATAATGAATCCATGCCTCCAAAAATAACCACATATCTTGATCTCTCTCTCTCACTCTCAATCTCACTTACCTATTTGAGATGAAGACTAATTATGATTTTTATTATTAGTTATTAATTTGGTTAGTTTATTAATGTATTTGTTGTATTTTGTTTTATTTTTTATAGATGGAGAAGAATAGTGAACTTGACCGGCGAATTCGTAAATTATTAACTCTACTGAGAAATGAGGAGAACAAGTTGACCCTTATGAAGAAAATTTGGCAAAGTCAATTAGTGAAGAAAAATATATCTCAGTCATCAGTATCTGGTTCAGCTCATCAGCAACAGCAACAACAATCACAATCACAATCACAACAACAACAACAACAACAACTTCATCACCATCAGCAACAACATCAACAACAACAACATCATCAACATCATCAACAGTCAACTCATTCTCATCATTTAACATCAACTCCACCAGCACATAGCCATCATCCAACACCGACTCCTCCAGCTCATAGCCTTCATCATCAGACACCACCATCTTCAGCACACAGCCACCATCATCCAACACCACCAGCACACACCCATCATCAACCCACTATAATTGCTGCACATCAACAACAAACTCATGTACCACCACCAATGATTTTAAATCCACCGATTACCAATAATCGATCATATGGAGCTGCACCACCGCCACCTCCACCACCTCACGGCCTATCTTCCCATCTACCAGGTATTCATGGAAATCATGGAAATCATGGTAATCATGGTAATCATGGAAATCATGGAAATCATCACCATCAACACCAACATCAACACTCGCATCAACATCAACATCAACCAATCGGATATAAGCCTGTTGTTAATCGTGAAATAAATAACCAAACAGTAGCTCAAAGAATTGCAGCTGCTAAATCTGCTCTAAAGAAGCAATTAGAGAAAACTCTTCTTCAAATTGTTCCACCCAAACCACCTCCACCCGAGATGCATTTCATCCCCAATGCAAATAACAATGAATTTATATATTATTATGGTCTTGAAACGGTTGTCGACTTTTTAACTGGAACAGATCAAAATAAATCACCACCGGAACCCTTTGAATGTGTCCAGTGTGGCTCTGATTATACTCCACTTTGGAAATGGCCTGGAGGTATTGATCCAAACAGAGGAAAACCAGCCGTTATTTGTGAATCTTGTGTTTCAAATAATATGAAGAAAAAATTTAGAGATGATCATACCAAACGCTTGAAATCAGCCTTTGTTAAAGCTCTACAACAAGAGCAAGAAATTGAACAAAAAATATCCTCCGGAGAGCCAAGTCCACCAATTCCAGCTCTCACACCACCAACAAATCCAATCAACAACAATTCTCAAGCTGCTTCAGTAGCCGCTGCCGCTGCTGCCGCCGCTGCTGGTCTATCAAATTCTCTTGGTAATTCTGTACACGGGTTTGGCAATTCACCGGTTTTACCACAGGCACCTCCAGCTCATAGTTCTTTCTTGCGTCATGGATCCGCTGCCAATGCAGCCGCAGCTTCAGCTAATGCCTCCGCTGCCGCCGCGTTCGCGGCATCTTCAGCCTTGTTCAATTTATCTAAATTCACACCAGCCCAGCAATCGCTTCTCCAAGCACAGATACAACAATTGGCTCAAAGTTTACCACACAGTCTCAACCCTCAAGGTTTATCTCAACCTCAACCTGCACATATGCTACCCTTTGCTCCCTTACTTTTACAATATGGAGCATTGATGAACAATCGACAGTCAATGAATTGATTTTACAAACAAATTTAAATGTGTAATTTGGGCTCGTTCTTTTGAAAGAAAAACAAAACAAACAAACAAAACTTTAAAAAGAAATCAGTGTAATTTCTCAATTGAATAAATATAATACATGCATCACAATAGGAAAAAAATTGCTCATGGACAAAATATTTTATACAAAGGGATAAGTCTCTTGTTTATTTGATTATATTTGTTTTTTTTCTGTTCCTTTTTTTGTACCAACAAGAATATTTTTCCTCTCTCAGTCACATTAGAAGAAAAATCATCTTTTCACTTTTAAGGAGCCATCGGATATCTGAATTTATGCTCTTTCCGGCGCTTTTTCCTCATTGACAATATAAAACAAAATGTCAACAACATGCAAGAAGTTACAATGTACAAAAGTAAACATAAACTAATGTCCATTTTGTTTAGAATAACATTCGGCCAAGTCCACATGTTACCCGTGTGTTGGAAATCATGATCATATGAATCAAATACATTTTCATTGGAATCCTGGACATTGCCATTGTCATTATCATTATTTGGATGTAAATTTGTTGGAACCAAAGATGATGAATGTTTAATCAAATTATCACCACGATAACGTGTTAACAGAAAAATAAAAGTACCAGTTTCATTAAAACGTTGACCATCTAATGTCCAACAGGTTGGACAAGTAACAGGTGATGGATATTGGACTTTGGGATGAACCGGATCTTCAGTTAAATCTTTAGATAAACGTCTATTAACAATATTGTGAGCTCTCCAAAGCCAAACAATTGAGCTATTTGGATAGATTAATGTTGATTCCAGATTTGAAGATATTTCTCCAAAGTGTTTGGCACAATCAGCACAAGAGAAAAAATTTTTAATATAATCACGCATCGTATATAAAACTTTATGACCCTCTGGTTCACCTGAGGTTTTCATGTATTCATTGACGGTTAGAGTGTGAAAAAGAAGCCACAATGAACATGGATAACCACGGAAAACTGGCTCACTTCCGGAACAAGTTATCCAATTATCTGGCTTTGGAAAAGGAGTTTGATGATTTAATTTATCAAGAACCGTTAGAAAAGCTTCCCTATTTAAACCATGGACTTGAGTGGACAACCATTTTGATAGGGATGAGATGAAACTTTTAGCCGATTCAGAATCAAATGGAAAATAATCATTCAAAATGTTGATAAAATTTTTCAAAATTTCTAATCTCGATGAATCCAATTCTCGGTGCAAAGGAATCTGTTTATATAAAGTCTCATGAATGGATAAATATAAGTCAGTTAGATGAAGAGAATCAGTTGAATCCAAGTTTGATTGTTGTTCATTTTTTGTATTTTCTTGAAGAGCCTTAAATGAAGATGAAGGTGCTGATGATATTAATGGTTCCAAATAAGTTAAATTGTATTCGTTCATTATGACATCAACTGTAACTTTACGATGATCAGGACCAAGTTCATTGGGCCTGAGAAAAAAGAACAAAAAATTAGAAAATCTTGTTTCTTTCTAGTTTTCTTTTCTTTTCTTCTGTAGAAAAAAAAATCAAATTCACTAATCATGATAATAAAAGGACGGAAATATTTTTCTTTCCTTTAGAAAATATAATAATAAAGGTAAAAGTGTATTGGTAATATAAATTGTCATGCATCGGTGATCGGCTGGTGGTGACAGAACATAAAATCTTGGATAATCAAATAAACACCAATCCTTGATCTTAATCTTTGGATTAATACACGTTATCTTTTTTAGTCTTTCTTTTCCTCTTCCTCTCTCTCTCTATCATATCTTAATTTAATTGTTCTACTCCCCTTGATTGTGTAATTATTTTCGGAAATTACCTTTTAAATATCACAGGTTTTCCTCCTTTAGAGATCTTTATAATAACAGGTAGAAGAAGAGGTGATTCTTTTAATTGCTCAAGCCATTTGTGTCCAGTTTTGATTCTTCTCACTACAATGGTGTCTAAAAATGGCGACAGATCCAGAATAACCTGAAAAAAGAGGAAGAAGGAGTGAGAGAGAGAGATGGAGAGAGAAAGGGGAAAATGGAGGAAAAATATGAGAGGGAAAATTAAGATTAGAAAAAAAATTGGAAATGGTATCAATTGTTATTCTACATAACAGATTATATTTACCTCTCTTCCTAAATAAGATTTTTCTCCTTCAACCAGGATTAGAATATCTCTTGAGGATGAAATTTCTGTTAGATTGTTCATCTCTTCGGAATTAGAGGATCCAGGTAGTTAAGATTAGGCCAATTTGAAGGTGTTCCTTGAGACCATGATCGGTGTACCCAATCAAGATAATCATGTCTCATTGAATCAATACTTCCAATTTGAGTGGACAAGGGTTGACCATTTTTAAGATAATCATAATTATGCCAGAAATAACGAACAGAGGGAAATAGATTAATATTATAATCACTGCACAGTTTTACATTTGATTCCTCGGCACAATCAATTGCAGCAACACGAACCACTTTTGACCAATGTCTTATATCCTTGGCAAAGGTTTTCCATGTAGGAGCAAAACGGACACAATGACCACACCAGGAATTATAAAATTCAACTATAAAAGTATTATTCTGATGGAATATAAATTGGGAAAAATTTCTCTCCGATAAAATAGTTAAACCAGGCTCATTTCCTTTATACAATATGGGAATACCATTTATCACTGTCACCATAAAACTGGTGATGAAAATGATGATGATGATGATAAATGAACAGATGAGTTGATAACTTGAGGTAACTTTCATTATTTGATTAATTTGTAACAATTGTTTCCTTCTCTCTCTGTCTGTCTTTCTCTCTATTGATTTTAATTGAAACGGGAATGTAATTATTTGTTGATGATGTTAATTGTTCTCATCTGGATAATCAACGATTCCAAAATAGTCAAGTTTCTCTGGTTTTCATCGTCTCTTAGGTTGACACTGTTTTCCAAATCATCACCACCACCATCATAAAAATGTTCATTGATTGACACATGTAAATATCTCCCAACAATCAGGAATCAAATTACTAAAGTAAAGTAAAAAAAAAAAAAGACAATTTAGATCAACAAATTAGAAAATATTTACATGAGAAAAAACAAATTGAAATAGAATAAAATTGAAATAAAATTTTCTATTCTACTTACATTTCCATTTGGTAGAAAATGAAAGAAGAAAAAAATATTTTCTAATTCACTTGTTGATTGTCTTTAATTTTCCTTTAACCAGATTAACCAACGTCATCTAATTAGAAACACCAATCACCATTTTAATCATTTATTTAATCAAAAAGAAACAAAATTCAAATTAAATAACCAAATGAAAGATTTAAAGTAAAGAGAGGAAATGACAACACAGAAAAAGAGACAAATAGAAAGACAGAGAAAACCGAAAGAGAAAAATGGAAAAGAAAGAGAAACTTGTTAGAGAAAAGAAAACAGCTGAAGAGACAAAATCAAAGTGATTTTCTTTTTGTAGAAATTAGTTATTCTAAAATTGATTATTCCAATTGATTAACCCTCTCTCTCTCTTTACTTTTAAACAGGTTAACAAGAAGATAGTAACAATTGTAGTAGTAATTAAAAGTATAAACAATCAAGAGTAATTATATTTTTGTGATCCCTTTTTGTTTTCATTTGGATTCGGTTTTGTTTGTTAATCATCATTATGGTTAAAAGTGGATTAAAAACTCTTGTGATTGGAGGATCATCTTTAACTTGTTTAGCTTTTCTTGCTAATCATCTTTACGCTGATGAAAAGGGTATTGGTAGGAATTTAATTAATCACCGGAAGGATGTTATTTCACCGATTCCTGATAATCCATTTAAAGGTGATCAAAATGAACAATCATTTCTTTCCTTGGTTCAAGCGACTCGTTCAGCTCGTGATCTTGTCCAGACAACAATTAACACTTATGGTTATCCTGGTATTGTTGTTGGTGTTTCTATTAAAGGTGAACCTTGTTGGGTTCAAGGTTTTGGTTTCTCGAATCTTGAAACGGCCACTCGGTGTAATAAAAACACGGTCATGAGGATTGCAAGTATCTCGAAGCCTATTACAATGACCGCTGTTGCTAAGCTTTATGAGGAAGGAAAAATTGATTTGGATAAGAATATTTTCACTTTTATTGGTGATAAATTTCCAGAGAAAAAGGTTGACGGTGAAAAGGTTCCAATTACAATTAGACAATTAGCCAGTCACTTAGGTGGCATTCGACATTATAAAAAAGATGAAGTTTTAAGTTGTTCTCTATTGAAAAAATATTCCAATTCTGTTGATGCTTTGGAAACATTTGCTCAAGATGATTTACTTTCCAAACCTGGAACTAAATTTGATTATTCAACGTATGGTTATACTTTAATTGCTGCTGCCGTTGAAATGGCTCAGCCAACAATTAAATCTTTCGGACAATTTTTGGTCCAAGATATTTGTCAACGTAGTTTGGGAATGACAAACACTTATTTAGATGAAAATTCACCAATCATCTTGAATCGAGCTAAACAATATGTTAAATCGTCAGACAAATTCACCGAAAATTCATCTTATGTTGAATGTAGCTACAAATACGCCGGCGGCGGTTTATTGTCAACTATTCCTGATCTTTTACGTTTCGGAAACGTTATGTTGTACAGTTATTTACCTCATCTAAATCAATCGAAACGTGAGTTTAATTTTTCTGTCCCATCACAATCAGTAAAATTGACTAATTGTTTTCCATTTAGCTTTCCTCAAGAAATCAACTGTTGATATGCTTTGGACTCCGATTCCCTTTGGTAATATTAAAATTGATCCAAATTTATTTGATTGGTGTAAATATGGTAAGGATTTAAAGGCAACAATTAAAGATATAATTATCAATCGATTGGTCAGTTGATCAATTAGCTTCAGATTATATCTCAATCATGATTGCAAGTTGATTAACTTATAATTTTGGTGACAATTTTAGGTCTTGGATGGGGTTTAATTAGAGATGCTCAAGCTTCTTGTACCTCTGGTGCTTGTCCACCTTTCAAGGATATAATTTACCACACTGGAGCTGCAACCGGTGGGACAACATTACTCATGATTATCCCGGAAAAGGAAATGGTTGTTGCTTTAATCATCAACCTTGGTAAAGCTAAAGGTATCGGTAATTTGGGACTAAATGTTGCCGAACTATTTTCCAACGTTAAACTACCTGCAACAATTGAAACAAATCCAAAGGAAATTGTTGCCAAAGAATAGAAGGAAAAACTTTAATCAATCAATTATTCGCATTAACCTTCGACCTTTCAATTACCTGGGATATCAATTAAACTCAAGTCTTTCATATGATCTGATGTCTCTCTCTCCTCCTCCACAATTAACGGGAATTTGGGTTTCCTCCTCATGACGAAATTGGATTGTTTCAAGTATCCGATATACATGATGAGTATCAGATATTTCTCAAACAAATTGCTTCCAATTGAAACGTTAATTTCTTTCAATTAATTTAGTAATTCTCATATTCTTTCTACATGTGTGTTAATTAGTTTTTATTTTCTTTGATATCTCAACCATATAATCTCATCAGTGAAAAACTATTGGTAATAATTAGCTAACTTTGAAACGAAATGATATAAATCTCGTTTTCATCTTCCACAACGTTACAACAAATTGTCACCATTTAAGGGATTTTTATTTACATTTATCATTAACCTTAAACACCCAGTTAATTACGAATTCAGATTGTGTTAATTTTACTTGATTCCAATTTAATTTTCACTCTGTTTTCTTCAGTGTAAACTCTCAACTTGTTAACCACTTAACCATAATCTCCACCAGAATGTCAACATCAACCGATGAATTAGATCGTTACATGGTAAGTAGATATTGTTTTTTATTCTAATAACAAAGAAATAAGAAGAAAACAAATGGACGACAATCATTGGGATAAATTTTCTCTCGAAATGTTATTTTCCACGATAGAACCAAATTAACATTGATCGGCTCTAATCCAATAGGCCTTTTGATTTCAACAGAGTGATTATCGTTTCCAATGATCTTTGTATTAGATTTGTTTACTTCGTATCTGATGTTTTAGATTAGAATTGTGAATTGTTTTTGAGATTTGCTTTTGTTGAAACAAAGAGATTTCCATCAATCAAAACACAAGAGAATCACATTTCTATCCATTGCTCAATCCTTCATAGTAACTGAATCAATTAAAACTAATCAGATCTTTTTTCCCTCTAATTATCTTGATTACAGCTCTCTCTTGAAGGTTACCTACGGAAAGTTGACTCTCTGGACCATAATCCAAGACAAAATCTTTGTAAAACTTTACTACCCAATTTCGGTCACATTGGTGTCCTATTCTTGGCTAATCATACATTTCCTCAAGCGCTACGAGGATTACAGATTGTGATTAAGCTAATCTACCATGGGAAAGAGTTGAGTAATTCTGGAAAATCAGATGAACCAAATTGCCCGATTTTGGATGAATTTATCAATCAATTGGAAGACAAGATAATCACTGGAAAGATTGCCGCTGATAGAGATTTAGATTTACAAAGATTAACCTTTTTATTGCCCAAGTATCGAGAATCTTTAGTTTTAATCTTAATCAAGGATTGTCTGGCCAATTCCAATTCAACGGATTCATGTATAATCAGAAATCCATTAACCGAATATTGTTGCTCACTTAATTCACTTTTTTTCTCCATCATTTTAACATTTTGTGATATTCTTAAATTAACTGATGGCCACTGGTTCATTGGTAAAATAATTGGCTCTTTCAAGAGAATTGTAATCAGTCAAGTTTTCGGGAACACTAATCAACTTTATCCACATCATCTTCGCCCCTTTTTACCTCATCTTGAGCTTTTGGATCTACAATTAACTCAACAATTTGTCATATCATCTTCATCTCAGCCCCATCGAGTTGCTGAAAAACTTTGTCAGAAACTTAATTACTCATTATTACCTGGAATTTGTCAATGGAACGAAATTGTTGCCCTGCTAATTTTATATCCAAATGCTGCTGATTTCCTGGTCTCCCATAAACCAGAATGGATTAATAAACTTCAATCTATTCAAAGGTCTAACAATTAGGAAAATCAAATCATCGTAAACATTTCTAATATTTTTATTCACTATGGAAAACAAATTGTAATGTTGATAGAAAAAGAGAAAATTTTTTTTTCGAATTTCGCTCAATTTTTCTTCCCTCATCTTCTTTTCCCTTTACATGTTTTCATCTGTTAATTTGATGATGTTGATGTTGATCATTTACCGGCAACTTCCGGAATCAATTTAAACCATTTTAATCTTTTATTATTTCATCTAAATTGTTGTAAACATGAGTTCTAATGGTGATCTGATTGATAGTGAAGATATCGCGTTCAAGGTGAGTTTCAATGTTGTTATTTGATCAGTTGGTTATTTGGTTTTCTCTTTTTTTTCACTTCTAGTGGAGTAGAAAAGTTCCCTTTCATAAAGTGGGTGAAAATGATACAACTGATGGTTATGTTGTTACCCCTCAAACTCGGGATCTATTGCGAAGTCATGTTAAAAGAATCGGAGGTCAAGTTCGCACTCGATTCCCACCTGAACCAAACGGGATTCTTCACATTGGCCATGCAAAAGCGATAAATATCAACTTTGGTTATGCTAAAGCTAATAATGGAATTTGTATCTTACGTTATGATGATACTAATCCAGAGAAAGAGGAAGAACGATTTGTTCGGGAGATTAGAGAGATGATTGAATGGTTAGGGTACAAACCTTATAAGATAACCTATTCTTCCGATAATTTTGACCTTCTCTATGAGTATGGCGTTGAATTGGTTCGCCGTAATTTAGCTTATGTTTGCCATCAAAAACCAGAAGAATTGAGAGGTTTCGATCCACCACCATCACCTTGGAGAGATCGACCCATCGAGGAGAGTTTAAAATTATTCCAAGAAATGAAAGAAGGTAAATTCGGAGAAGGTGAAGCAACTCTAAGGATGAAAACCACTTTAGGAGATAGTAAAGTTGATCCGGTTGCTTATCGAATTAAATTTAAATCTCATCACCGAACCGGAGATAAATGGTGCATCTATCCAACATATGATTTTACTCATTGTCTTTGTGACTCTATTGAAGATATAACTCATTCTTTGTGTACAAAAGAGTTTCAATCTCGACGTGCCTCTTATTATTGGTTATGTAATTCACTTGACCTTTACTGTCCCGTTCAATGGGAATATTCTCGTCTTAACATGGCCAATACTGTTGTCTCTAAGAGGAAAATTGCCAAACTAATTGAAGAGAAAATTGTCAACGATTGGGATGATCCTCGACTTTACACTTTAACTGCTCTTCGTCGACGAGGTTTCCCATATCAAGCAATCAACTCTTTCTGTCTTTCTCTTGGTTTAACTGGAGCTCAAACCATAACGGAACCTCACATGTTGGAAGCTCATGTTCGTGATTATCTTAATAAATTCGCACCCAGAGCTATGTGTGTCATGGAACCTTTAAAATTAAAAGTTCTCAACTATGATCAACACTTTAAAACTAAACCTTCAACTTTAACCGTTGACAAATTACCAACTAATCCAGAATTCGGTAATCGTTCAAAAGTTTTCGATGAATATGTTTACATTGAATTAGACGATTTCCGTGAAGGTGCCACTCCAAAAGGATACAAACGATTGACCAGTGAACAAACTGTTGGCCTTAAATTCATTAACATGGTCGCTTCCGTTGAAAATGTAATCAAATCAGATGATGGAACCATCAAAGAGATTGAAGTTACTATTGTTCCCGTTGCTGAGACCAAAAAACCTAAAGCATTTATCCATTGGGTTTCTGCTCCTCGAAATGTTGAGATTCGTTTATATGATAATTTATTTATTCACAAGAATCCTGAAGATAAAGATCAAGTTCCTGGTGGTTTCATTACCGATATAAACCCTAATTCATTGAAAATTGTTCCCAATGCAATGGTTGATATTGAAGGTCCTTATGAGAAGCTAAAAAATGAGAAATATCAATTCGAGAGAATTGGTTACTTTGCCCCGGACCCTGATTCAACTGATGATAAATTAATCTTCAATAGGATTGTTACCCTTAAAGAAGATAAAGATAAAAACACTAAATAATTATCGATTAAAGTTTTCTGTCAAATTGATTTACAAATAAAAATCAATCCAAATTCAAGATTCACTTGGATTCTGAGAAGAAAAAAACCTTTGATCTCTCATCTTTTAATCACCTGTTGATCCCCAAACAAGATCATTAATTGCAGAAATTAAAGCACCAATTCAATTTTAGTCCTAATTTTCAATCGTTAATTAAACTTTTCCATTTTCTTTTCCCAATCAATTAAAAAAAAGAATAAAAACTCTCTCAGTCGACGGTAGATGGCGTTGTTTTCGAGCATCTATTTGTAGCTTTGTTTTGGTCTTTGAATGGATCAGAATTTGAAAATAATTTTCTGGTTTTTGTTGGAAATTTTTGTTTTAGTTGATTAATCAGTTTAATCTAATTGTTTTTTTTCCAATTTGTGGTTTTGTTAGTGAATTTGATTCCATTGAGTGGTTATCATGTCTCAGGAATTCTCGGAGCGATCTGCTCTTGATCGATCAGCACGGAAAAGAGTCTCTGGCAGATCATCACGGATTCACTCAACATCTAATAGGTTTTCAGCAAAAGAAGATGATTTGACTACCGCTCGATCAAAATTGGATAATATATTGGACAGTATTGCCAGAGGAGAAGAAACATTTGATGAAGATTATTTCGATGAAGAACCGAACGGATTAAGCTCGCCTGTTAAGTCTAAAAGATCTCGAGGTCCAAGAAAGTAAGTAGCAAATATAAAAGACCTGTAATGCAATTGCCGCTCTCTCGTATTTATCTTCAAGTCTGTTTGCTTAGTTCTATTCTCTTTAGCTCTTCATTGTGTCTAACTTTCAATTTCTAACTTATTCCTATTTCCACCTGTAGAATTTAACCTTCTATCTAACCTCTTTCTGTTTGTTTTATTCTTTTAGGACTCGAAAAAGAACCAGAGAAGATGACTACTCAAAATCTTCCATGTTCATTTTAAAATTATTTGATCGTACTGTGGATCTATCGGAATTTTGCTCCAAATATATTGATTCAGATCCTCCACTTTATCCCATTTGTCGAGCTTGGGCTCGTAATAATGATGCATCAAGTGACCAAAGTAATGTTGAGGAAGATCAATCAGGTGTCAGCGAGGTGGAAACTTCAGATTTTGGAGGACCAGAAAAACCAACTGGTTTATACATATTACCAAATCCAGATCCGTTACCACTGGATGAATTGGGAGAGGAAATTGATTTACGTTTACCTAAATCTAGTACCGTAAAAAAAGATCCCTGCATCGAAATAATCGATGAATCAATTAACTGCATGACGGAATTGACTCGTGAATGTCTCTTAGAAGCCAATCTTTGCCAGTGGAAAACAGTTCGTCAAGAATGGCGAGAAGCAGCAGCGATTAATCAGGCCAGATACAGGCCGAGTTTCAATGTAATCCAAGCGCTGTAAGTTTCCCTCTCTTAAAATCACCTAATTTTTGAAACGATAACAATTCTTTCATCTTATTCTTATTCCTATTTTCATCACAGATCAACTGTTCCAAATCAACCCTTAGACGACGAAATGTTATCAACTATGTAATAAACTATCTGAATCGCCATCTTCATTTCTTGACCATTCTAAAACTGACCTAACAACGGACAACACCAACTGTTGATTGTCTCTCAAACTGATTCCAAAAATTACATCCAACGCTGTGAGATATTGAAGGTCAATCATCAAAAACAAATCACGACAATTAGCCAGATACGAATGAAAATTAACTGTTTATTTTCAATTTGATTGCAGACTTTGAAAATAATAATGAGAAGAAAATAATTAATTCCTTGCCAATGTAATATCTTTTATTTTGATAAATTAGATTGCAAGTGAAACAAAAAAATTAACACAAATAAACAGATGAAAAAAAGAGGAACCATCAACAACACTAACCATAGATAAAAGAATGTGAAAAAATTAACAATTTAGGAATTGATTTGGTTCTTTAAAAATTAATTAACAAAGTTAATTGTTGGGATTTGAGGTGATGATGATGGTCAAGTGGTTATATCAGCGTAGCGCAATAATGAATGGACCGTAGTTGTTATTTGGTTAATTGTCATTTCCCTGTTTACTTTTTTTTTGTTTGATTCGGTGTTTTAATTATCACAATAAACAGGGATTTGATTGTTAAATCATTTCATATAATAAAGAGAGAGTGTCAGTGAGTTAATTAGTGTTATCGAGTGAGATAATTAACTGTTCATCTTGATTAATTAATCAACAACAATAGGAAAAAAACAAAGATATGACTCAATTTATATTATGGATTGTAAGTTATTATGATTAAAAAAGAGGACAATTAAAATTGATATTTAAATATTTGAGGTTTGATTAATTGTTTGATTGTTTGATTGTTGTTGTAATTAAGAAAATGAAACAGTTAAAAATTAGATGACAAAATTTTGATTTGGTATCGATAAAGTTATTTATATAAATGTTTTTTTTGGTCGGTGATTTGATTTAATTACACAAATCAAATTCTCAATTCTCGAAGTGACTAATTAACAGAAAAGTTGATTGTCTCTCTTAAAATTATATGAATGAATAAGGTCCATCCGTTAGTGCGCTACAAAGTATTTGTCAAGATGGCGGTTGACTGCCGGTAGTATTGGTTGTTGTTGTGGTCAGTCCGTGGTCAGGTCCAGGGCCAAGGCTCGTGTTGACCCCTCCTCGAGGTTGAACTCCTCGTTCAGCTTTAAAATATTCGTGGCCTGGATCAAATTGCATTAAAACAAATACCTGCATGTGTGTATAAAATTGTCAGATTGGATTAGATTTCAAGAAGATGATCAAGTTAATTGTTTAACACTCACCATATCTGAAGGCATTAAAATAAACTCCATGGGAGGATTGGTGATCACGTAACGTTTAGATGAAGCTTCGGTTCCTATTGTATCACGATAACGATAAACACCAATACAAAGCATCCCGAATTGTCGGAGTGCGTTGACAAAAAGATCACTATATTTACCTCCCTCCTGTAAGATTATCAATTGATTGTCAATTAAAATTAGAGCAAGAGAGAGAGAGAGAGAGAGAGAGTTTCTTACCCCGTGTTGGGCTAATGGTCCATCGAAGAGAGATATTTGACCCACTCGACATCTATCACGATTTCTGAGTGTTTCATCCGTTGAATATCCACCTCGAAGACCGGCACCTTCGGCAAGGATAAGTTCGAGCTCTGGTGTCGCTCCACCGGTTATAAGGGATCGGATAAGTGTCAATGCATTGGCATTAAAATAGGTTGTCGACATTAGGGAATCAAGTACTGAGACTGCGAATGCAGTACCACAGGCAAAAGGTTGAGTTATGTAAAGCTCAGTGTCGGGATCATCGTCATCATCTTGATCTAAAAATTGAACATTGGCATCATTGGTAAGCTCCGTTATTAAGGGTACATTGGACCCATAAACTGATCCCCGTCGTTGGATTACTAATGGTGGAGCCGCAGTGTTTGCATTACCCAGGCCGGTTCCATTGGTGCCTTGGATAACACCAATGGTATCGTCAAAGGTCATCGCTTTAATATTAAGGCTCGCTAGAATGGCCTCCTTATCAGCCAAAGTTGGGTCATCGGAAGAGGGGATTTTAGCTGAAAGGATGACACACATATCACAAAGGTTAATGTTGACCGCTCTTAGGTCAGCTCGTGAAAGGGGTGACCCATTGAGTACACTTATTTTGGGTAAATTTTGTAACATTTTCCATTCCCGTCTCAAATATTCAACATTGGACACGATGACCACGTGTTTCAATTCATGATAATGAAAGTTGGACGCTCTTAAAGGCATAACAAGATTACGAAGTCCAATTAAAGGTGAATCGGGATCAGCGAATAGACAAACAACAACATGACCATTTAAAACCGTCATTGCCGCTTGATTACGATCCTAAATAAGATCATGAGAGAGGAAATTTGATTTCAAATATTGACCTTTATTCAACTGATCGAGATGAGTTGACTACTTACAAGAATACACTCTTCAACTGGTCGAGCTGGACACCAGTGAAACATTCCCGTTGAATCGTATTTCATTTCAGTTTTATCGAAGTCAAAATCTTTCGTATCAATAAAACCTGCACTTGGAACTGAACCATGAGCTGTGGTTCCACTGGCGACATCACCACCAGGACGAGTCGCTGGCCTATTAATCGTAATGAACAAAAAGGTTAACCATTCAACTGGCCAACTCAGATGGACAACTTGACACTTACATTAACTTTTTAACCTCATAGGCTAAATGAACATCTTTAAATGGTTTAGATTGTTGATTTGTTGAAGTTCCGGTTCCGGAGGCATTGGACTGATTCCGATTCGATGAGGAAGTGGGAGGTTGAGAGGGCGAGGTCATGGTCAATGTCTTACCATTACGAGCTGCTCGTCGTCCCCCAGAACTTGATGAAGGTGGAATCAAATGAGCTATTAAATTAATTGACAAAAGAAACGATTAATTATCATGACGGAAACAAAGAAAAATCAATAATCACTATTGAAACAATTGAACTAATATTCATTAAAACTACTACAACTTACTACTTTCGGTTGGATCTCCTGAATGATCACCTGAATAAGTTTCATTATTTTTTTTTCAGGGAGAAAAATATAAACAATAACAAAAGAGAACAAGATAAAAAGTTAATAACAATTGAATAAATTACTCGAGAGGTTCAATGAATCAATGAAGAAAAATAATCAAATAATAATCATGGAAACAGAATTGAAAAGATATTAATAAATGAGAAAAATGATCAAATAAAATTAAACGAATGGAGAAAAGCAAAATAATAATAAACCGAAAATAATTGGAACTCAAAATGAAATGAGAAATGAAAAATTGTCACAATTAACAAAATGAATTGTTCGTAATTGTTGGAGACAATTAAGTGGACAATTAATTGTGTACCTCGCAATTTAGCTCGTTTAGGAATCTCGGGTGGAGTGTGAGTTGGAAGTAAATTCATCGATGGATTTCGGGTTAGATTACCATCGGTTAGATTTCCATGAGCGTTAGGGTTGAGGCCACTTTCTACTATTGATAATGTCGATTGTCGGGAAAGGATAATATCAATTCGTAGGTTCAAAGGTTCAAAAAGCGAAAAGCGGGAAAAGAAATGGGAAAAGAATGAGAAAAAGAGACAAATTTGTTAATTGCTGCATCGAAGTGATTAGTTAATTGTTTTGGAACTTTCAACAATCAACAAAATTAGAATAAGTTAAATTAGATTTATATTATATTCATGATTTAGACAATATAATTGTAAGCAAATTGAGAGCAACAATTTAAAATTAAGTTGACAGATATTAATAGCAGCCAGAAAATTGCAAATCAAATAAAAGGTTTTAAATTAAATTGTTGGACATAAAATTTAATATATTATAAAAATGGTTTAAAGCATAACAATTTAATATTGTCAACAACAATTAAGGTGACAGCCAGAAATGTTTACTGTTATTTTAATGGTCAACAATTTATTATTATTTTTATTATTATTAGTTTTATATGATAATAATGATAATATATTTAACTTGAGGGTGTGTGTTGTTTTGATGGTCAGTTGATTGTTGACCAATTGCCTAAAGGTTATGATGATTAAGGAAAACTGAATCAGTAAATCAAAAATCAATAATGTTGATCATTTAAGATTTTCACTATTTTGATTAATCTAATTAACTTCTAGCCAATATATTGGTTTAATTTATTTGACTTGCTATTAAATTGTTACACACCTTTAGTTAATTATATTATGATTACTATGATATGAGTTATTAATTGTTAATAATAAGATATTGTTAATGATTATCATTATTTAGACGATTAAGTTAATCAAAGAAATGCAAATTATATTATAAACAACAATTTAATGACAACAATTTGTTTCCACACAAATAAAAAAAATAATATGATTTATTAATTGTAATGATTAAGATGCTGAGTAATGTGAAGCCTTTTCAATTGATTTAAATGTGTCAGCAATTAAATTTGATTCGGATTTAGATAAAGATGCAATCACGACAATTAAAGTAAATCAACACTGATTGTTGATCAAGGGTAAAGGGATTGATATTCATATACAACAATTACAATCAAACAATTAACATCCAAAAGACAAGCATAAAAAACAATTGATTGTTATGGTGATTAAATTGATTAAGAGCTCGTATCAGCAATTAAGTATCAACAATCAACAACGATTTTTCATCATGTATAACAATTAACAGACAATAATCAAACATAACCTGATAATCAAAGATGAAAATGATTTCCTTAATCACACTCGATATAATCATGCAATTTAAATCAACGATCAAGTCTTGACAATTTTTAATTGTTGATTAGAAAATCAAATTATTATTAATAAATCAGTTATATTAACCACAATGACGACAAAAGCTGATCACAGGGAATCAATTTCTCAATCAATTAAATTAAAGGAATCAACGAGTTGATTGTCAACAAAACGTCAATTAAACAACGTGCAAATTGTAGTTTCGTTTGTTTGTTTTTTTGTTACAACAATTAAATTTAATTAGTTGAGTCTTGATTCATACTTTGCCTGGTTGGATTATTACTAACTGCTTGAACAACTCTCACGCCTTTTTTGAATATTGCTCCAACTAAATTAGTTAATCAGGTTGTGTGTTAATCGTTGATTAAGATTGTGATTGGAAGAAAGAAATTGTTAATTGTTATATGTTAGTTTTATATTCATTTTCAAGTGTGATAATTAAATTGTTAATTGTCCTTCATTAAGCATATTGTATGTAAACAAACAAGGTGAAAAATTGATAAGTGACAAAAGACAATTGTGATTAACTAGTGATTGTGTCATTTAATTGTGAGTGTAATTAGTGCAAAGTGATTAGTGATTAGTGATTAGTGTAATGGTGATTATTGAAAGTGATCAAGTGATTTTTTTAATTGCGATGAAAACAAAGTTAAATAATACAATAAAAAAAACTGTGTAATTAGCAGAGGATCACAACAATTAGTTAATCGTCAATTTGAGTTTCAATATCGATAGAAGATTATTCAATTAAATTGGATTAGCAAGAGATGACAATTATAAGTTTAACATGACAATTAGTGAGTAGAATCAATTGAAATGTGGATTTTAATTACAAAGATGTTCAACTAATTGATTTGATTGATTATCGATTTTTGTTTGGATTTAAATAAAAACTAAAATAAGTTGAATGGACACAGAAAATATTGGTTCATGGTGGTTGAAATTTCAATCAATTCTGAAACATGGAAGTGATCATAAGGATGATTAATCCAAATCAAAGTTATCAATTAGATCAATATGATGATCAAGGATTTGAATGGGTGAAAGGGGTGATGAGGGATAAAGAGACAATAGATGACGAGAAAAGATGAATATAATCAATCAATTGGCTCATCATGTTTCAGATCATTGCATCAGAATCATGATGGAAATTGATTGTCTCCTACCAGAACTTCACCCACAATTTACTTTATTGTTTTTTTCCTCTTTGTCAGCGACTTTATTTCCTGATGATTCGAGTCTCTCTCTCTCTCTCATCCTCCTCTTCTGGTTACACAATCTACTGGAGAGTCTGTTCAGTTACATTAGTTATTAGCTTTTACATGGATTTTATCGTATTCCCTGAATTAGAAATGAAATGCTCAACTGTTTTACTCGAAAACAACAATAAATAACTAGACAGTAACAAGACAATCAAGGGTGGGGCAACTTGAGAGAGAGAGAATGAGATAGTTAGTGAGACAAATGAATAACAAGGATAATGTAATGAATGAAATTCAATACGAAAGACCAGAATTCTGGTTGAAATAAAAAAGTAAATTAATCGACACAAACCAAAAGTTAACAAGCCTCAAGTTGATAACATTTAAATTGATGAAACATTTTGATAAATGGACTCGAAATTCAACTCGAATACCATTGGAATCAAGTTTATCTCTAATAATCTGATGAAACATTTTCTCTCGATCCAAGTCATGATTCAATTAACCTAATCCTCGAAATCTAAGAAATGTTCAATTTGATTCCAGTGAAAATGGTCAACTTAAACTTCAATCAAAGTTAACCTGAAGCAATTTGGAAAACATTAACCAATCTGATTACTATTATGACGAGAGTAAAAATATATATTTAATATTATTATTCTGATAATTGTGACAGAGAAAAAGTTAAATCAAAATTTGAAAAGGTTAAAGAAAAAGGAGAAAGTGATAAAAAAGTAACGGTAAAAATAGTTGCAAGTTGAAATATATATAAGCCAACATCCTATTATATCGGGTTCATTTAACATGGAGACAGTTTTTAATGTAATGGTTCAGTTGGAAACCCATGATTCAGATGCAATTAAATTTACTCAGGGAAAACAAAGTGGATCCATGAAAAGAAATGGTGAAAAAAAGTTCTTGGAACTTTTTTTCTTCCTCTTCTTTAGCTTTTCTTCATTTTCGTCTATTAATTATGTAAATTTGAATTTTCTTTCCTTTCGAATATAAAATTAGACTTGAAAATGATTCAATTACGAAATTTCAACTAATTCTCATGCTCAGAATCAGAATAGAAATGGGAATGGAAAAGTTTCAAAGTAAATTATGTTTACTCTAAGTAAACGATTTGTCTCCCAGTTCATCATTTACATTAATATGAACACACACAATCGATTGTTAAATTGTGATGATTAAAGATTTAGATGATTGTATTTCTCTGATTGTTCAAGTTATCATGGAAACCTAACCTGACATTTCCGTATCATAATCATCATCATGATATCCATGATTATCAGTGCGTTAAATACTAACCTGATCATGAGAATTAACATTGAGAAAATCAAATGATAGCAATTTGATTGTTGTTGTTAAGTCAATAGAAAATGATTTCCAATTGTTGATAACAACATATGGAAAAGTTAATTAGTTATCTTGGTCTAATTAGTTATGAATCAAAACCTGATCAGAAAATTATCATTCAGAGTTACCATGGATTCATCATGATCATCAATGATTATAATGAATTTTCATAATCAATTGAACTTCAATACAAAATTATGATTTAAAACACAAAAAAAACAACTTGAATTGTTTGTTTATTTTACTTGGTTAATCAAAATAATCATCAGGGTAACAATTAACTGTTTATAATTATTGATTAATCAATAGATAAATTTGAATAAATAATGAACAAGATAATTAATCAGATGATATTGAACATGATGATTATAAACAAAAGTATCATGATTATCATGAAATTTGTATGGGATGGAATTGAGAAAATTTCTCTTAACAATTAAGGGAAATTGTGAAAATTTGAATCTAACAATTAATAAAAATGAAAAACAATGAGGAAACTGAGAGTATGAAAATGAGCTAGAAGTTGATGATTAGTATCAGGGAATTGATTGTTATCATTAGGAGGGAATTGGTTGAGTGGGAGGTGGAAAAAACTTCACATGATTCATGAGGGTGGAGATGGAGGAGGAAGATGATGAAACAAGGGAGAGGGTAAGGTGAGGGTGGCGGAAGAAGAGGTGAAATAATCTGGTTGACTTATTGATTGGTTTCAAGGGGAAAGTTTCAGTTCTCGGTTCAAATTCTGGGTTATATTCAGAATTTTATCTCCAGATTGAATATAATAAAGTATAAGTAGTAAAATGATGAAACACTTGGAATACCCTCTGAATTTATCATCATCTCAATTTATCGATCCTCTTTTTTGCTGTTCCTCTCCTCTTATATTATCATCATCACCATTTTATTATCATCAGCATTTGAAAACTTTCACCAATCATATTATTTCATTTGATTTGTTTATCATGTTTATTTCATTCCAACTGAATTAACCATTTCAATAAGTCATTTCAAGTTGATTTTTCTCAATTTACAATTCAAAAAGCAAAGAAAAACAAAATCTCCAACCATCATGATTTCATGATATTATCAAAGAAACTCAAATAATCAATGATTTAACAACCTTTTCCTTGATCATTATGATCAAAATTTTCCTCAATAACTATTAATAGTTAAAGATAATCAACCAAATCAATAATCAATCATCACAGTTAGTGAATTAAATTTAAGGTTAATCTTGTAATCGTTATAACTTTAAGATGAAACTAAAAAGTTTCAATATTAACACATCCTCATGACCTAAATTAACTTATTGATTGATATATTTATGAATAAGATTAACAATCAAATTAGATAATGATTTAGATTGGATTAACTAAATTGTAAAGTTTCCAATTACCTGAAAAAAAATTTCCTACTCACACTTTACACCATTGGAAACAATCAACACTAATTATTAATATAACTAGAAACTAATCCTATTAGTCTGATTTTTAGAAAAACAATTAATTTAAGATACAATTAATTTCTTAACTAATTAATTAGTAGGATAATTTTTAGAATTAGTTAATCACTATTAAGATTAAATGTTGAAAAATACTTACGATTTTTACATTTACACTTTTTGATCATCTTTTCATCTTTAACATCCTCATGGCAAACTTTACAATACCAAAGAGCCCTGAAAGTTTAGATTAAATATGAACAATTAAAAGTAATTCAATGGTTAAATTGATTAGTTGATTGCTCTGTTAATTACCTTTTAACTTCATCAGCACTTTGGGCTATAAAAAAACCTTGAGTTGTACTTTGAATCCGATGATTGCCTTTAGGATTGATCACAATGGATGCACCTCCATCTTTAAGATATCAAAGGAAATCGATAGGAAGAACCAATTAGAAAATCATTTCCACCTTAATATTTCAATATATATATAAAAGTGACCAGTGGTCAATTCATTTTACCTTCACTTCCAACTTCAATAGCCAATAAAAGTAACTTTAACTTAATGAAACACAATTCAGAGGCTTGAGCAAAAGTCATTCCAATGAAAGATTGACTCAGATTCTCTGTATACATTTCCATCCCTGTACCACATTGATAATAGTTTTGCCATGAGGGCATATCAGGGGACTGGAGATGATTAAAGATCACAATTAAATTAGTGAAACGATTAGTTGAATCAAAATTTACAATCAAAACATTTACCGTCTTATATGATCTCATAGCAAATAGATTAGCCATCATGGTACTAAAACCAGGAGCTAAACAAGATTGGGCGATAAAACCTAGAAAAGACCAAGGATCCAATCAGTTAATTGTTGTAAGAATACTGAGAAAATTTTCATCATCAAGATGATCAATTAAATGAAACAATTAAATCTCACCTAATTTAAGTTCACTAACACAAATAACATCATCACCTCTCCGCCAATTCCAAGAGGGTATATTCAAAAGATAGGCTTTATTGTGATATTGCATTAATTGAATAATAACCTGCAATTAAAGAGGAAAGTTAATCAATCAATAGACTGAAAATCAATTTAAATACATATTCAATCATTTACAATGGCAATGTAAAAATATCAATACAACAATTGAATCAAGGTGATAATCAAAATGAAAAGAAACTACAACATGATTAACTTTTTGTTTTCTGCTGATCGATGACATTTTATCAAAGGTAATCAAGTTTAATATTATCATTATTATCAACTAATGAATGTTATTAAGTGTGGTGGACAGTAAATAATATAATCAATGGATAGTAAACTATATACACACGACAATCAATGGATCTTATCACACGTAGTCAATCAATTTATCAAATCAATGGATTGGTCAAGTTGCTTGGAAAGATAATTTTCCATCAAGTAATGACCAAGGGTCAAGAATCTAATCAAAGGTAAAAGATTAAGCGAAACCAGAAAATAAGAGTAAACAAAAAATTACAATTACACTACAATCTAATGGTTTGTTGGGTGAATTTATGTTAACCCATATAATAACATTAAAAAGGTTCGAGAAGAGAAAGAGAGAAACAAAAAAGTTCTAGATTCGAGGTTCGAGATTCATTGTTTATTGCTGGATTCGAGCCATGAGAATGAACTTTTATCAACTTAAAGTGTAACTTTAGCTATTATTATCATTTTCTTGAAGCAATCTTAACCATTAGGTAATTGTGATCACGATTAGTTAATTGTGTGACTCTGAGAGGATGAGGAAAGTGTAAAATATTATCATAATAATATCATACCAACAATAGAGAAACGATCAATGAATCAAGTTTTGTATTGTATTTGAAAATTATTATTATTTTTTTTTCTTCCAATCTAATCAATTCTGTCATTTATGATTTACTGATTATTTATTGATTGAATTGTTAGACAGTCTCATTAGGTGGACAATTAACTTACCCTAATATCATCACTATAATTTTTAATTGAAATAACTCTCATTATATTTGCAGCGTCTTCTGCATCCGGATCTTGGCAATATTTATTTGCTAATACAAGACAAGCATCGGCATCATGAACCTATTCAATTAAAGTTAATTATCGTTCAACAATTAATCATTTCTACAGGTGAAGAAAAAAATATTCATATAAATCATTTTACCTTTACTCGTTGTAAATCAATGGGATTCATGACAGAACCTTGAAAAAATTCAACTGTTGTAAAATGGCGTTTGATTAGACCTTTAAAGAGAGAGAGAGAGAGAGAGAAAGAAAGTCACAAGAACAATTAGTTAATCAAAGTGATCAATTGATTCTTAATTGGGTTTTACCTTCTAATTCCAGGTCGGGTGGTTTTCGGTGTAAAAATACAACCTCAACGTCAACATCTTCTCGATCTTCATGAAGAAAATCTTTAAGAAAATGGCTGACACTCTCATAGGTAATATGTCCACAGACAACAATATGTCTATAAAATGATAACAATTTAACAACAATTAAGAATTAAATGTTAATAATTTTCAATAATATCGATTGATTAGTTAAGGTAAATGGACTTTTGGGTAAATGGTGGAAGGGGAAAAAATAAATATCAGGTTATCATGTTTGTCATGTTGATGATGATAAAATTATCATTAACATGAGATGACATTTGATATATATTATATTTTGCACTTCAAATACTTTTTATTTGATTATGATTAAAATGCAATTAACAACAATTTGGATGCAATTATTATCACATATCAGCAATTTACACATAAAGGATATTGACTTACAATCACAAAAGGATAAGGTTGGTGACGAGGATAAGGTGGAAATGTCAACTTATCATTGAACTTTTATCAGAATTTACAGAAAAAAAGTATCTCAATTGATGATTATTTAATAGCTTGATAATTAGATTAATTTAAGTTTCATTTTAACACCGAATGGAACTAAATTTACTCAGAGTGTGATAAACAATTCAATTTTGATTGATTGATTGATTGATTTAAATTGGAACTTGGAAAAATAATTAATTAGATCAATCAAATTCAACTAATATCTCATTTTGATGAAAAACAAACTAAATTAACAAACATAAAACTCAATCAACAACTTGATGTGTAAACAATTAAAAATACTAACAAATGAATTAACACTGAAATGAACATAAATCAAGATGAGAATTAAAATTTTCTGATTAATATCAATCAAAGTAAATCAATGTCGATATAAAATCAATAACAATTGAAAGGAAATTAATTCAAGACTGATAAAGTAAATATATTAATACTATTAATTGTTGATGATGAGAAAATATAATTAGATTGTATTGAAAGAAAGTCAATGAAAAACATTGTAATCATTTGCAAGGAACAATTTAGTTTTCAATTTAATCACAATTAAAACGGTTAATCTGTTTTTCATCACCTAACAGTTGATACAAGTTTTCTTGTTTATGATTATTAACACCAAATACAAACTATTAGATCAATTAACGGTAAATAGTAATCATCTGATCAACTAGGAATTAAATTGTAATCATCATCAAGTTAATTGTCAATCGAAAAAGGTAAATCTATCAAACACCACACCCAAATTTTATCCATAAGGTGAGAGAGAGAGAATCAACTAATTGGCTTAACATCAATAGTAATGTTTATACACATCTAAGGATGTAGATTAAAGGTAAGATTAAGGTGAGAAGAGATTAAATCAAGGTGATATATTGACAATTAACAGTGGAAAAGGTGAAAAAATAATCAAGCTTCTTGAGTAGTTGATAAAATTAAAGACAAAACCATCAATTGGATGATCAAGGATTTAGCAAATAGTCATAACAATTAAGTAGCAATTAATCACAAACAATGATAATAAAAAAACCAACACACACAAGGTTAACAATTATGATTGATTTATGTTTCTTTTTTTTCTAGGTCAAGGTGAACATTACATGTATCATCACAATACCTGAGTAATTTGTTTTGTTTTGTTTTTATTTCTCGAAAGGGTCAAGTTGCAGGTCAACAGGTAATAGATAATAAAAATGATAATAAGTGAAAGCGGGTTTAAGGTTAGCGGTCACTTTGGACATCGCTCTTTCTGTATGTGATTCAAAACACAGGTACATAGACATGTTTGTGGGGAGTAGAGGTCAGAGGTTGGGTGAGAGGGTGGGGGTGGGTGAGTCTCAGACCTTCTACGCTCCGATTTGAAGGTTCCTCCATACTTTGATCGGGACCCAATAAGATCAATAATTTCAGGAATACAAGACGCAAATACAGCCTAGTGACCATAAGAAGAAGAGGGAAGAAAGGAAAGGTTGATTGGTCAGAATTGAGAACATGATAAAAGTAAAAAGTCAAAGATGAAATTGAGAATAGAATTGAAAATTATTTATACAAATTCGATTTTCGCATGAAAGGTTCAGAAGAAGAAAATAAAATAAAATAAAAAACGGAAAAAAGTTCAATGAGAACGAGAAAATAATATCTCTTTATAAACGAATCAATAATGAAAGAAGAAAATAAAAATAAAAATCGAAAAGAAAATTAAATTATTACAATCAGATTAATTGAAAAGAATACGAAAAATATCGATAATTAATGATGATCATGATTTTCGATGATAATTAAGCTGTAATCATTGTCTCCTTTGCTTCGAGATTCTGTAATTGTTGGGTAATTAACTTGATAATGAATATTTAGTCAATTTGTGTGTGTGTTTGTTGGAGTTAATTGTTGCTGATTAATATTCTGGATTCAATGTTGTTAGATGTTAATTACAATGTAATATTTATATTGTTATCATTTAGTAGCAATATACATAAGATTATAATTGTTAATTGTTATAATAATAGAGGTTAAAATTTAGATTTGTAAATATTGGAATTAGGGTTTTAAATTGTTCCAGTCAGTTTCAATTATAATATTAGAAATATATTGAAATATTAATATATAAAGTTAATCATATATGAATATTGTTTAATAATTAGAATGAAAAAAAAGGATAATGAAAGTTAATTGTTATTAGTTTTGTAGTAGAAATTTAAATTTTCAATTAGAAGCAAACAATTAGCAAACAAGAGATGAAGATATTGAGAGAAAATTAATCGATAATTATATTTACAGGAGATGAATTTGAGAGATTTTTGTTATTAAGGACCAAGAAATCGTAACAATTAACTAATAAGATACGATTTAAATGTAGAAATGAATTGGGATTAAAACTGAGAGAGAGAAAGAGAGATAAATTTTCATCTCTATCAATGGGATTTGATGATAATAAGGGATAAAAGGATGAGGATGAAAAGAAGGCAAATCAATTTGATTGATTGGTTTCTATTGATAAGCATTAATATTGTAACTAAAACGGAAATAGGAAGTGGATGAGGTGGAAGAAGAAAAAAATCTAATAAAAATGAAACATTATTCATGATATTTTCTTAAGATGATTCTGAAAGATGAGGAAGACAAATGATAATAAAGAAAGTGAAGAGAGAGAGAGAGAGAGAGAGAGAGAGAGAGAGAAATTGAAAAGAGAACATTTTTTCTTCTTTTTCGTGTAAAATACTTTGGAAAAATTTTCGCTTTCAGAGAATCAGAGTTATGGATTTCAATTGTGTGAGAGAGATAATAGTATATAATAAGAACTAGAAATTCTGATCAGGAAACATGATCAATTCAGAAGTGAAATACGAGAATGAATGAAATGAATAGGCCAAAGCTGAAAGTTTCGAAGTGGAAAATTGTAAATCGAAAAGCATATTGAGTGTAAAAGCCAAAGAGATTGGAAAAGATTAAGTAACTTGGTGTTGTTGTTGTTTGCAAGGCAATCACGTTGGGATAAGAGTGTTGGTCAAGTTAATTAAGGAAGCAGGAACAGGTAATTAGGTAATTAAGAAATAACCAAAATTCTTGAATAAATATAATTGAAGTGCAAATGATAATATATTTTGTACATTTAGTATTCGATGAGCCTGATAAATATAAATATTCTGATTTATTTATTGTGTTTGTTGTTGATCGAGTGATGGAGGATCAGCTGGTGGTCAGTGGTTTGTGTGTATGTGTGTGTGGATGTGGATGTGAGTGGACATTGGGGTCAACAAGGTGAGGAAAGCAAAAGTTTTGGACATACTTTTTGGAAGGATTTGTGTGATAATTGCCAGCATATTTATTGGGTTGGCCCACCAGTTCAGTTATTTCAGGGATCCAAGAAGCAAAAACAGCCTACGAAGTATATACATAACGGTAAATATATTTTTATATCAAGATGGACAAAAAAGTAGCTAAGAAAAAGTGTCATTTAGGATTTTGCTTTGTGTATGTGCTTGTGTTTGTTTTTTATTCATACAAATGAATAAAATTTCATCATTCAACTGATCATCATGATTGTAAATGATAAATATATTTAGCAGGAGAAAATTGAATTTAAGAGATGATGATTATCATTTATGCATTGGATACTTGTATGCATAATAATGATAATATCATCGTACGATTGGATGAATGTGAAATCTCATGAATTGAATCATGAGTTGGTACAATTAGAGTGAAAATATGAAAGTGATATGGAAAAATAGAGAGTAGGTATATGACTGAGTGGAGAGAAAATTATCTCAACAAAGAAAAGTTGATGAAGAAGATGGTTGCATAAAAGAAGATTTGAAAAATAAGAGGAAAAGGAAGATGAGGAAGTAGAATTGATGTGATATATTTTGGAGAAGATTTTTTTTCTTCCCTGAGAAGATGCTCTAATATTCAACAACAAGAAAGTTCATTCAAGTGAAACCAGATTCGTTTGGATGTATCTCTTTTTTTATTGATTATTACAGGGGAAACACAGGGGATGCTGAAAGAATAGAGAGAGAGAGAGAGAGAGAGAGAGAGAGAGGAGAAAAAGTTTCTAGGTCAGTCACCAGAATTTTATCTTCACCTCATCATTTGTTGTCTTCTTCATCTTCATCTTCCTCATCCTTTTCTTCTTGTATCTTTTCTTTGCATGTTATTATTATCCAAAAGATGATTATTTTAATGACCGATTTGACCATTAATAGGATAAAGGTCAAAATAAATAGACTGAAATGATGATAAGATTCATATTTCATCAGATTTTCCAGTAATAGGCTAACACTGATTGATAATATTCACTCCCAGTAAAAATTGATTACTTTTTCATTAGTGAATACCACCAATCATCATTTGATTATCTCATTGAACCAAGAAAATGAATAATCTCAATCATAATTAACATGAGCTCATGAAAGTGAATGAAACTCAACCTTAACTACACAAGAAGCATAAAAAAAAGTAGAGCAAATTTTGTAAATTTTTCTCAATCATTTATGGTTTGAGTTGAGTTTCAGTTTACACTTTGTTGCTTTTTGTATTAATATGATTGCTCTTGACCAATGGTCAGAACTTATAACAAAAAGTAAAACAATTGAAAGTTGATTTGCTTTTGCTAAGCAACCAGAAAACATTGGCAAGTAAATTGAATGAATTAAAAGCGAGGAATCAATTTTTTAAATCCTTTGGCAATTTGAGATAATTAAAAATAATTTTCATGGATACAAAAGAGACCAACTGATCAATAACAATAAAGAGACAATTAGACTTGTTAACAATTAAAAACAAAATGCAGGAAAAAATAACACAATTAGATTTGAAAAGTTAATCTATTGGAAATTATCAGAATCGACTGGAAATCCTCATTTCCATGATATTTATCCTGATGGAAACTCAATTATCTTCATGATAAAAGGCCAATAAATTGCTACTTAATCATGATGATAAATATTAACACTTGGATACAATTAAGAAACAACCAAAAAATGATAATAACAAAGGGAAACTTTCAGAATTAACTGAATGATCAGTAATCATTTATGATGAAAAATAAATTGTTCTGATCGATACATGATAATATTTACCATTCTGATGATTATTTTGATTGTGTTTATTATGATTAACAATCAACATAAATATTACATTGTATATATGGAATTGTTAAACAATCAATGTACTTCAATTGTTTACTTAATCATCAGCAAAACTAATCATCAATCCATTGATAATAAGGATAATATCAAATTCTCAAATCAATTGGTTCAATTGTTTTTCTCTATTCCTTTAATTGTGTTGCCTTTGTAATACCAATCAATTAGTCTAATTAGTTGATTTGATTAATATAATTTTCATTTGTTTTGGTAATATAATTAAAATTAAATTCTTTGTTTAAGTTAATTGTTTCCTCTTCTTCTTAAGTTACATATTAAAGATATTAAGATAATCAATTATTGAGAAACAAAAAAAAATTATCAACGCAATTGATTTGATTTGATAGTTTGATTGATAATCAAGTTAACCAGTGATTAACAAATGAGAGACAATCAATCATTGGTAATCATATTTATCTTAATTAACTTTTATGCCGAGTTACTTATGGAGATATTAATAAATTAGGAGGTTAATTGTTGGCTTAATTGTGATAGATTTAAGCATTATAATTGACATTCAATCCAACAATCAATCAAATAATTTACATTTGTTGATTGAAGGTCTTGACCAGAGGTCAAAACAATTGTCGTGTCCAATATTTACATAGGTAATTTGTTGATAATAATGTTTACATGATGTAAATAAATTGCTTGATTTAATAATCAATCTAATCTAATTGTTATAGATTGGAAAATGATTGCCACTAATTATCATGAACAATTAGATTGTTTCAATTTGTGAAATTAATCAAAATGGGAATAGGAGAGCTTAATTATCGTTGAATATACAGTAAATCAAAGCACAGGAGAAAACCAGCTGATTGATTAATTAATCTAATTTCTTTCCTCAACCTTAATTATCCTGGAAAAGAAAACAATAATTGTTGATAGTTAATCAATGATTAAAAAAAAATAAAATAATGAAAAAAAAGTAAAGAAAAACAAATTGAGTAAATGAAACAACATAATCACAATAAGATTTTCATTATTATTGTTAATACAACAACAATTTAAGGTACCAACTAATTGTGAATTCAATAGCAAATAGGTCACAATTAATTGTGAATTATATTAATTGTTAGTAATCAATTTACTTACCAAACCAACGAGGATAAATAGTACGATGAAAGCTCTGCCAATCATAGTTTGACAATAAATGTCACCATATCCAACCTGAAATTGATTTTAAAGAGTAAAAAAGCAAATTGATTAATATGATTTAATTTAATTGCTGACCAGAGTAAAGCACTTACGGTGGACATGGTAACAATTAAGAAATAAACACATTCCCAATAGGAAATTGTATGTTGAGGCTTAAAATCAAATGGATCACCAGAATTTTCAAGCTAAAATATTATTTGAAAGGAAAACAGAGAGAGAGAGAGAGAGAGAGAGAGAGAGAGAGTGAGTAATTAAGCGAATTAGTTAATTGTTTAAATGTTTAATTTACCAAATGAATAATTCCGGCTGCTGTTAACCAAACTGAGATCACAATTGAGATTAATTGGGCAAGTCTAATAGAAGACGATGTTTTAAGAACATTTAAATATTGAAGAATATCTGGAATGGACATTAATCGAAGAGCTCGAAGAAATCGAAGACCTGAAGAGAGAAAAGAAAAAAAGTAAATGGAAAAAGAAAGAATAACAATTAATTGTCAACAATCAATCGTTATGACAAAAGCAGAGAGAGAGAGAGAGAGACTTATATAAGTTTAGAAGCAAAAAAATTAGTGTTAATTAAATAGAAATACAAACTGGATTAAGTTTCCATGTAAGTATTAGATTGATGATGAGAAAACAACAACGATAATAAACTGAGAATTGAAATGAGATACTCACCAATCCATGTCCGATCCAGATAAATTGATACAAAGGAAGGCGGGATTGTGAAGTAATCAACAAATGAGTACAATTCCAACATGAACCAAAGTTTATCAGAAGCAGCCACGAACTAAAAATAACGGTAAATGCAAGTGAAATTAACAATTAGCATCATCGAGAATGAGAACCAAATAATAATAAAGTAAAACAAACAATGAATGGAAAAGGTTATCAGTGGAAAAAGGATATTGTTAATATTAAGCAAAAGGTTATCGACTATTTTTAGATTTGATTGCGACAACAATTAATTGATTTAATTGATTACCCTTATGAAGAAATAAACCATGAAAAAGATATTCAATGCGAGGTCAATTTGTTGAGTATGATTTTCACTCCAACTTTGGCATTTTTCCACATTATCTCTGTAATAGAAATGGTAAAAATCATCATCATCATCATGAACATGATGAATATTAGATTATAAAGATTCTGGATCATGATGATGTCAAGGAATTAGTTGGCTGTAAATGAGATTGTCTTTTTCTCATTTTCTTCTCACTCTTTTTTTTTCATTCTCTCATTGAACATTTTCAAGATGAAGATGAAGATGAAGATGAAGATGATGATGATGGGATGATGATAATAATGGGTTATGTTAGATAATGATGAGGATGAAGATGAGGATGAAACTAATGAAAAGGATGAGATGTGTTTATATGATAAATTGTAGATTGTTATTCTTACCCTATTCCATTGCCTGGGCCGGTTCTAGTATTGGACATTTAATTGTTTAGGTTAATTAATTACGATTGGATTGTGGATGAGAGAGTGTGTAGGATGATAATCATATGTGGTGATAATGGAGGATAAAGATGATAAACCGGAAGGAAAAGGAAAGATTTATATTAGAGAAATGATTGTGATGATTGAGATTATTTAACATTGTTGGTTAATGATTAAGATTGGAAAGTTTATATTGATTGTGATTGTGTTACAATTATGGTGTTTCTATTGTAAGTTAATTAAGTTAATCATCGATTGGGATTATTTGATTACGATCAACATGTTAGTTAATGTATTATATAAATTAAATATCGATATTAAAGTAAATAATAATTAACATCTAAATTAGTATTGTTCAAGGTGTGGTTGTAAGGGATGAGGATGATGATTAGGAGGATGCTAAAGATGATGATGAGGGATGAGGATGATTTTATTGATAATTAAATTAATCATTATTAAAGACTTACCTTGATGCATCAATGAAATAAATAATTAGTGATGCAATTGATAATAGGAAAACTAAAACAACCTGAAATTAGATTGAAAAAACAACAACAACAACAACATTGATAATCAGTTGATTATAAAAGTATTTGCATAATTAGATGATCAAAATAAACAGTTAATTGATTAGACTGATCAAGTTAATTGATAATTGGTTAATCAATTTGTCCCATTAATTACATTTACGAAATCATATTGATGGTTTTATTAACTTGAATGAAATTTGAATCAATTTATTGAATTGATGATGAATTCATTGATAATGATTATCAATTATTGATTAATTGTCATAATATATTATTCATGTCCAATTGAGGGAAGTGATAAGGTTATTGATCAACAGGAAAAGGAAGTAACAATCGTAAAGGAAAAAAAAAGAAAGAAAAAGATAACAACAAGTTCTGTAGGAGTTTCCATCATCATCATCATCATCATGAGAAGAGATGATAAACTGAACTTTTAGACAAAGAATTCATTCTTAACATGATAATCTGTTCATGTATCATCATCATTGTTGAATTATAATTAGTGTGAAAACTGTTTGTTTGTCTCTCGTGTTAGATTTTATTTCCGTTTCCTTTCAGATTTTTCCTTCAATATCAATGAGAGTGGGAGGGAAATGGATAAGCAAACGGATAATTATAATAATCATCATCATGATAGTAAGTTGATTAAGGAAATTGAATACAATTAGGTGGATTAGTGATCTATTTTTCTCGGTTCCTATCAAGTAATCACATTATCATCTTTTACTATGATTGTGGTGGGAGTTTGGTAAATGGGAGGAATTGAAATTGGATAATATTATATATCTACCTATGAATATATTATAAATAATATTTATTAATGGGTTCTGATGATAATATGATATTTACCAAGACAATTAGTGTTATTTTTTGGGTAGTTAGTTGTACCTAGAGGAGTGAAAGGAGTGGTTCTTGTGATAATAATCATGACAGAACATGAAATAATCAACCAGTTAGATGTTCAAAGTAATCAATTGAATGGTAAAAGTGTACAAGGAATTTATATCTATTCAGTTGATTATAAGGGAACAATCAATTAATCAGGTTGATTGTGAAGTAGAGAGAAAAAAATTTCCAATCAAATTCAACAGTTGATTAAAGGTTTTTTTCTGGTTCAAATTGATCAATGAATATTTGATGCTCACTGATAATAATGTTAATAGATGACAACAATTAACTGAATGGTGGATTGATCATCTTAATTATTAGGTGTTAATATTGAATATGAAACTTACAAGAATCCTTCCTGTTGCTGATTGACCGGAAATTAGTTCACCAGCCCAGTCTTTAGCTTCCGTTACCCAGCCCAATTCTGATTGTGTGTAAATGAAAATAATATCAATAACAATTAAGAAATAGTATTTAAGGTTAATTATCAATGAGAATGGGGGGAAAAGTGTTCATTTGTATATTAACTGAAAAAAGGAAAGCAAATTGATTGATTAAATTGTTACATAATATCAGATAGATTGCAGGGTAAGATTAACTAATCAGACTTGATTAGGGTAAATAATATTAAGCTAATGATTTGTAGGTGTGAATGTGTATTAAAGTAGCTTGGATTAAGGTTTGATTTCATGATGGTCATCAATATGATTAAGGTAAATTGTCAAAATTGCAGGTTCATTAACTACACACCATGAAAATGAAATTAATTATGTGAATGATATTATACAAGGAATTGGGTGGTTAACATTTATAATAATGGATTATAACTGTTGCCATTTTCTGATAAATGGTTGAATATTATTGATTGGTGAGGTTAAATTAACTTTTCTTTTGCTGTATTTACCTGGTTGTTGACCATTTTGATCTGTGAACCTTGACCGGTCTCCACCTTTTTGATTAAATGGGCTTTGAGGTACATTTGAGGTAATGTTATTGTTGGCGGGCAGTGAATTTGTGGCCGCTGGTTGACCAGTAAGGGAAACTTTTGGTTTACCATTGGCCTGAAGCTGTTGAGCCTGAGAACTGGGCCCAGAACAGAGGAAGGCGAAAGCTCTGAAAATTAATATTATGAAAAGTCCAGCGAGAAAAGTGAATATACTGGACAATAGGAAACACCACCATTTGCGTTCAGCTAAACACTCTTCATGTGATGTGGGTATTGATGAGAAAGCCTAATGAGAAAGAGAGAGAGAGAGAGAGAGAGAAACATAGAGGAAGATGAGATAATATGGAAGATGGAAAATGAAAAATTAAAGAAATAAACATGATGGAGATTTACAAATGAACAAGAGATTAGATGTTGTGTATTTACATGTAAATGTATTTAAAGATGAAGGAGAAGAGGATGAGGATGAAGAAAATTATATGAAGATGTGAGAGAGAGAGAGAGAGAGAGGAAAAAGTAAGGAGAAGTGAAGGGAAAGAAAGAGAGAAAAGAAAGAAGAGAAAGAGAGACTTTGAGAAGCATAAGAGAGAAAATAACATTGACGATCTTACCTTTACATCTTCACTTCGAGATTCGTCTATTAGAGCAGCAATTGGATGGAGAGTATTATCAGGCTCATTCGCGGCCATAATTACGAACAATTAAAAAATGAACTTCCCTTGAAACATTAAGATGAAAGAAAAATAGAATTTGTTTTAGATAAAGAAAAAAGAAACAAATAGAAATGAGAGAAGAGAAGAACAAAAAAATTAAAGATTGATTTTAATTTGAAACGAGTTACAATCAAATGAGTCGTCGCGAAATTAAATCAATGGTTTCAACTCGAACAGAGAAACAGGAAAATCTTCTTGCGATTTTCACGATTCCATGGATCAAATGTTCAGCTGAGAATTTCATCTCTTCTTCTTATTCCTTTTGGATAATCTTCTTTTCCTCGATAATCCTTTTTCCTTCCAATATAAATAATTGATTCGATTGAGATAATTTTCGAATTTACTAATTTTTCTCTTCTTTTTCTTGGTAACAAATTCGAACTGTTCTAATATCTTACTTCGTAGGGTTTAGTCTTTTTCTTACCTTTTATTGGGAATCTTGATTATCGATTTTTTTCTAATTGTATTTTTTTTTTACTTCTCTCAGTTTATCTACCATATGGGTAATATTTTTAATCACTTGGTGATAATTAATTCGCTTTAAAAACTAATTAATTTGCTGAACAAAAAGGTGGAAATTGATTGGTGCACATTTTGTTTTTTTTTTCGAATTAATTTTTGTATTTGATTGTATGATTAATCATTTTTCTATTATTATTGGAGAAAAAGTAATGACACAATTTAATTTAATTAGAATTAGAATGTTTTAATTGTTTGTTGATGAACATTCAAAATTATTTGACAAAGAATATGAGTTAATCTGCATTTTGCAAACTTAAAGGGAAAACTAGTAATTTGGGAGATTGATTGTTGGAGTTAATTGTGGTTTTTTTTTGCTTCTCAATTTATATATATATAATTTCCAATAATTTTTTGCAAGTTGTAATAGTTAATCAATCATCTAGCATTGAAGGTTTAATATTGTTTTGTGGTAAGAGAGAGAGAGAGAGTGAAGCCTAATTGCTTGATTGAATTAATTATAATCAATTGAATTGTTTACATGACGAAAAGATGTAATCTGTGCTGGTCGTTGTTCAGTACAAAGGAGTTATAACGCATGAAGAAAATAGAAGTGGAAATTAATTATCAATTGTTTTCTTCCTCTCTCCCTCCCTCAGTTAAATATCATTAAATGTTTGATGCAGATAGAATATAAAAATTGTTAACTAATCATAGTTTTGATAAGTAACTTGTTGCCAAATAATGATGGAAGGAAAAAGGCGATCAGAATTAAATCAGAAACTGAAACCGTTTAAGAACAAAGGACAAGTGAAGATAATGAAAAATGATTAAGTTGAAGCCTAAAGGAACAGACTAATTATTTGATATGAAAATGAGTGATTAGAAAAAAAAGAAGAGTGAACCAAGTTCGAAAGATAAACAAAGATTCATGCTTTTAAAACAAAAAAGTCAAAGGTCTAATCAAATTTGATTTTGTGAATAAATTATTAGACGAATCGGTTTTAAGATCTTTGGAAAATAAGTGGACTGTTCAGAAACAAAAACTAATAATTATGCAGCCAATCATTAGGAGAGAGAATAGAAGAAAGAGAGAGAGAAAGGAAGTTTTAAGGCGTTGAAAAAAGTGTTCCAATCAAATGACCATAAACACGGAGAATCGAAAATCACCTTTTAAATTGAATTTTACAATTTCCACTTTTATTCCCCTTACGTTATTTAGACACAAATACAAACACACACGACGAGATCTTGATTAATCTTTTTCATTCCTTCTATACAAGTGGCATCACATTAGTCCAGATGATTGAAGGGTAACGATCGCTTCATTAGCAAAATAACGGACATCGGGATCAGAATCGGTATTTAACTTTTCTAGAACAGGTTTCACCATGTTTTGGAGTGTACTGAGGAGATAAAGAAAGATAATTGTGAAAAAAGCGGAAATATTGAAATAGATTATTAATAGTTGAGTGTTAATTACCTCTGATCAAGTGTGGAGCCGATTTTTTGTAAAGCTTTTGCCACATTAAACCGGACATTTGCAACATTATCATTAGCTAAAGTCAAAACGGTGGGAAGCATCAGCCTAGTTGTTATATCAGCTCCACAGATACCCGCCAGATCCTAAATGATTGAAGAAAAAAAATTAGTGATTAATTATGAATAACAGGTTGATTTATAAATTGACAGAAAAACAAACTTACATCGATACTGAACAAACATGTCATTCTATGGAGATAATTTTGGTCTTTAGACATCTGAATAACTTTTGGTATTACGGTGTTTGTAGCCCATTCTGGACCAAACTTTTCAACTAATTTTTTTAAATTTTGGGTTGCAGCTTCACGAATGGCGTAAACTGTTCAAATTAAAATAATAATTAATCATATTGATTAAAAAGAAAGAGAAAATTAGTCAAATTGTATTTATATAAAAGGTAATATAAAGTCAAAAAAGGAAATTAGTATTTAAAGAGTGGGATTATGTTGATTAGTAGAAACTAACCTTGGTCCACAAGCCATGTCATACATAATGTATTGAGCTTTTCATCAAAGAATTCAACTCCTAATTGACCAGCTAGTAAAGGCATGTAGCGTATTATTGCAAGCCGAACTCGCCATTTAGAATCCTCTGCCAGTTCAACGATTGCTGGTAGTAAAGATTGACTCAATTGTTGAATACCAATGACTTCATTTACACAATCAAGGTTGGAAATAATGTTTAATCGGACATCCGGACATTCATCCTTGAGTTGTATAAGGAAAAGAGGGAGAAGATGCTCCACAGTACTAGAAATGGTGGGAAAAGAGGCAAACAGAGTAAAGGTAATTAATTTTATGACCATTATCAAGAGAAAGACAAAGATTAAATTAATTTTACTCACTTTTGTTTACCGAAAATTGGAGATAGACCCATAATCACAGAAGCAAGAGCTGATTTAACATGTTGATTATGATCAGCGACCAAATCTTTTATGCAGGGTAATATATTGTTCATAATGATAGTTTCTTGGCAACTTGGGGCAAGATTTTGACAAAAATCTCTGACCTTTTGTGCCGCAGCAGCTCGAACTTCAGCTTCACAATCCTTGAGCAAGTTTTGGAATGCGGGGACAAGATCGGTCTTGGTAAGCTCAGAGCCTACAGCCTTTTGAAGTTCAACGAATTTATCTGCAACCATGTAACGAACTCTCCATGATTTATCTTCAGCCGCTTGTCTTAAAATGGGCATAACTTGTTGTTCCAGATCTTCTTGGGGTAAAAGGGAGGCAAGAGAAACACATGCCTCAACAGCCAATAAACGAACAGAATCTTGTTCATCTCCAGCTAAATGTGACCAAAGTGATATGACTTCCGATTTAAGGTACTCTGGTTCTAAGACTTTGGCAAATTCACCCAGTTTCGAGGCAGCTGCCCTTCTAACCATTGGAGTATCATCTTGACACAAAGCTCGGAAATTGCTGCTCCAAAAAGAAGGAAAATTTTAAAATAAAAACGAGGGAGAAAAAAATTGGATTAGTAAACAACACGAATTGTTGAGAGAAAATGTGAAAAATTATCATGATAATTACGTTCTAAGCTCTGCTTTGACTGGAGCTGACACTCTAGGATAACAGACACTGAAAAGACCACATGCTGAAGTTCTAGTTGTAAACCAATCACCACTAGAAAGTCTTCTGACTAGAGGAACAAAATGAGTCTCTAGATCTTGAGGTGAATGTTGTTGCGAAATATTACGTAAAGAGTCAACGGCTTTTTCACGAACTATTGTCTCTTCAACGGTTGCCAATGATTCTAATGGAGGTAGAAGACAGTTAACATATTCTACACCACCCACTAGTGGTGTGAAATTTCCCAACTGTTCTGCCAGTGCAAGAAGAACCTCATCCTCATCGTAGATGGTTTCAGTTAAAAAAGGAATCAATTCTGACCTAGTTCTTTCAACACCTAACGCCAATGAAATGGTGGACAATTTTTTGATGCTGTTAAGTCGGATCTAGAGGGAGAAAAAACAGAATATTAAGAGAAGCATAAGAGAAAGAGAGAAGAACAAATTTAATGAAAATCCATAGAGAGAAAGAGGAGAGACTGAGAGAAAGTAACGGAAAGGTTATGAGGCATGGGAAATTTTGGAAAGAGAGAGAGAGGAAACATTCCTATCTCTCTCTAAGAGCCTACATTATTTGTATGTGAGATATTGGGAGACATAAGTCATATTAAAGCAAAATCAAAAGGGTAGGGTCAGGAATGTAGGAAGAGAAAATGGAAAGAGAATGAGAGAGAGAGAGAGAGAGAGAGGGAAAGAGGCAAGAAAACAGGGAAGAAGGAGAAGAAAGTAGCTGATACGATAGAGAGAAAGATGAAGGCGAAGGCGAAAAGGGGAAAAAAGAAAGAAAAAGAGAAAGAGAAAGAGAAGAAAAAAAAGCTAAAGAGTAACTTTGACATAATCTTACCTGTACATCTTCATTTCTTAATTCATCTATGAGAACAGCAATTGGATAAAGAGTTGGATCATCATTAGGCTCATTAGCAGCCATAATTAGTAATGATTAAAAAGACGATTACCAATGAAAAAACAACAAATTAATGTGAGAAGAAAATATAAAGAGACAGTCAAAATTAAATATAAGAAACAAAATTAATTCTCTCTCAAAAACGATGCTAAAGTAAAGTGAAAGACTAACTGGTGAGTCGCCTCAGTAGAAAATGGAAGACATTTAGCGAATTCGGTTATTACTCATTCGATCTTCGGATCCACACAAATGAACAAGAGAAAAGGTGGTTACTATGGTTACCAGGGAATTCGATAAAAAGATATCGATAGGATTCGGTTTCCTCATTTTCTCTCATCTTTTCCTTTGGTCGGTTATCTGTTTTTCTCTGTCTTTTTTCTCTCTCTCTCTTGTACTTTTACTCTCTCTCTCTCTCTTTTACCTCTTTCTTTTCTTTTCAGGTGATTTTTGATTTTTTTGTTTATCTTTCTTTTTTTCTGATGTTCACAAGTTTGTAAAAGAACAATTTTTACAATTAGTTAACGAGCTTCGATTAATATTATTGTCCTGTTGTTACAAACAATTCGTTGTGTTGTAATCAGAATAATTTGTTCTCTCTCTTTCTCTTTTTCTTTTTCTCTTTCTCTTGATTTTTCTTTTTTCATCTTTTTCTCTTTTTTTTCATATTCTTTCTTCTTCTTCTTCTTCTTTTTCCACCATGAGTGACTCTCGACCCATGGAAACAAAGTTAATGTATTACAATGGTGACGATGATATTCCAACTCTCATTCGACTCGCTGTCTCACCTAATCAAGTGACCCTAAGTGATTTTAAATCTGCCATTAATCTTAAATCAACCTGTAAGCACAAGTTTTTCTTTAAAACAATCGATGATGATATTATAGTTAAAGAGGAGATTGCTGATGATGATGCCAAATTACCTGTTTTTAAAGGTAACATTATTTGTTACATTGAGTCTCAGGTTAATGATGAGACTGATTGCTCTGATGGACGTAGTAGTGATCATGGACATAATCATGGTCATCATCATCATTCACACCATCACTCTCACCATGGTCCATCTCATTACTATAGTAGGTGTGATGATTATTCAGATGATGATACAAGCTCCAGGATCTCAACTTCAACCAATGAAACCTCTGTCAGCCGATATAATCCAATGTTACGGCGGGAACGAGTTATGTCCAATGCATCTTCCGTTTCTAGTGTAACAGAATCATCTGCCATTGATCGTGTAATTAAAACGGTTACACTTGATTTAGATAAAACCAATTATCTTGGTATGAGTTTAATTGGTCAATCCAGTGATCGTGAAAATGGTGGTATTTATGTTGGATCAATTATGAAGGGTGGAGCAGTTGCTGCTGAAGGAACCATTCAACCAGGTGATATGATATTACAGGTGAACGAGCACATTTTGTCAAATATGACCAACGATCAAGCGGTTGAAATACTTCGTGAAGCGGCTCAAAGAGCGGGTAAAATTGAACTTGTTGTTGCAAAATTTTTCGAATCAAGTGCAGAAAGTTATTTTACTATTCCTCGCGAAGAACCAATTCAACCTCTTAATTTGGAAGCTTGGATTCACACAACCGAAGCTGCCACCGGATTAAATGGTAATCATCTTCTTTCCAACTCTCTATTTAATGTTAAAGTTAATTATTACAATTTTTTTTCTTCATATCTTTTCAACAGCTCATCCAGAATTTGAAGGACCACCTTCTTCCGAATCAGCTTCAACCTCTGCCAGTCATTCATCGATGCCAAGTTCTTATGCTAGATCAGAACAGCGACAATTATTACCCGATGTACCTGAGTTGTCCCTCGCCAATAGTACCATGTTTACAATCGCTAAATATGCCGCTTCCAGTGACAGTGGACTGGTTGTGAAAGATAGAAAATGGTTGAAAATTATAATTCCAAACGCTTTTCTAGGTAATTTCTATTTATCACACTAGCTGAGTTAATCTGTTAATCAATATTTTTCTTAATTGTTTTTCTGTGTTTAGGAGGTGATTTAGTCAACTGGTTGTTCACTAAAGTGAAAGGATTCAATCGTCGGAGAGATGCTAATAGTTATGCTAAACAGATGATGAAACAAGGGCACATTAAACACACGGTGAACAAAAAATTCTCTGAATTTTGTTATTACGTTTTTGACGAAAGTGTTACTTGTGAATCAAGTAACGAAGATTCAGCCGTTTATTCACAATTTTCATCATTTTAACAACAATTAGCAATGATTTCCATCAACGATAATCTCAAGTTCATCAGATTGAAATAATTAATCAACTTTTATATATTACATGAAACTGAGTTTTTCCAACATCTAATTGTGCAATCAAATACAATCTAAATATTATTGACTTGAGATTAATTTTTACTTTCATCTTTAACCATGTATATTTGACACAAAAAAAAAGGAGCCAAGTCATCAATTATTAATACTATTATTATTATCATCATCAACGAAGTCAATTAATGCCAAAGACAACAACAAAAGATGTCGATTCAATCATTATCTTGCTAATCAATCAAGGTATAAGTTAATCATCATAATAAATTATTGCAAGTAACCTGATACAACCTATACCCTGATCACTTTCACCCTCTTCAACCATCACCATTACCACCAACGGAAAAGGAAATGCATCAATCATGTCTTCGTTTACCTTTAAATAGCTTCAATCAACATTAATTATATTTATCCATCGATCTGACTCTAAATTGTAAAATCAATTACACCAATTAATTTAACAAATTATTTTCAAAAACAAATTGTCAACTAAATAATGTTACCCATTTACCTTTTCTCATTCACCACCTTAACCATGGATCCAATCAACAAATTGGTTATAATTGAACATCTTTTTATAACTAATTGTTGATTGTAAACATCAAATTTACTTTTATGGTTAACAATTGTAAATCAATATAACATTTTGTTTTTCCTTTTTTTTTATTTATTTTCATATCTTTACGTTTGTATTACCAAGAAAACAAAAAAATTTCCACCACAATCAAATCAAACTAATCAACTTTCACCTTCCCAATCAATTTTTATCAATCACCATTTGCTTTTGTATCTTCTTATTTTAATTTGTAAAAACAAAACAAAATCAAACAATTAACTTTAGCGGAAATGATTAAAACAAGAAGAGATTATCGAGATCATCATTAAAAAGTTAATGGTTAATTGTTATCAGTTATTTAACTTTAATTGTTTTAAAAATTTATTATTTCATTTTAATCATCGTCTTTACAACTGTAATCAATATTATTCAATGTTAATTGACAGTTGATTAAATTAATTATTGAGAGATGAGAAGATAAAGAATCGTTGATTGATTGAGCTAGAATAAAATTGCTTTCAACTAATTATAATTGCTAAAATTTAAATTGTGTTATGTGTGTTGATTGATGTTGATGATAATAAATACAATGTGTTGTTTGCTGATCGGATGTTTGATTTGTTTTGATCCAGTTATTATATAATCAGGTGATGTTAATCATGGTTGTTGCACTTGATTTAATCAGGAATTATTTTTAGTCTTAATTGTATTGTGATAATTGATAATGGCTGCTAAGGGAATTAAAATTGATTGAGTGAGAGAGAGAGATAACAGTTTAAATAATATAATAGTTTAGGGAACTAAATTAAAACTCCAAATGATAAACATTCATGATCAAACCAAAGTTTCACAGGAATTAAGGTGAAAAAAATGTAATTAATTGATTATTATGACCCAAAGTATATGATTTCCTCTAACTATTAATACAATTAATTTCTTGAATTATATTGGCTTCATTGATATCAAATAGTAGAGAGGGAGAGAGAAAAAAAAATTTTTTGAATAATCAAAGTGACTAATTAAGAAATATTTACAATTAGTGTAACATTGATTCCTGGAGACTTTGGTTTTGATTTGATGATGGAGTTGAATTTAACTCTCGATTATGGTTGTTAATGGTGAAGATTGATAAAGGTGATCATTGAAATAAGAAAGAGACAGAGAGAGAGAGAGAGGAAGGATAACAAAAGGTGAGAAAGGGAAGAAAGAGTAATATGTGAAGTAATTAATTGCTTAATTATAGTAATCGTAAGAGTAGCTTGCTCTGAAGTATGTAATTGTTGTGTGAGAGAGAGAAACTCAGGGAGAAAGGGTTAATCAAGAAGCGTTGAGCAAAGCAGTGAATTCTTGATGAATTGTTCGTAATTCTTGAATATTTTGACCCAATCTTAGATTGACCTGGTCAAGCATTCCTTTCTTTGCTTTGTCCGAGAATTTGGTTATATTATTATCACTATGGTCTTGCAATTGGCTCAATTGACTTCGAAGATTTTCATTCTCAGCTAATAATAGATTCAATTTATCTTCGACTTTTTGACTGGCACCATTAACCGAAACATGAGATTCAAGGCTTTTCTTTAATAATTCAATCTCTTTGTCTTTTCCTTTAATTGTTGATTCTAATGAGGCAGCACTTGTTCGTAAATTGTTCATCTCTTTACCTAATTCATCGATTGCTTCTGGATCACCATGACTAGCTTCCAATTCCAATATTCTCATTCTCATTTTACCATTTTCTTCCTTCAATGATTGTAATTGACGTTTCCATTCTTCAACGTTAACCGTTGATTCTTGAAGGGCTCCAGTTAAACGAGAATTATTATTCTTTAACGTTTGAAGTTCAATCTCCCATTTCTTGGCATTGGCTGAACTTTGAGCTAAAGCTAATTTCAAACGTTCATTCTCATATCTTAATTGAGCTTCCGTTGTTGACTGGGGAAGCATAATGGTCGATCCTAGTTTATCTTTGGTTGAACCAAGAGTACCATGTTTATTGGGAGATTCATTGAGTAATTTGGTCACTTGTAAACCAGATAAACTTTGGCTACGCTGGTGAGCACTTAAGGTTCCGCTCTTTGTAAGGGTACCAGAAGATGAGGTTATCTCATTATGCTCAATGGGCAATGAATTGGGTTCATTTGTATCACCACCACCACCACCACCACTTCCAGCACCAGAAACACTTAAAATAAGATGATGAGTATTTAAAATATCTTCGTTCATAGTTTCTCCGGTACTTGATGAAACTGTTGTACTTCGATGAGGTGTTGGACTTTTACTTGGTGGACAAATGATTGATCCAGAATCAGTATGATGATTACCACCATTTGGTTGATGATGATGATGATGTGATCCCTTGTGATCTGAAGAGGTTCGAGAGGCTTCTTTGATTTCTTGAAATTTTTCAATAAATTTATTTAAATCTGGTTCAGAGGCAAATCCAAGACCATAAACAGTATTTGCACGAATATCTGACCATTGGCCAAACTTTTGACTGGTCTTGGTAAAAGTCATCTTAGGTGTAACTGTACTATTGATTACAGGTTTATTGTCTTCAACTGAGATAATACGATAAATGTTAAGCGATGGATCGTGAAAGAAACAAACATTTACTGCTTGACAGGAAGCCGGTATCCAGGATCGCTTCGTTTGTGGATCAATATGGAAGACGTGAGCCTTACTGGTGTAGATTGGCTGTAATTGAGAAGGCCTGGATTTCTCTGAGAGAGACATTTATATATGTATATTGTGACTTTGATTCAACAGTTAAGGTAGAAAGTGAAGAGAAGATGAGATGAAACGAAGAGAGGGAGAGAGAAAAACCAGATATTTTCTCTATTTGATGACCATCTGATTTGGATAAATTTAGAAAGTAAGGAAGGAGGTAAATAGAAATTGAGAGTCCAGGAAGAGAACAAATGATAAAAAGTCTCTCCTTTTCTCCTTCTTCGTTTTAGTTGTGAGACGTTTCTTCAGCCAAGAGATGGTCGAAAATATTATTACATTGAGATTTATCACTTTGTCACAAAAGGAAAATTTTAACTTTGGAAGCTCACAGTTGATTTATTGTTTGCAAGAATTTAAGATGAGATATTTGTAGGGCTTGGTTGGGATTCCTTATTAAGTATTACAGCAGGTGAAGTAGTTTCCAATCAAATTTGTTCAGTCCTATGAATTAAATAGAATAGAAAATGAAAAAGAAAAGAAAATAAGAGATCAATTTACAATATTCTAAAAAAGGGCAAAGTATCAAGTAAATTTTAAAAGATAAACAGGTGATACAAATATAGTAATCAGTCCCAGTAGAATAAAATTATATTATATGAATATAAATTCAATATAATAAACTGTAAATTGAAGGAAAGAGTATAAAATAAAAAGAGATTGAGACTGAAAAAAGAGAGAAAAGTGAAATTTCAAAAGATACAATGGAAATGAGGAAGAGAAATGAGAAAGTAAAAAGATGGAGAAGTCGACAGATTTAGAAATTGAAACAAATTCAAGAGAATTTTGCGAGATTTTTGAAAACAAATAGTCTCAATGTTCACAAGAAATTGTAATTAAATTACCGAGAGAGAGAAAAAACAAAGAAAACCAATAAAAAATTCGTCAATCACTTACCTGAGAAAAAAAATTGACTCAAAAATAAACATAACCCAAGACAAGATTTTTGGGTAAACAGAGTAAACAGAGAAAGTGAAATGAAAGAAACCAATTAAAACCAATGGTGATTATCTGTAGAAAATTAATTACAATCAAATGATGACCAGCCCGAAACTATAATTAGATTAATTATTCTGTAAATTAAACACAAAATTCAAGGAGATTAAAATTACCTTCACAATTAAGTTACAATTGTGAAGGTTTTGTTTATTTGATTGAGAAAAAGAAAAAACCAAAACTAAAAAGAAAAAAGAGCGACACCTGTTGGTGGAGAAAATAGAATAGAATTTTTTCTCATTCTCATTTTCTCATTTGGTTGAGAATTTTTTTCAAACGTTAATTGTGATCTAATTACTTTCTGCTTGTAATTAAATTAATTTGACAAATTTGAAATTAGAAATTTTCTTTCGATTTATAATCTTCTTTTTCTGTTTACCTTTGGTGTTTTCTGATTTTGTGACAATTTAGTTGCTTTGTGTCTGAAATAAAGAAAGAAAAATCTTTCATTCTAACCTTTAATTTATCTGAATCATGTATGCAAAGGTATTCAATATGGAGACCATGCAAGTTGGAGATCACATTGTGTCTCCTATGTGCATACCCACTCATGCCCCACCAGATTATCCATCGGATTATTTTGGATCAAGAGGAACCAAACCACCGGTAACTTGGTATCAGGTTGATGAAAGTCAAGTAAACACATTGAGAGGATCAATTGTCACATGTCTTTCTGAAGGTAAACCGATAAACACGCATCACCTTTATGCGTATCTTTGCAGTGTTGGACAAAGGATGAGTAACACTTCAGAGCGAGAATGGGTCAGCTTTGGTCAGGTAATTTGTTCGGCCAATTCTTCTGCCAGTGTTAAAGATATTTTCCATGTGGAGAAAACGGAAAACATCTCAATGGATGATGTTATTGTCGGTGAAAATATCACAGTCGATGAAAGTGATGATATTTGGATTGTTCTTGCTCTTTTCATCATATGGAATCTTGATCGAATGGGAAACAAACCTGGTAGCTGGATTGCCAATCAAGCGGATGCAAAATTATCTGAACGAGTTCCCAGAAAATTTGTAATCAATGTTTACAAATTGTGGGGTATTCACCGTAACTGGGGACGAGATTACATTCTGTCAAAATTGGTTGCAGCTTTTGACATGTATTTAAATTACTTTAATCAAGATGAGATGTCAATTGTCCGATTTGCCACTGAGGTTTCACGTTACAAGGATTGTTTAGTCTTAAAGGATATTGATTTTGTTCGAGGAAAATTGGGATTAGAGAGCAACGAGCAGTTTTATGATTGGATGTTTGTACCTCCATTGAAAATGGAAGCAAATAGAGTTCGAAAACCAGGACAAGAATTGGATAATCCATTCAGTTACTCTTTTTATTTAAGTGATCTACTCAGGTCAGACAAAGTCCATATTCTGCATCAATTAACTCACAAATCCATGTATTCGTCAATCTGATCGGAGCTGCTCTCAATATTCAAAAGTGTTCCAATCGTAAAATGTTTGACAATTTACCTATCGGAGATATAATGACTAATGTCGCATGTGTAATCTGGGCACTTGGTTCACATTCGCATTCCAGTTCGGATCCAAATCTACCACCGATCACTAGGTCCGGATTAGAGTTCGAACAATGGTTCATCGCTCATAACAACATGATACCTTACGAAGTGGCCAACAACCTCGCACTCAAATTCAGATCAAACATGTGCTCTCGTCCTGGTACAATCGCTGCATTTGCCAAAGAGCAATACTCAAGTCTTTATCCATAATTTAAACTTGAAAAAGAAAAAGTAATTTAATAATACAAATATAAACTCGATGGTGTAAATTAAATGCTTAAAATTAACTACAAAGTCAATGTTTTTACTTCATCTGATTGTCTATGTAATTTTGTGATCACTGATTAACAGTTATTATTGTTAATTTCAAGGTCATCGGAAAGTTTTTTTTACCATTAAATTACCGAGGGAAATTAAACTAATTTAAATCAATGTTTAACTTGAAAGAAAAACAAAATAAAATTTGATGAAAACAAACAGAATTGTAAATTAAATTATCAGTTTATTTAAGAAACAACATTGAAATATCGATAATTGTGAGCACGAATTTTTCTCATTAATCATTTGATTTTTTCTTAATTATAAGATAGTTAAGATAATTAATTTTCTATCGGAAAATTAAATTAAGAAAATAGGGTGACATCTACTGAGAAAAGAATTTGTTTCACTTTCAAGTTGATCAAAAATCTTAATTGTGAATTATGGATTAAGTCTTTAACCTTCCTCCATTTTCAATTTTGGATTTAAAGGATTGTTACATGTGCTAACGGTTTCTACCAACAATTTCCTCTTAATTGCAACGAGTTCTTTAGATTCTTTTAAACTGTGTTACTTAAATAGAGAAAATTGTTAAAAAAGTTCTGAAATTTTCAATCCTTTCATCATGGGAATAATAGATAAATCTGAGTTATTGGAACTTAGAGAGGCTTTCCATATAGATCCTGACGATTTTCCCGTAAATTATCCATCGGCTTATTTTGAATTTAGAGACACCAAACCACCGATAACCTGGTATCAGGTTCATGAAAGTGAAGTAGACACATTGAGAGGATCAATTGTCACATGTCTTTCTGAGGGTAAACCGATAAACACGCATCACCTTTACGCGTATCTTTGCAGTGTTGGACAAAGGATGAGTAACACTTCAGAGCGAGAATGGGTCAGCTTTGGTCAGGTAATTTGTCCGGCCAATTCTTCTGCCAGTGTTAAGGATATTTTCCATGTGGAGAAAACGGAAAACATCTCAATGGATGATGTTATTGTCGGTGAAAATATCACAGTCGATGAAAGTGATGATATTTGGATTGTTCTTGCTCTTTTCTCTATTTGGGTGTTAAGATATCCGAGTCCAGAAGAATGGTTGAAAAGAAAGTTATTGAATAAGATGAAGAAAAATGTTTCCGGGAAACATGGAATCACCATGGAGAAATTGAAGAAAATCCGTATTTTGCCAGCCGGGATAAAATTCTATTGAAACTTGGAGCTGGTTTCGATATGTATTTGAATTACTTCAATAAGGATCCGATGAACATCATTCGCGTTGCCACTGAGCGATCACGTTACAAGGCTTGTTTAGTGATAAAAGATATCATCTTTGTTAGAGAGAAACTTGGCTTGGACAGTAATGACCAGTTCTATGAATGGATCTCTCGAAAATATGATAAACTCCTTGTGGAGTTGGAAGAGTGAATAAACCAGGTCAAGAAATCGAAAATGCTTACAGTTACTTCCCTTACATGATGGATCTTCTCGAGTTTAATGTTTCTCAATATTCTACAAAAATTAATCCATCTCTCCATGTATTGGTTAATATAATTGGTGCTGCTTTTAAGCTGGAAAGATGTGTTAATCGAAAAAAGCCCAAAATTTCGTAATCAGCAGTACCATGAACGCTGCCGCACTAATTATTTGGGCATTTGATTCTGATTCTCGCCCTGGTTCAGATCAACTTCCAGCGAGTTCAGCTAAAGGGATCGACGAATGGGTTTCTGCAAATGTCCTACCAGATTTTGACCATGTACACAAACACATGGGAGACAAATTTCGAGAATTATATAAACATCATACTGATTCAGGCTCGATTGTTTCGTTCGTAAAAAAGTGGCTTTTTTGTGAGGAAACTCAAAAATTTAAACTTCCTGCATAAACTGGTACATAAACTATCGATACCAGAATTAATTTAATGTAACTTAAATCAATGATTACTAATTGAACATTTATTTGGAAATGATTACGTTTTGGTTCAATTATCTAATGATGATCTCATTAAATCGCCAAGTAAATCAAGATCAGTCTGAATAATCTTCTCAATAATATATCAATAAAAGTTTAGATTCAGATCACGAGTAATAATTCAAACCGATAGGTACAGTTACTGGTAGTTTGAGACTAATTCCAAATAATCAACGAGCTTTACCAATAAGAATGACAAATGTATTTGTTAAGTTCTCAAAAATTGTCTAGTAATTTACAAAAGAATAAATTAAAATCAGTGAGATCAAACTGATTAACGTGATCAGGATATAGTTTTGATGACAATTAAAAGCAATCGGAATACAAATGAACTCGAGTTAATCTGTTGTATCACTTTTAACTTCTTGTTTAACGTCTTCGTCCTCTTTAATTTGATTTGCTTGTGATTGGAAAATTTTGTAATCAGCCCAAGACATGAGATTGTCCTTCTCTATTTTGAATGTTTTCGCGAACGGGAATATAATAGCGACGTAGCCTCCGACCATGGCTGAGAAATCAAAGAGAATAGAACAAAAATTAGACTGAGATTTATATTCTTTTTTAATTGGTCGATTAAATTACCGAGGGAAATTAAACTAATTTAAATCAATGTTTAACTTGAAAGAAAAACAAAATAAAATTTGATGAAAACAAACAGAATTGTAAATTAAATTATCAGTTTAATTTAAGAAACAACATTGAAATATCGATAATTGTGAGCACGAATTTTTCTCATTAATCATTTAATTTTTTCTTGATTATAAGATAGTTAAGATAATTAATTTTCTATCGGAAAATTAAATCAAATTAAGAAAATAGGGTGACATCTACTGAGAAAACAATTTGACTTGCAAGTTGATCAAAAATCTTAATTGTGAATCACAGTTCGGGATTAAGTCTTTACCCTTCCTCCATTTTCAATTTTGGATTTAAAGGATTGTTACACGTGCTAACGGTTTCTACCAACAATTTCCTCTTAATTGCAACGATTTCTTTAGATTCTTTTAAACTGTGTTACTTAAATAGTGAAAATTACATAAGAAGTTCTGAAATTTTCAATAATTTCAATATGGATTTAGATACATATCAGATTTATCGTGGGAATACTTTAGTCCGTCTCGATGAACCTTATTGCCGAGAACCTAAATTAAAATATCCATCGGATTATTTTGGATCAAGAGGAACCAAACCACCGGTAACTTGGTATCAGGTCGATGAAAGTCAAGTAAACACATTGAGAGGATCAATTGTCACATGTCTTTCTGAAGGTAAACCGATAAACACGCATCACCTTTACGCGTATCTTTGCAGTGTTGGACAAAGGATGAGTAACACTTCAGAGCGAGAATGGGTCAGCTTTGGTCAGGTAATTTGTCCGGCCAATTCTTCTGCTAGTGTTAAGGATATTTTCCATGTGGAGAAAACGGAAAACGTCTCAATGGATGATGTTATTGTCGGTGAAAATATCACAGTCGATGAAAGTGATGATATTTGGATTGTTCTTGCTCTTTTCTCTATTTGGTTGTTGCAATATTCGAGTCCAGAAGAATGGTTGAAAAGAAAGTTATTGGATACGATGAATAAAAATGTTTCCGGGAAACATGGAATCACCATGGAGAAATTAAAGAAAATTTTTTTTTCCAGCGTGGATAAAATTCTATTGAAACTCGGAGCTGGTTTCGATATGTATTTGAATTACTTCAATAAGGATTCGATGAGAATCATTCGCGTTGCCACTGATCAATCACGTTACAAGTCTTGTTTAGTGATAAAAGATATCATCTTTGTTAGAGAGAAACTTGGCTTGGACAGTAATGACCAGTTCTATGAATGGATCATTCGAACAAATGATAAACTCAACAAGGAGCTGGAAAGAGTGAATAAACCAGGCCAAGAAATCGAAAACGCTTACAGTTACTTCCCTTACATAATGGATCTTCTCGAGTTCGATATCTCTCCATATTCTACAAAAATTAATCCATCTCTCCATGTATTGGTTAATACAATTGGAGCTGCTTTTAAGCTGGAAAGATGTGTTAATCGAAAAAAGCCCAAAAATTTCATAATCGACCGTATCATTAACGCTGCCGCACTAATTATTTGGGCATTCGATTCCGATTCTCGCTCTGGTTCAGATCAACTTCCAGCGCGTTCAGCTAAAGGGATCGACGAATGGATTTCTGTAAATGGCCTACCAGATATTGACCATGTTCACAAACACATGGGAGACAAATTTCGAGAATTATATAAACATCATACTGATTCGGGTTCGATTGTTTGGTTCGTAAAAAATTGTGTTTTCTGAGGAAACTCAAAAATTTAAAAATCCTGCACAGGCAAATAAACCATCGATACCAGTATTTAATGTAACTTAAATCAATGATTACTACTTAGCCATTTATTTTGTAATGATTGCGCCTTTGGTTCAATTATCTAATGATCTCAATAAATCGCCAAGTAAATCAAGATCAGTCTGAATAATCTTCTCAATAATATATCAATAAAAGTTTAGATTCAGATCACGAGTAATAATTCAAACCGATAGGTACAGTTACTGGTAGTTTGAGACTAATTCCGGATAATCAACGAGCTTTACCAATAAGAATGACAAATGTATTTGTTAAGTTCTCAAAAATTGTCTAGTAATTTACAAAAGAATAAATTAAAATCAGTGAGATCAAACTGATTAACGTGATCAGGATATGGTTTTGATGATAATTAAAAGCAATCGGAATACAAATGAGCTCGATTTAATTTGTTGTATCACTTTTAACTTCTTGTTTAACGTCTTCGTCCTCTTCAATTTGATTTGCTTGTGATTGGAAAATTTTGTAATCAGCCCAAGACATGAGATTGTCCTTCTCTATTTTGAATGTTTTCGCGAACGGGAATATAATGGCGACGTAGCCCTCCGACCATGGCTGAGAAATCAAAGAGAATAGAACAAAAATTAGACTGAGATTTATATTCTTTTTTGATTGGTCATACCTTTTTCCGTAAAATGTTTGGATCGGTGAATAATTTCTCGTTAATTTCAATGAGTGTTCCTCTCATACACGAAAATATCGCATAAGAAGAACCGTCTTCACATGAAGCAACACAAAGCAATGAATTTTGGTCCACCCTTTGTCCACCTTTTTTCCATTTACCGGAGACTTTGTTGTCCAATCTATTTGTTTTGTCTGTTACTTGGAAATCAAGTGATTCTATTTCACTATCATTGGTAATTAACGGATGATTAGGAGCTAAAGTAACCACTCCAATCCTAAAGTAAACATGAAAAGAAAAACAAATTAGTGATACCAAAGATAGAAGAAGATGAATAAATCAACTAATACATTCACCAACACCAACAACAATTTGTCAATTTACAACTGATTACATCATTTAGTATCATTAACAAATTACAGGTTGAAGAATTTGTGAAAAAATAAGCTAATTATATAAATAGAATCTAAATGAATGTTGTTGAGAGTGAAAGTAATCAAAACATTGTGATGACATGACGATGAAACTAACACCCACCTATTGTTATGAAAAAGGACAATTTGATGACCAATGTGACATTCAACTGGCACTTTTCTGGTTAATTTGGGTACATAGAAACGAGGCTCATAATATCTTTGAGTAACTGAAGGTAATTCAGAAATAATCCTATCACATGGTAAAGGATAATCATCAAAGTCTTGAGTTTTCCTTTCAATCAGGTTACTTGAATCCTCTTCTTCCATTGTTGTTGTTGTTGTGACAAAAACAAAACCCTAAATGGTAAATGAAAAAAAAGATGAATAAATTACCAATATAAACAAAGAGACACCTTAATAAACATGACATCAGAGAAAAAGGAAGAGAAAAAAAACTAATCAACAATTGTAATTAATTAATCTTCTTACCTTGGGTTATTGAGCTAATGTTGTTGTAACTATAAATTACTAATGATTTTGAGATGAACAAAAAATAATCAAACAGATACAATCACTTGGGTTAATGTGTAGATTTGCCAATTGAAGATGATGCTGTTGTTGATGATGATGATGATGGTGAGATTATTAATCACAAGGATAATGATTAAGAGAAGAACAAAAAAGTAAACAAAATGGAGGAAAAACAAAAAGCCAATGACTAGAAAATTGAATTTACCAGGAAAACAAATGATCTCACATGTGAAGAAAACCAAAGGCGCACAGAATCGGTTTGAATAGAAAACCTTTTAGATAAAACTAATCAAATTATTCTCTAAGTGAAAAAGAATAGAATATCAAATTGTTAATTGATATTCTAATTGATTTGTTGATGGTGAGAGAGAGAAAAAAATAAACAAATTGTGAATAAAGATCAAGAAATCAACAAGCATGGGGAACAGTTGTTGTTGAGAAATCAGGTTTGGGATTTTGTGGCTCGTTGAGGTTTTTTGGTGATTCTCCCGCCTAATCAGTGGTTTCACCTTTTTCAATCACCTAATTATTAAAGAGAAAAAAGAAATTATAACAAATTAATATATTTGCAAAAAGATAAGGAAGCAAAATAATCATTAATTTAAGTCACAATTAAATGACCACAAGTACATTAAAGTGTAATGGAGAGAAAGTTAATCATAACCTGTAATCAAATGATAGTGATAATCAAGGTGGGAAAAAAATTCTTACCAAATCAACCAATAGTTCAACTTTAAGCTTCAACAGTCGATTCTCTTCAAGCAATAATTCATTAGCTTTCTTTAATTTAGCTAATTCTTTATTCTTAGAATGAACAATAACACCGGTAGAATTGTTAATCTCCTGATTGATTCCTGGTTTTCGTTTTCTAATCTTTCCATATTCATCGCCATTCTCATTCTCGGGATGGTCATTGTTTCCATCGGTATCTCCATAGTCTTCCCTGTAATCACCATGTAGCTGACCATCATCTTTATCCCCTGAATCCTGTGGATAATCAGTTTTCCATTCACCTTTAACTCCGTCAAATTGTAAATTCAAACAATCACCCAATTGAATTGAAAGCTTTTTAAACTCCTTTAAATGGTCAACATTTTCCTCGCCAATTGATGATCGTCCAATTAGATTGTTATTACCAATAGATTTACGAGGTTTAGATAAACGAGGACTAAATTTATCCGAAAATAAAGGCATAATTAAATCACGAACAAAGGTAAGAAAATTAATCAATTTGTCAACAAAGAGAAATTAAAAAATCGGTTATTCAATTGTTGTTGTTTTCCGTCACCGGTTACCAATAGTTACCGGTTGACCTGTGATTCGGAGTGACAACAGTAATTGTGATTGTTAATCAAGTAGAAGTTAATTTAGATTGTTCAATTAATCAATTGTTATTGACAATTTAAATTATTAATTTAGATCAGTGAAAGTAGTTGAACCATAAATCAAATTGGACACCAGAACATGAGGTCAGTTTAATGTCTTTCGATGATCTTTTTTTTTTGTCTTCTTTTTGTTTTTATGTTTGGTTTTTTTTTCTATTCTCTAATAATTATTTTCTTTTCTCTATTACTTATAGATTAATCTAAATTTTTCTTCCTTGATCATCAGCAAGAGATAATTTCGTTATTCGTTATTTAGGAAATACATCAACAGGTAACGGACCATGAAGAGCAACGGGAAAAAAAGCCAAATCCTGGATGTAAGAGATTCACTGGATTAAAGTGTCTCTTTGGATTGGTGATATTTCATTTCTACCATCATGTCAATTGTGAAACAAGAAGATAATCAAAGTTTGGAACAATAATTTATCATGTTAATCATGGTAATGAATTACAATTTGATTGCTTTTGAGAGAGAGAGAAAGAGAGAATTTGTTGAAATTCATTTTAATTGTTTTTCTCTTTTTCTTATCCTTATGATATTCATTAGATTCTATTATGATATCAAATAGACACCCTGATGATATAATCTTTCAACAGGTAAGTCAATTTTTTTCCCTTTTCGCAACTTTCTCTTCTTTAATCATTTCAATTGAGTCAATCTGATTATTGTCAACTGTTGAATAGGACCAACAATCAGAGAATTACAATTAAAAGTTAACCATATACAAAAGATTAATTTTCTTTATTCTTTAACTTTTTCTTTTCATTTCTCTCCACAAACGGAAAAGCTTGGATAAAGATGATTACCAAAAAGAATTTGGAAAAGTATCATCACCATTATAACTGTTACAATCATCATCATCATCATCACAATCAACATCATGAAGATCACCATCACTTAGATGGATCATAATGATAATCATCAACATGAGAAAACATTTTTTTTCTTCTTCTCTCAATTGAATGTGATTAAAATGTTATTTGTTACAAGATTTAACAGGTAAATATGAAGATGAAAGAAATAATTTGTTAATATATTTAATCTAATCCTTAATTCTTGTTCTATCCTTTTCTAAAATTCATCAAATCTATTAGATGATGATAACTTTCACTCTTTGATGAAGATAAGAGAAATGAGGATTCAAGAGATTACCTGAATTTTTTAGCTCAGGTAACAAAATGTTTTAACGATATACAATTAAAAATGATGATCATAATCATCGTTGGTCTTCAACATCTAATCAGCATAATCACAATTAACATTATCATGACTGTCTCTTAATCAAAGTTATTCAACATGAACACTAAACAACAACAACAACAACATATCATCATGAATGGATTAATATATCAAAACTATTCAGGTATAACACTGAATATTCAATTAAATTCATCAGTCGACTGATTATTTATTTCTAATCATCTCAATGAATTACAGTTAATATTCAACAACAGAACAATTATCAATCAACTGGACTCTTACTTGTACATATTACAAGTTGGAAACAAGAGAGAGATGGAGGAAGAGCAAAGAGGAAACAAGGACCGAATACAATTAATAAATTGCTGTTATTATTAAATAATGTATAATAATCATCGTTACGATTAACATTATTAATGGATTAACAAGCAAAGTCAAGATGGACACTCCTAAAAAGCTGAGCTATTAAAATCAAGAGAAAAACAGATAATTGAATAGAATTGGAATAAATTTATTTATTCAAATGCAGAGTGAATATCATGTAAATTTCATCATCTCTTTCAAGTGGTCATCGTAAATTGATTATGGGTCAAGCAAAGAGAGAGAGAGAGAGAGAGAGTGAAAGTATTAAAGTTTCAAAAGAGGAAAAGGAAACAATATAAACTTTTGTCGTGCTTTATGTTTACGTTTAATATTTAGATCAACAATTTCCTGTCAACCTTCATCATCTAATTCAACTCACATGAATTGAGAATTTTAATTATCATCAACTCAATTAATGACTTTTCAATCATGTTAAAAATTTAATCAACAACAACTCATTGAATGAAATTAACATGTATAACTTAAGCCCCATCAAAGTTAAACAAAAAATTTGATTACTGGTTTTGACTTAATAATGATTATGCTAATCAAATATTGATGAAATTATTTATTTTTTTAAATAATTTTTTAGCTTATTTGTTTATTAATTCATTATAATTATCGTCAACTTAATTAAGGATAAAAGTGAAATGAAAAAGGAGAGAAACTGACCAACAACAGGAATCAAGTTGAATGACGATGAAACTGATTACCTGAATCCATCTTCATCAATTTTATTATTATTCACTCACTAATCCATCAATTGATGATAAAAATCAAGTAAATTCATTATGATTAACAAAACAAAGTTAAATTTATTAACTAATCAAGTAATCAGACAACGAGAAAGAAAAATATTAACCACTCCAAACACCAATCCTTAAAAACGATGATGATCAACATTTAAATCAACGGATGATCATGATAATCAAATTGAACAGATTAAATTGTGTTTCTGAATTACGTGATTTATTAAATTAATTGTATTATTATTAATACAATCTAATTAATCAAAGGAAAACTATCCTATCATACTTGTTAAATTGTTGAAAAATCAACAGGTAACGATGAAAACTCAATGAAAATGTGAACAAAAAATTCAAATGTATTAAATTGAAATACTTTTGATAACTTAATTGAAATTGAACACTAATTGTTAGCAATTTAATTGCCTTTCTCTCTCCCTCTCTGATAAAAATGTTAACCCTATTAACTAATGATTATCATCGAAACAGATCAAAATAATTAACTAATTAGATTCTAGATGAAATCATAAGAAATGACGTTATTTCCTCTGTAACGATCAACCCAACCCATGGAAACGAAGCTCAAGTCGCAAGTCTGATGATGATAGAAAGATGATTAAAGATGATGATGAGAAAAAAAGAAAGAGAAAAAAATGAAAATCGAAAGTAAGAGAAGAAAGAAAAACTTGTTTGCTCCCTTCTCTTTCTTATCTTCTCTCTCTTCTCTTACTATTTCAAACTCACTTCCCTGTTCACTTTTACTTTCACCAGGTAAACATTACGAAAAAAAATGTTTACCATTTCAAGATTCAGTTTCAATCGTGAAAGTTACTTTTTGTCAGTTAATTGTTGTTAGTTTAATAAGCAATCAACAACAGAACATGTTGTTGATTGTTACATGATCATAAAATTATCATTTACAATCAACAATTAGTAAAACTTTTTCATCTTCTTGTTGTTGTTGTATTTTAAATTCAATCTTCATTTGTTGATGTCAAACAAAAATAATAACAATTAAAAGAAAAGGTAAACAATTATAATCAACGATTAACTTTTGATGAACTTTGTTCTTACAATTAACAACATGATCAATGTTATTATTATTGCAAATAGTTAATTAACCTACTCTCTCATCTAAATTTATCTTCTTCTCTCTCTCTCTCACTTTCATCATCATCGATCATCGATTCAATCACAATTCAATCATTGAATCAAATCAATTTGATTGTTTGATTACTTTTTTTTAGTCAACAATTTACTGATTATATTGAAAAATTCACCATCAGTATCGGATTAACTATCATTGTGATCAATTAACAATAACAATATAATCCTAGTTATGGTTTTTAAATTGTTCCAAGGGTTAAATTGTTAAAGTGTACAACTAATAATCATCATAACCAATTAAATGGATTAACTGATTTGTGAGTGTTGACAATTTGCTTTGGATTCTATTTTCTTATTGGATTAAATTGTGTAATTATCATCTCGTTGTTCACCAAAATGTCATCATTAACTTATCGAAAATCCTATCGGGTCAACGATACCGACTTCGATTGTCACCAATATTGTATGTCGCTACCTGACCTACGATTCAATGGTAAACGTAAACGAAAAGGTTTCTCATTTAATTTTCGTAATTTCCTTTCGTCATCTCGTCCACAATTATCGACCTCAGGCCACATTTATCGTCAAATCGAGTGGAAAGTTTTTGTATTCACCATTATCTTACCAAATGGATCTAAACAAAAGGTAAATTTATTGTTTAATTGTTTTGTCAATTGTTTAATTGTTTCTGTTACAATGGTAACACAAATACTAAACACACACGTTCATTGAAACAACTATTGATACAAATCTTTACCATTAAACAATCAATATGCAATTAACTTTGAAAAACTTATCATGTTAATAGTTTACTAATTATATTTAATTATCATTACTATCAACCTCATTTTTTCAACATGGTAATTTGCATTCCATGTAACTACAAATCTACAATTAAATCTAATCTCTTTTTTTTTCAATTAACATTTAAATCATTTTCTGACTTTGTTGTTTTTACGCAAATTGTTTTATCAATGATTTTTTTTTCTGCTATCGATTGATTAAAATTCAATTGATTGAATTTATCAACAATTAACGACTATTATCACGAGTTTGTTTGCATGTATTTCTGTCTGTCTGTATGTGTTTTTTTTTGTATTTACCTTAATCAAAACAATCAATTTGATTTGGTAATTTGATTCAATTTAGTAGTTAAAGTGTGAGCTTCCAAATTTGGTTTATATTATATATATATGAATGATGGTGATGATTTAAAACGGTGACAATTTAACCATTAATGATGACGATGATTTAAGTGTTTGTAGTAAACAAACAATGTTCAAGTTTCCTGTGAATATAATAGCAATAAATTAGATGAGTAAATTGTTGCCGAAAATTTAGTTTCCATAGCCAATGAAATTAAAAATGATCCATTGATGATGATCCATGATGCCCCAAAGTGATTAACCTAAATTTCAATTGTGATCGATGTTCGTTTAAATGGTCAGATTAACAGTCAATTTCTGTTACTCTGTTTTCTGGATGGATTGAGTGAGAAAATAAGATAAATTAGTTGATGATAATTTTGATTGTAGTTAAAATGTATTAGTACAATAAATGATTTTCTTACTTTAAGATTGATGGATTACCAATAGAAACCATTGGGAAAAAATTGATCTCTGTTGAAAAAAAAGTATCGTTGTTATTATTATGAGAAATTTACTAGTAATTCTAATACTCATCAAATTTTTACTTCTCTAAGTGGTTACAATTGAATAGTATTGATAGAGAGAGAGAGAGAGAGAGAGAGTTCTTACCTGTTCATTTCTATATTTCTACACACATTCACCATCAAGGTAGATTTAACTTATGACCCGAGAAGAGGTCAAGAGTCCCGTTGCCCTAATTACTGGTTAAACTGATAAAATAGTAAAGTATATTTTGTAATGTATAGTAAATCCATTGGATTTTAAGCTAGCTGGATAACGATTAGTCCACTAAAGATGATTTTAAGATGATGATGACGATGATGAGGAAAAAGAAAGTCGATCATGATAAATGTAATTGAAAAGTTTTCCAGGTAATGTATCAACGATCTGATAGATAGATTGTAAATGTGAATACACGTTATGACCCAAGGTCAGTTTGGAAGAGACCACATACCATTTAGGATAGAAAATGATGATAATCTCGAAGTTTGATCTGTGATGATGAAGAAGATGAAGAAGAAAGAAAAAAAGAAGAAGAAAAAGTTACATAGGGAAAAAGAAAATAACATGAGAAGATATTATTACATAGAGAGAATTTTTCTTCTTCTTCTTCATCTTCATTTGGAAGAGAAGAGAAAAAGGTTAATGAAACAATTTACTAATCATTGCATCTTTTCGGCCTTTCCAATTTGCTAAATTGTGATTCCTCGGTAAATATGAGTCTCCAAATAATCTGTAGGTTGTCAAGAGGAAAGAAAATTAAAATTAATTGTTGAACAATAATGAAAGTGTATTGGTATTTGTTTCTAATATTAACAATTGATGTAACTACTTTTACCTTCATTTGATTGAATTTAGAGGTTGATGATCAAGGTTATCCCTCTAATTGAATCAATTTCAAGTTTCATCTTCTATTTTAATCTTACTGTTGATTATATCAATTTATGTGTTGATGATTTTACTAAATAATTTACTAAATCACCAAAATCAAATTGAATGGTAATAAGAGAGAGAGAAAGTGAATTAAGAAGTATAAAAAAAGATTAACCAACCTCTCGATCATTTATCTTTTACATTAAATTGTTTCCTCATTTGATTAGATTTTGATATTGTTGCCATTTCAATCAAATTTCGATTAACTTTGAGTTACCTCAGTTAATTGAGAATGATGATAATGATGGAGGCGAACATTGAATTGACCATCAATCGTTGAAAAGATAATATTTCTCCATAGTTAATTTCCATTGATTCTCAATCATCACCATAATCTGTTACTATGTTAAAGAATAGAATTGTCATTGAGAATTTTGTTTTTCTTTTCTATTCTCTCTCTCTGGATGAGAGAAAGGTAGTGATCTTGTCATTCTGTCTCTCTCTGGCTCTTCCTCTCTCAGAATATAATCACAAAAGCACAATGACAATAGGAATATGATGATGATAATAACGATGAAATTGTGGTTCGTTGTTATTGTTAAGAAAAACAATTTAATTTTAACCAAATGATGAAGACAAAAACGACGATGACAATACGAGAAGATGATGGAGAGAAATAAAAAAAAATGGAAGAGAAAAAATTTCTTGTCGTGAGCATTTTCTTTCTTTCAAATTTCCATCGTGACAAGTTCACTGGGAAATAAACATAATACAGAGAGAGAGAGAGAGAGAAAAAGAGAAAGAGATAGATTATTATCATGATAATGACGATGGATCTTGTTGATAACACCGAAGAAATAAAAAAGAAAACAAAAATTAAGATTTACCAACCTGTAAAGATGAAATGGATTCCCAATGACAATAACACATGAAAACCCTTGAGTCAGTTACAGATACAAATTCATGAGTTGATTGTCCCAAAATAGATGAAATCTAAATACCACAGCGACCATCATGTAATCATCATAATCATCATCTCACAAGTAAGATGATATGATAGAGACAAAAATCCAAAACCTGGAAAGAAAAATATAGAATAAAAATTAAGATGGAACAACAAGATTATGGTAATAATGGAGAAGAAAAGAAAAAAAAATTTTTCTTCTAAAAAAAGAAAAGGGTTTCAATTCTCATAAAAGAGACACATTGACACACGAGAGACAAAGGAATAATCTCCACATCATTCTGTAGATTTAAGAATAAGATTAATAAGACAATGGAAAAAAAAGAATAGAAAACAATTAGACAAAAAGATTAACAACATTTGAGATTAAACTGATTAGTAACTTTTAACCCTTTCGACTAATCGGCCACCAGAGGGAAGAAGAGTAGTCAAAATGGCGAATCGGTTTGTTTTGTTTTCCAAAATTAAGATTAATTATTAGTCCGTTAAATTGAATTTACTTTTTAATTACGTTTTCTAAATTAATTAAGTTTCTATCAATTAAATAAACAACACTTGTGATACTAATTAGCTGGAAATGTAACTCCAAAGAAAAGTAAATCAACTGATCATCTAATGGTAAGTAAATGAAGAGAGATGATTGTTAATTTCCTATAGAAAATTCAATCAGATTCTGATTTTTTTTTCTTTTCTCTTTAATTAGTTAGCCTTTTTTTTTATTCTTTCTTGATTTTATCTTAATAATTTGAAAAGCTACAAATATTAGCTAGAGAAAGAAAAAGAAAGAGAAAGAGAGAAATATTTTACTAACAATTTAAATGTTATTAGTATTGACTGAGTCTCTTAACAAAATCGTACCAAATGCTTTAACTTGATTACTTTTAACGTTGTTAATTTGCCCTGAAGGCTTGACGTTTCTTTGCCTCTTTACTCTCTCATTTTCTTTTTTTCTTCTAAATACTATTTAGTATCTAGTCCAATGCTGACTGTATGTTTAACCCAATCAAAAAGTTGGACATTTATTACGTATCATTATTATCATGATCTTTTTTCCCTACTGTCTTTTTTTTCCTTTACTTTTCCTTTTTCTCTTTACAGTGAATGTACCTGATTGTGCACCTTGATTAGTGTTGATTGATTTTAAATACTTGATCTTATTTCAATCTTATTATTTTATTGGTAATTGTGGTTCCTTTCATTGGTCTCACTTTCTCTCCTTCCAATTGGATCTCTCTCATTCTCTCTCTCTCTCCTGTGTGTTCAAATTATTACTACTGCTTAGAGATTCCAATTGGATATAAATTGTGTGTTTATTTTATATCATTTTTTCTCTCTCTCTTCCCAATCTCCAGCACTAATCAAATCAACTTGTTTCTCTCTCATTCTCTCTCTCCCAATCAATATAATTACATGGTTTTTGGCTTCATCAAACTGACATCCCCATCATAATCAAAATCATCATCATCATTAATTTTCATCTTCATAAAACATGTTGCTGATTAGGTGACGATCTCATCTCATCTCCTCTCAATTTTGTTTTTCTGGGCGATTTTAATCATGGTTCGCTTTTCTTTTCTTTACTAATAACCGAAAGAGAGAAAAAAAGAAGCTTGATCATCAGAAGCCCATGAAAAAGCATCATCATCATCTTATCTTCTTTCACCAAATAAGAGTTTCAACATGATTAGAATTTAGTGAAAACCTTGAAAGAATCAAGTTTCGTTGGTGAAAATACTCATACACACTTTTTTGTTTTGCATGTTATATGTTCATGTTGTTGTAATTTCGCTGTTGTTAAATCAACAAAAACGCAAACAACGAATTCAAATACACCTTAACATGGAGAAAGAGTGAGAAATTTCATCGTAACTATTCATTGTTTATGCTAAACAATGGGGATAACAAGCAGATCTTGAGATTGTTAATATTACAAATCAACCTGATACTTTTTTTTACCTGTTGATTATTATAATACATTCAAAAACAACTATTGATTGTTTTGAGTGAGAGAAAAAAAAGAAAACAATTAATAATAACAACAGCAACAAATAAGCTACACTTTATATTTACCATAATATAGTTAATTTGGATTGAGAAAAATTAACAAATCGCTCAACATGATGATGAAAGAAATTTAATCTTTAATATGTCAATCAGAATTGATGATGAATGATTTATACCATAGAATAACAATTTCCAACAATTGTCAATCATACATTTCCTCAATTCCCCCAAAACTACAAACGAAAAAAAAAAGAGTTAAACAATCAACTGATTGTAACTCATATTGAATTAACTTAATTGTTCCAATATTATAAGCATTTTCTTCAAGGTATTTGTCCAGGTAAAAGTAAATATTGTTTTCACATTGAATCGATATTCTCAATGGTTACAACAATTTAGATTAATCAAATATCCTTTTCATCCACATGTAAAGAGTAAAAGTAAATGAATATGATTAAGAACTTGATTGTTGATATTATTAACAGAATTGTAATCAACAATCAACCCGAAAAGAAAAGCCTTTCGTTGGGAAGGTCAAACCGACGGTTTCATATAACATTACGTGAATTTATCCAATAATTTAAAAGGAAACAATTTAGTTTCAATAATATTATTAATAGATTGATAATATAATCATATTATTAAATTATAGTGATGGAAGGTTTTTGATTTAGATGAAGAAGATTAAATTGCGAAAAGGCGTTTTCCCTTCCTTCTTTTAACAATTCTATTCTCATTTGATGTCTGAATCTTATTTCTTTTTCCACCAGAATAATATTCAACTTCTAGTCTTATAAATATTACGAATCCATAGTAACAAAGGAGTTAATCATAATACGATAATAATGATAATCATTAAATCGTTGATGATAAAGATATTGACTGTTCAAGGTGAATCATTTTCTCTTTTCCTTCTTGATCATTTTCAGATTGTTCAACTTAATTCATTGATCATTAGGATCAAGTTCAGCCTTTAGTTGTTTCATTTTCTCATTCATTTTTTTTTCTTCTTCGTGATTAACCGTTTAATTTACAGATTATTACCAATGGAGAGAGAGTTTCAGATTAAATCATGATGATAACAGGTTCAATTGAGCCTTGGAACAATTAAGATTGTGATTATAATAATGAAAGCCATTCCATAGGGATCATTGGTCGGTGGTTGTGGTTGTTACACCTTCCTCCTTGATATTGACCTTTTTTTGGGCTGTTGGTTTGATGATTAACTTTAAAAGTCAATTTAGATTAAGGCAAGCTCTGTTAATCAGCTAATTGGTTGATGGTAATTATGATTAGTGAGTGACACTTGAATGACAATATTTAAGAGTCACTTTCTTGATGCTGTTTCCCTTTTTTTTTTTAGTTGATTTTGTTTGTTTGCTTGTTTGGGTTAATATTTGTTGATGGTTTTTTTTAATCTTTCCTTGATCCCGTTAATCTAATCTTGTTAAATCCGTTGACATTTTTGTTTTCTCGTTACTTTAACTCTAAGATTGATTATCCAGAAAATTTGACTTGCGGCCTTAAAGATGCTGATTGTTGATAATTAGTTAACATTAATTGGTTGATTCGTGTGCACCATCAGTCTCATAATTAAATCAAATTTATCCAACCAAGTGAGAGATTCAGAGGTTCAGTTTTCTTGAATTTTTTAAAGATCGAGTAGCCATTTAGAAGATAGTAAATTCCATATGAATGATTATCGTTGATGAACAATTTTGATGCTCAATTGATGTTGATTGTTGTCACTTTTTCGTCTTTGTTTCAATATCCTTTCTTTCAGTTGTCAAGGTTTAGATTCCATGATGATGATTAGAATTCTGAAAAGAGAAGATATAAAACTCTCTCTCTCTCTCTCTCTCTCTGTGAAAGAAAGTTCAATCCATTACATAATGGAAATGAGAGAGCAGGATAACTAATGATACAGAATATTTGATTAAATTCTCGCTGAGTTTGTGAATAATAATGAAAATTCATCTACATGGTAATGATTATATAGAAATTTGTTTTTCTTTTCCAAGTTTATCTCTCAATATTTTTTTTTCTCCTGATTCCACCAAGAACAAACCAATTGGTTCCATATTAATTGACCTCGCGAAGAAATAAAGATCAAACATGATTGACCCAAGATCACATGAGTTTACTTTCTTTTGACCGGAAATATTAAAAGAGAGAAACAAAATTACAATAATAATAATAATTCAGTCTGAATTTACAGGTAAAAACATTACGAACAGCGTGATAATGAATCAAGAGAAAAAAAAAATTCAACTCAAAAGAAAAAAAGAAAAGTGAAAAAAGAGAAACATTAAATCACAATTAATTCTGTGTAACACTTTGAGCAAGAGAAGTAAATTAAAAACATAAATCACTCTGACCATTAATTAATCACCACAAATTGTTGTTTACTACGAAACAATCAACACAATTAATTACATCGAGAAAATTAAATAAACAAGTTAAATCAGCTGAGCAAATTGAGAGGGAAAACAATTGTAACCATGACAACTTGTTATCGTTTGTAAACATTTTTAATTATTGCTTTTAATTGGGAACAGAATAGTTAATTAATATCGTTGATTAGATTCATTCATCAAACCTCAACAGGAATTTGGATTAATTATTGATGTTGAATGATTTGTTTGTGTGTAGAAAGTTAATCCGTTGAAAAGAAATGGATTTGGATTAAGCAAATTAATCTAATTGTTGTTGATATAATTTTTTTATTTTCGATAATTTTTTAAATATTATTTTCGTCATCAATATCCTGTGATTGTCTTGTTAATTGTTGACTGTCAACAAGAGATAATTTAAATCAAGATCATGATAATTAAAGATTAACATAAGATCAGTTATTATCTTAATCCTGTAATTATCTTAATGGTTGATTAATTGTTGCATTGTAATCAAGAAGAAAATTGTTAATTTCGTGCTCTTAAAACAATTAAAATTAATCATAATTTAGATGAAATTAGATAACATTTCATTAACAGGAAATCAAATTAACTCAACAAACCGTGAATAATGATAAATATTGGAGGTTAATTGTAAATCTAAATTGTAACAATTAAGAAAGATGATTCAGATGAGTGATTTACCATTAATTTTGACATTGAACAATTTATGTAACTTCCAGTTACAATTAGACCTAAAAGTTGACAGCAAAAAATAACACAATCAATTGATTGTTAACAATTAGCAAATTTGCTTATGAGGAAAAAGTTTTTAATGAAATTGAAACTTTCCTGAGAGTTAATTGTTTTGACTTACGAAATTTTTAATTATTAGTTAAGTAATTGTTGAGTTAATTGTGATTGATTGCTCATAAACAGCTACAACAAATGAAATTAATTACTTACAATTAGCCAGCAGGATTGTTAATTGTTGATATTATTTAAGCAAAAATGTTAATATTGATTTTCACCTTAACTTTTATCAGGCCAAAATTAGTTAACAATCAACTGATTACCATGATTAACAGTTTTAATTGTTTCAGTTAATTGTTCCCTCTCTCTCAATCATACACCTTATATCTGTTTAATTACAACTAAATTAATCTCAACAATTAATTGAAACAATTTACTGGTAAAACAACAAATGTATTGGCTCAAGTTCAGAATTGGAAACTATTTAAAACAATTAACTTAATGATTAGTTTGATAATAATATTATTATTGTTTCACCTTCTAGAAAACATACTAAATAATCAATCAGTTAATTGTAATTAATCACTGATCAGAAATCAGAGTTTCAAGTGAAGATGTTGTTTAAATCAGAGCTATTAACTTAATTGTTAAGGTTAATTGTGAATAGAAAATGCAAATTGAAGGATTTCATTGAAAATAAAACTTATTAACTTCAAGGTAAATTTATTAATGCGATTAAATTAATTGTGATTAACGTTTTTGGTTAATATTCATGGCGAATACATAATTTAATCAAATAGACGTCATTCCGTTAATTGTTGAAAAGCCCAAGTGTGAGAAATCAAGTTTTTCATTTTGATTGTTCAACAATCAGTTGAACAATTAAATCAGACATAAAGTGAGAGGATGATTTTCAATTGAAATAATATATTAAATTAAAAAAATATCTGCCTACTGATTGTTGATTTAAACTAAATTAAGAAAAATATGATTATCACAATGATAATCAAATATTGTTTGATTGTTGTAGTTAATAAACTGTCCTGTTAATCAAGTTGACAGTTAAATTATTGGCCATCACAATCATCCTTATCATAACAGTTAGTTAATTGTTCTGGTATTTAGCAAGGAAAGTGAAAGTTAAATCATTCAATTTTTAAGGTTATATGTTTAATAACAATCAGTTAATTGTTTAACATTGAACAAATTGTTTGGACAATTTACAAATTGTTGGTGTGACAATCAAATGAAAAAAAAAGACAAATATTAAGGTGATTTACTTTTGGATCACAATCAAGTTAATTGTGTTGATCATTAAGGAATTAAGGAAAACCACAAAAAGTTTTTTCTTCAATCTTTTGACCTTGTCTCTTGTTGATTTTGAACAATTTACTTAATTGTTGGCTAATATTTACATTGAAAGACTGATATTATACCAACAACAACAACAACAATTAAATTGGAATACAATTTAATCAAATTTATTTCCCTCTTAATTGCTGTTTAACCATCAATTAATTTCAATGGTTGGTTAATCATCAGCGTAACGATTTACTAAATTATAACACAGTTTTCATTGTAAATCTAATTGTTATACATTTGGGGGGAAGGGAATTACATACAATTAGTAAATTATTTAAGGAAAATACAATAATTTCCAATGTTAACCAACAATTAAGGGATTAACAATTAACTACCAAGAACCTTTTGATCACGATCTTTGCTTATGATGATTAGTAAACATGGAACCGAAATCAATGAAACAATTTAGACTTTTGATCAAATTAAATTGTGATGATCATTTTTGATTAGATGTAATTAATTACAGAGGCTGTGAGAGTCTATCATCATCAAATTTCAACTCTTCTAAATCAGCCTTAAGGTTAAAACGATTAACAATCAAAGTTGATTGTAAATGGAAAAGTGATCAAAGTTTTCATTATGAATTTAATTTCGTGATCAAATTTCAATCGTTAATCAACTAATAAAACAAGTTAATTGCAAGGAACATTTAAAAAAAAGAGCCAATTGATTGACAGAATGATTATTGATTGTAACTAATTGTAATAACCCTTTGATGGAGATGGTTAATTGTTGTCGTTGATATAAAATTCAAAGTTATTGAACCTTAAGGGTCAACAATTAACTCTCAATCCTTAATCATAATCACACATACAGAGACAAAGTTAACAATGGTTAAGATTATTGACCAGAGTCTTCATGGTGATAGAGTTAATTGTTGTTACCATTTAGAATCGTATTTCTTTTCTAATCAACTGATTAGAATGCTAATCAACTTGATCATAATTTAATATATGAAAAAAAAGGTAAATAGATTAACAATGGAAACAGCAAATCAAAGTCTCGATAAAGAAAAGGATTAACAATGGAAATGATTTTCCTTATTAATAGTAACACCAATGGGAAGATTAGATTAGATTATAACAATTACTTTTGATAATGATAGATTAACAATTCAGATGATCATGGTAATTGTGATAACAATTGATCATCTTATTAATCATAATGATAGATATACGATTGGAAAATCATTTCCTCTATTGATTGTTGTTCAATTTTTCCCAAACCTGGAAGAGGTAAAAGTGAATTACAATTAGAGGATTATTTTTCCCAATTCTTAATTGCGTATTGATTGTTTAACCCTTGTCTTTGATATTCTTAAATTGTTTTCTAATTGTTTGGTAATTCAATTAATTCACAGGTCGTTGGTCAAAGTGATGAAACGATTCGTGATCTGGTTACACCGTTAATCAATTCGTTGGGTATTAATCAACCTTGTCTTCGGTGGGTTAAAAATGAAGCAACAATTAACATCGATGCTAAAGCTTATCATCTGGAAGATGAGGAGATTAAATTGTCAGAGGCTTTAATTAACAAATCTATTGGTAAGAATTAATTGTTTCCTCTTTCTCTTTGGTAGCACAATTAGTTAATTGTGATAACTTTACTTTTGTTTATAAGGTCATGATAATCGATATGGGATTTTGGAGGAAATTTATTTAACTGAAGTTGATTATTCAATTACATTGTCAAGTCTTAAAGATGTTTACATTCAACCATTAAGGTAAGCTAATTGTTAACAATTTAGTTACAATTTAACACCCAAAATGTTAATTGTTTTCATTTTCTTCATTTCTTCAGAACTTCATCTTACCTTAATGATAATGATTTAAAGTTATTATTCAATTGGATTGAATCACTATTATCATTAAGCAGACAATTACAATCAGAGGTAAGTTTAATTATCTTTTTCTTTTTGATTAATTGTTTAGCTAACAATTAACTACAACAATTAATTCATTCATTTCCAAGCCAATTAATATCTACAATCAATTAGAAATCAGTTAATCGCTTTTTCTCTAGCTATCAATGGATTAATTGTAAATTGTAAATTGTAATCATTTTTCAGCTCTTCTCTTGACAATTAACTCTTCAACAATTAACTATGAATTAACCACAATTAACCTGATAATTTCAGAGAAGAGAGAAAGTTGTGAGAATTAAATTGTGATTAAAAGTGAACTAAGTTAATCAAATTAATCACTTTTTTATATGAGTAATAAAATTCTGATTAACTTTTTGATTAACCATCACAATATATTGATGTCTCACACCTTAAATCATTAACTGATTGCTGTTAATTTTGTTGGTTTATTTTTTGATTACTTTTTCTTTTTGCTTTCTTCTTGTCTCAATTGCTTGATTGTAATGAGAAAGTTAATTGTTGATGATTAGATGATGATGATGATGAAGAAAAAAGTTTCAATCAAGATTCAATTGGTTGACTGTATTCAAATTTTTTTGCTTTTTTCTTCAGATTCATCTCATGATTAACCCAAAAGTCACAATTAAAACTTAACCAACAACAACAACAACAATTATGATAACAATTTAAATTAATTGTGTAGGTTTATCAAGTTGATTAAGGATGAAAAGTGAATGTTAACCACGCAAAGGAAAAAGAAAAGTTCTAATATGATTCATGTCGATCTATCATCATGATGATGATTGTCATCATCATCTTCATCAACATGATCACAATTAACTCTGTTAATCATAATCAAATCTTTCAATTCGTAAATGAAAAACTTTCAATCATTTCAACAGATAATTTGTATTCCTAATGATTGAGATCTTGGTGAATATTATTTGAAGAAACATGATTAACTTTATCACTTATTTAATAACAATCAGGAAATTGAATTAATCATTTAAATGAAAATTTTATGTAAATTAATTGTTATTGATCAAAAAGTTTGGAGAGAAACAAAGTTTCAAAGTTTTAAGCGAAAAAAAAAGTTCTAAAAAAACAATTCGACCGCAATTCGGTCAACAACATCTACAAATTAACCAATCAATTTAATTGTAACTTTTTAATTGTCATTAAATTGTTGTATGTCTACTTATCTGTTTCGACTTTGGTTTGAGATTAACAAGCAATTAGTTAATTAGTAATTAGTAATTTTCTCCTTCTTCTGGATTCTATTAGTTTTCCAATTGAAAAGGTTAATTGAATTTTCAATTTTTTTGTTCAAAAAAACGAGCTAACAATTAACTGATTGTAATCTAAATTGATTGCGATGTTTTTTCCAACATTGTCAAGGTTGTCTTCGGATAGTTGATACCTAATTGTTTAGTTAATTTGTCTTTGGTGTGATAATTTAATTCAAAAGGTAATTAAATTAATCTTTCAGATCAATTGAAGTAACAACAACAGCAACAATTAAAGTAAATATTTAAATTTCAAATGATCACCTTGAAATGATTAAGTTGACATTGATTAACTAAATAATATACACCAACTTGATTGCTATTTTTTACCCTAACAATTAACATTTGATTATTGGGTGTAATTGAATATCATATAATAATAATGAAAGACAAATTTGATTACAATTAACCGTTAATCAGATCCTTAACCTTTGCTCATCTAAATAGTTAATTGTTTACACACTGAGAAATGTTTCACAATTAAGTTCCTGGTTTAAATTGGTAACAATTAAAAGGTTGTTACAATTGTAACAAATTAATGTAAATTTATCAGGAAATCAAATGTATGATTATAATCATTTAATTTAGTAACTAATTTAAATAATCAATTTAAGTGTTGACTTTAAATTACTAAGGATATTTAATCATAATCAAATTGTTGATTTTATGGTTTTCGTTATACTATTTGATTGTTTTCAAAGTTAAATCACCGTAAACTTAATTGTTAGTTTAAAAAAATTATCATTAAATGAATCATTCTAATTGTATCATTATGGTGATTAAGTTAATTCGTTACTTATATATAGCTAATTACTGATTCTAATCATTATTGTATTGAAACAATTGAACTTGATGATTGTTGATCTTGAACTTTTCAGAAATTAACACGAATATGAAAACGAAATTAGTTCTAGAACTAAATTACTCGAATGAAAATCGAATCTTAAACACAATTAAGTTAATCTTAATTCGTGGAAAGTCTAAAAATTTGATTTAATTGCTATACAATTAAAAGTTCTGCTGTAGTTGATTAAGTTTCTTCTTTGATTCAGTTAATAGGAATCACGATTTTTAATCGAACTTGTTTATCAAGTTCTAACAAATATATTTCTATGGTTGATGATTAGCTTTTTTATGGAATGTCAAAGTTAATTGTTGACTAATTGTTCTGGTTACACTTAATTGTATTCCAGTTATTGAGAGGTACTCGAGTTGATTTACAATACTATCAATGAAGAGGATCAATGGTCAAGAGGGTTTGAGGAGCCTTTGGATAGCCAATTGGATTAGATTTAATTGCATTGATAGTTAATCATTTATGGACAATTTAAAGCCCAAAACCTAATAAATTTAAATCGTAACAATTAAAATCTTTACTTTTTTGATAAATCATTTGCTGAGCTGATCTAATCAAATGGCAATATCAAAAAAACGGAAGCTACAATCAAGCAACAATTAAGGTGTGTTCAGATTGTTGATTAATTTTGATTAAATATTTATGATAAATTGTTGAAAAATTTTTAATGATCAAGTGAAAATAATGACAATTAAGACAGAAAATCTAATTAATAGTTAATTTTGTGACCTGATTGTCTCAAATATGGCAATAATAATGGTCACTAATCACGAAAATCAATAATAAAATGAGAGATAATTAATAATCAATAATCAGTTGAAATTAATCAATTTCTTACTCTTTAAACTCAAAGTATCAACAACTTTGATTGCGATGATATTGAGGATTGAGGTGATTGTGGTTAACAGTTTTAATTGTTTAAATTGTTTTCGCAATAAAATCAACAACAAGTAAAAGCTTTAAACAAGTAACATCAATAAAGAAAAAGTTAATTGTAATTAACTTGTTGATAGCGATATTGAGGAGCGAAAGCAAAAGAAAAAATCAACAAACATAATCAACTGAATTAACCTCAACAATCAGGTCATTTGGTGATGATTATAATTGCAATCAATATCCAATAATCAAGAATATTAAATAACCTTCAATTTATTAATTGATTTAAAAGACCATCATGATCAAGTTAATTATAATACTAATTGTCATCATCAAAATAATAATACAAGAGTTAATTTCCTTTAGTTAAGCTTAATTGTGAGCAAAGTTAATCCAATGATTGGAAACGAAAAATTGACCAAAACAATTTTGTTCATCCCTGTTTTCAATTAACTTAATTGTGACCATAAATTATTGAAGATAAATCATAATTAATACAACAATTTAACCTTGAAGGCATAAAATGATTTAACTACAATCGAAAGAGAAAAGTTTTTGAAAAGTTTCCCAAACATCGTAACGAGAACGTTGAACATTACGAACGAAAAATTTTCTCATTTTTTAGTTTTAATTTTCGTTGGAAACAAATGAAAAACTTTTCGTTTATCATTTAGTTAATTGTTGATCGTTGATAATTTGACCAAATCATGTTTTTAGCTTTTATTTTTTAGCAACAGCAACAATTAACTTTGTTGATTAAAGTTCGTAACGTGTTTTAATAATAGGGAAATGGAAAAATTGTTCACCAACAATTAATTGATTTTCTCCTGATTGTTGGTTAGCCTCTTGGTGAATTTGAGTCTTTTATTTATTTTTTAAATCGTGGAAACTGATTAATTATTTTATTGATTGTTTGAATGAATGGATAATTAAGATGATTATCACACAATCACAATTAACTTTTTCCTCTCCTAACCAACAATGACAATCTAACCCTGACCAATTGTTTACTTACCAGATAAATGGCAACAATTTATAAATTGTTAACCATGAAAACGATTGTATTAATAATGATCATACAGTAAATTACCACAATTGGGTTGATTAAGATTTCATTGGAGATGTGAATACAACTTGAGATAATGATCAAATTAACAACAATTTAAGGTTCCTCAGATAATATAACCTTAAATTGTTTGGGTAATCCGATATCAATATCAATTTAACTCAAGATTGATAACAATTTAATTTGATTATCACTTACATATTAATAGTTAATAATTTTGAATGAATAGTAATGAGATGAATAAAAAAAAATGATTATTATTACATCTAATTGTTGTTGATTGTTGATGATTAACATTAAAGATTAAATTGTTTCTTCAACTCTTTGTTATTATTTGATTATCTCAAGTGTTGACTTGATTGCTTTAGGCTAATAATGATTATAATAGTCATTAGTGATTAACTTAATAAGAAAGTAAAAAATTTACTGATTAACTTTATTTTCATTGTATTTATAACTTGTAATTCTGGTTGACCATGAATTAAATTGTTGGTTTAAATTGCATTTGCTGTTAATGAGATATGTTAGTTAATGATGATCAAAATGATGATATTGATGAAACTGGTTCTGTCATCATCTGTATTGATTAACCTTGAAATGATAATCATTTGATGTTTAATCATTTGATTTATTAATTTCCAACCGATATAATTTATTGATTGATATTTAAGTTTCAAGAAAGGAAAGATTTTTGTATTTTTTTACTGCAAAATGGAGGATGAAGATGACAGAAGATGCTGAGGATGATGATGATAAGGGCTGGAGGATAAAGGATTTAGGATCATCTGGTTTACCTATGTAATCAATTAGTTGCAATTGGAAAGCAATTTAATTGCAATTAGTAGTAATCTCTAGTCTTACAATCAATTCAATGACCATCGATACTCACATTTGCTCATGAAATAAGAATCACTTTATTCTGATACGGAAGCTGATGATTATTACCATCATTATGTTTATCATTAGTCGATGATTAGGTTGATAATGATTATAATTACGATTATGATTATGACCTAAATTTATTTATGTTTATCAATTAAATCATCTTCTTAATCATAAACGATGATCATACAACAATGACAACACCTACAATCTCAAGATTCAATCATCAATTGTTATCATCATCATCATGTTAATAACAATTATCATTGAATATGATTATTGTGTAATTATGAGACAACAATTAGTGAATTACAATCAAGTAACATTAAGATAATTTAGTATCAAATAGATTAGGAAATTAAAAGGGAGTAAAACTTGTTACCATGTTCCAAAAAAAAATTAGTTGATTGTTGGAAAAGTTTAACAATAAAGATCATCATGTTAATCACAATCATAACTTTAAATCATCAATTTCTGAGGCCAGAAAACTCATAAAGAAAAGATAAAGTTAATAATTCGAACTGAATTAACCTATTAGAACTTTGTTTTTTCATCATAAGTTAAGGAAATCTCAGAATTCATGGTAAGGCCCCATGAGTTTATATTCCAGGTTGATGATGATTTTATTGTTAGATTATGATCATCATGAAGGTAGTTTTCATCCTTAGATTTTAATGATGAGATAACTTCAAGAGTTTCTTTGAACTTTATCTCCTACTCAATTCAATGAAGTCAATGAATTGTTCATGATAATTTCATCATCTTCCATCATGATCTCCATGGCAAAAAGATGACAATTTTGTCTCACCAAATGAGTTGCACTGAATATGTTTGAATTGAGAAAGACAAAGTTCTGAGTGTTGTTTCCAGGTCTACCTATTACCTGTTGAGGTATTCAAGATTAAGTTTGCAGCCCTTTTAATTTGACAGAAGATTTAATTACAATGATAATCATAATAAATCACGAAGCAAATTTAATCATGAAAACTAATTTAAATGAAACCTCTTGGCTATAAAGGGTTCGTTTCACAGTTTAAATGTAAATGATTAATTTACATAGTGATTAAGGTCATCGTTCAGTTTGTTTTCTTTCATATTCCTTGTTAACTTATCATTCTCATTTTAATTGTAAACTTTGTAACCTCCAGTAAACTAACAATTAACATGCAAGTTAACGTTAAAGTTGCAAATGCAAATTCTTAGATTTAATTCATACTTACAGTGCTAATTGTTGTTCTTTATCAAAGAAAAGTGTAATGATAATATTTCGATAATGAAAGACTTTTAGACATTTGATTTGCTTACTAAAAACTATTTCCATGATTAAATATTGGAAAATTAGTTTAATTTAATTGTTATTTTTTCTGTTGGACTTTTTGAGCTTAGAAAAGTTTGTTTATCATAAGAGAGATGGAGACACTTTCTCTTTGAAAAAATTAAACAACTAAAAGTTTTCATTTCAAACAACAAATTCATTCAACATTTATTACCGAGATTGTACATTCATAATGTTTATAGTCTAAATTAAGCGGATAAATGTGCAATCAATTGATGACAAGTCCATTGTTTTGGCTCAAATTGATTTGTTTGTTGATGTTAATCCAAAATTTTCCACTTTGATGTTCAAAGTGGTAAAGTGCTAGTGTTAAGCTAAGTGATTAGATAGAATAGTACATTAATTACTTTTCAATCATTCAACCTGATTAAAGATTAGAATTCAGTTTAGTTGATAAACATTGTATTTATTTGCTTAAACTAATGTTGAATTAATTATAATCTAATTTATAACCAATTGATCAAACCTAATCGTGGCTCTTAATCATTTAATTGGATTGAGTTTTGTTAGATTTTTAGAGGACAATCAACATTTTGTACATTGGAAAATCGCGAAGTTTAAGAAAAAATACAATTAATATCCAGATTATTTATTTAGAATTTATTTATGATTTAATTATCCAAACCAGTGGATAAAAGTTCATATCACTAGTTTAACAAAAAAGCATATCGTTAGAGTCGATGAGTTGATTTCCCTCTTTGTCGTCAAGGTGAATTTACCTAAGACACCTTGACCAAAATACCTGACCTCTACCTACTGTATATAAAGTTAACCCTCACCTTTATATAACCTTTGTACCATTTGCTTACATCTTTATTAAAGTTATTTCCCTATTCTAGTAAGATCCGTTTTATCCTCAAACAGATCTAATTGTTAAACGTTATGGGGATAAATTTCAACGATTACTTATACATGTATTTCAACTGTTATTCATTATAATTTGTATAAGCTCATGAACTCTAATGACTCTGATTATATTGTGAGAGCAATGTCAAGTTAAACGACAATTTAGAGTTACGACACTACCAATTAGCTTTACAATTGCAAAGGAAATCAAGAAATTCAGGAGAAGATGCAGCAATTAATGCTAATAGCTATTTATTTATTACTTATCTATTTATGGAAATAAATTCATTGGATAATCTGAAAAATTCAATCAGATTTAATCGTACACATATCAGTTATTGTAGTTTAAAAGGAAACAATTTATAGATTATAATCCAATTGTTACTCAATCATCTGCCTGTTCTCCAGTTAATATTTGTTATTGCATATTCTTCCATTGGTCTCACTGCTGTTTGATTATTTCTCTATCTTGGATTCACCCACATTGGGCCTATTTTCGCTTGTTCATATACTGGTCCTTGTTGAATGCTTGAAAGCTCAACATTCTCAAAAGTTGCATTCGAAGTAGCTTGTGCTAGAGCTGTGCGGCATTGAGCTAAATCTCTACGAAGCGAATCTATTTCGACCAGTAATGAATACACATTTAGCTCTAAAAGTGAAGAAAAAATGATCAGAACATTTGCGAATTTTCAATAGAGATCAAAGGCAAAAGAATTAATTTCAATATTTACTCTATGAAACCTAGAAAATAAGTTAGCATTCATGAACAATAATATGACCTAAAAAGTTATTCAATATAACAGATTAGCCAAGATTTGTTGATCTATTCGATGATTGTCCATGAATTCTGATTGTTTTTAAATCTTTTCCAGGAGATTACTATATTGAGCACTTTTTTGTAACTTTGAAACCACATTCTCTATTCTTTTCATACAATTAATATTATTGAATAATCATTTGAAGCATTTGCCTTTGGTAACAACTCGAAAAACTAATCATCCCAATAATTACAATTGAGGCAAAAAGTTCCAAAGTTTTTCTTACGAACCCTTTACTGTAGTTGATTCCGTAACTGTTGCTGTTGTTTCCGCTTCTGTTTCCGTAATTGTTGTCATAGTTGTTTGCGTAGTTGCTTCCGTAGTTATTTCCATAGCGATTTCCATAGCTAATATATCCATAACTGGTTCTTTAGGTGCTAATTCTGCTTTCACATATTGGCGAATTTTTCTCGAAGGAGGAAGTTGAGCACTTCTGAACCATTCAATGAATAGTGGATTGATTAGCTCAGCATAACATTGATTAGAACGATCTGAAGATATACTCGCAATCACAATTATATTGATTAAGATGAATATTCCAATTGGAGAGACAATAGTTACACTATAAGGAGTAGAAAACATTGTAAGTTTAAATGAAACTGATTAACAATTAACTTTACAAATGATTGTGGCATTTATACTCAATGTTGATGAAAATTGAAGTTCTAATCAGCAAGTGACTAAAACCAGTTGATCAAACAATCTGCAATTACCTCAATGAATTCTTAATAACGTATTGTCAGGGATGATTGAGATTATCAAGTAAACCAAATGATTATAATCATTGGTTATGTGAATGATTAAAAACCCATTGGAAAATTAATTTTACATCCATTCCCATTGTTTGTTTCCAATTTACTTGAATCAATTTAGTTTTTAACATTAAGGACCATTATGGGTTCATATTCACCAACCGTAATTAAAACTGAATCCAGGTTAAAATCAGCTGATCACAGCTTTTAATTACGGTTGGTGAATATGGGCCTAAATCTAGAATTAGAATAAGATTTCAATTAGAATCAGCTTAATTTTATTGAGATACTTGATGATTGAGAATAATCAATTAAATTCAAGTTGAAATCAGACTTATCTATCAAACTTTAAATAATTTTATGATCAAAATTTGTTACTATTAAACTGTTTCTTAGCTTCAACAATCAAATTTTCAAACTAATAACTTAATAAGTAATAAGCTTGATTGCCTGTACCAATAAACGTGTGAACTTCACTTTGTGAAGTGATTATTTTGACTGTTGAATTTTGAGTTTAGAAAAGTTTATTGATCATAAGAGAGATGGAGACACTTTCTCTTTGAAAAAATTAAACAACTAAAAGTTTTCATTTTCAACATTTATTACAAAGATTGTATCAAAATAGGAATCTATTTATTGAAATAAAGTTCGTTGAATAATCTACAAAACTCGATTAGATTTAATCATACTCATATCAATTCTTGTAGTTTTATTTGGAAACCATTTATTCTGATGGACTATTATACAATGAGCTCGGCGTCACTTCATCACCTGATTTTATATTACTCGTTTCTTGCTGCTCCATTTGTGTTATTTTACTCACTGCTTTTTCATCAATTGGCCACAGTTGATTAGCCGACATTTGGCCTATTTTCGGTTGTCGAGCTACTCATCCTAGTTGATTGTCTAAATTTTCAACATTCTTAAAAGTTGCATTCGGAGTAGCTTATGCTAGAGCTGTGCGGCATTGAGCTAATCCTCTACGAAGCGAATTTATTTCGACCAGTAATGAATTCACATTTAGTTCTAAAAGTGAAGAAAAAAAATATTAGAACTTTTTCGAATTCTCAATTGAGGCCAAAGGCAAAAGAATGAATTTCAATATTTACTCTATGAAAACTAGAAAATAAGTTTGCACCTCTGAACAATAATATAACCAAGGAACATGACCAAAAAGTTATACAATACAGCAAATTGATCAAGATTAATTGACCTATTCGATGGTTACCCATGAATTCTGATTGTTTTTAAATCTTTTCCAGGAGATTACTTTATTGAGCACTTTTTTGTAACTTTGAAACCATATTCTACTCGTTTCATACAATTAATATTATTGGATAATAATTTAGATCATTTGCCTTTGGACCAAAACAGCTCAAAAAACTATAATCGCCCCAATAATTACATTAATATACGCTTGAGGCAAAAAATTTCTAAGGTTTTTCTTACGAACCATTTTCCATAGAGAAATCTCAGACTGGATTCGTGGGTTCAGATACTTCACGGTCATCATGCCGAATTCTTCTCGAAGGAGTAAGTTGATCACTTCTGAACCACTCAATGAATAGTGGATTAATTAGCTCAGCATAACATTGATTAGAACGATATGAAGATATACTCGCAATCACAATTATATTGATTAAGATGAATGTTCCGATTGAAGAGAAATGATTATAATCATTACCTGTGTGATTGATTAAAACCATTGGAAAATTAATTTCACAGCCATTTCCATTCGTTTGTTTACAATTTACATTTGTACTTAAATCAATTTAGTTTCAAAATTAAATCTATTGTTTAATCAGATTAAGAATTAGAGTAAGATAACTATCACTATCACTAACAATTATTACAATACAACAACAATTTTATTGAGTTACTTGATGATTGAGAATAATCAATTAAATTCAAGTTGAAACTAGATTTATATCAAACTGAATTGAGTTAATTAATAATTTTCTGATCAAAATTTGTTACTATTAAACTGTTTCTTAGCTTCAACAATCAAATTTTCAAACTAATAAGCTTGATTGTCTTTCACCATAAAACTTGATTAACTTGAAAGCTTAATCAGCTGATTTAAACATAAAATTACCCGAGTGATTGTATTAATTTACCAAATTAAAAGGGTTATCATAATTAACCATTATAAATCATCCAGAATATTATTGATTGTTGATTACAATTAACACTGATAACTCAATTAAAAAAAGTTTACCTTGTTAATATGAATATGAAAGTTAACCAGTTAAGCAAAATGAGATTATCAATTTAAATTAATTGGGATATTTAAATTTTAATTGTGTTAAATTGGGTTTGAAACAAAATAAGGAAACTTTGATGACAGAAAACAAGTTAATTGTTGTAAATTAATTGCTCTTGTTTAAGAGTTAATTTTAATAAATTTTTGAATCATGATTAGTGCTTGACATTGACCTGGTAAAGGTTAAATTGTGTCTGTGATTAACCTACAATTAAAAGTATTTCAATTGTTGTTGTAAAATTAATCAATACAATCAATTGTTTTTAGTATCAAATGTCTGATGATGTATTAATACTTGCTACTGGATTAAAAATTGATTAAATTGTTGATCCTTTTGTTGTGAACAAATTGATTTCAAATTAAATTGTGATTAAGGGTGAGGCTAATGATTAAAGTTAAATCACCAAATTTGAATTACAATTGATTAGCAAACCCTAAAAGCTGACAATCAAAAATTGATGACAAAATGTAATCAACCAGAAAAAAAAGTGCATTGATTATTACAATTTGTAAACAATTAACAGATTAATAGTTGATCAGGTTTCTAAATTGTTCTTGTTTTCCTGTGATTAACTGATTATCAATCTTTTACTCTAATTGTTGATTAATGAAAATTCATACCAAAAGTTTAATCAGTAATTGGAAATGATGATTAGTGAACAAACTTATTACTTCCAATTTCTTAATTCTTGTTTAATCATTTACAGTTTGTTGAGCTTTAATTTTACGATGATTACGATTAAATCATAACGATTATTACTATTACTATGATGATGATGATCAAGATAATTAACATAATCAAGATGATGATTAACATTAGATTGAAAGTCAAGGTCAAATTTGTTTGAGAAATTAATTGTTGATATATCAAGTTTGCAATTCTAATCATGAGTAAAAAAATTGAAATACACTTAAAATAAATCATATTACAAGTTAATCAGTAACAATTTAAAGTTTCATATCAAAATCTAAGTAAGAAAAAAAATGAAAAGTTAATTAACCAGATTAAGTGGTTTTAATTAAATCAACTGTAATCAAAGATAATCTTGTAATAACTCAAAGTCTTAACCCTTATAATTTTTTTCATCATCTAAAAATTTAAATTGTTGTAGCGGTTGGAAAGTTAATTAGAGTTTCTCTCATTAAATTGTAACAATTTACTAATCAAATTGATTATAACGACAAGTAAATCAGGGTAATCGGGACAAACATATGAAAGTTAATTTAGTTGTAATCATTTGCGTGATTCTAATCATTTTTAATTCAAATGGTTTCAAGAGAAAACAAAATTTAATTCACTAAAACGCCAACGCAATTAAAGTGCATAATTTACAACAATTTAACTATTGAATATACATTAACCTTTAAATCAACTTTGAGGTGACAATTAAATTGAAAGAAAAGCTTAATCAACATAATAAATTTAAAACCGAATATTTAATCAGATTGAATTAGATTTTCTATTCGTATCAAAAGAAGAAAAACTCAATGACAATCGTATTTGTTAATCAATTAATTCGCCCCAATTATTGATTAAAATTAAGCCCACAAGAGTAATTAACATGTGAATCAATCAATCGATAGTATATTTTGTGTTGATTGTAACAATTAAGTCATTAAGTAATGACCGAAAAGAAAAAAGTTCCAAGACTAAATCAAGAAGTTCTTATAAACTTTATTTTGCCGATTTTCCCTTGATTCTAATTGATTAATTGTTGGGAGTTTACACAATTTGAGAGAGAATATAAAAGAAAATGATTATCATGAAAGTATTTCATGTAAGTGATAAATAATCATAATTCAGGGTATATATTTCATGAGAGCAATTACTTAATCAACATATTAAAGTAACTAAATCAAGATAAAGTGTAAAACTTATCAGGTCAAGTTATTAAAATGAAACTTGTTTACCTAGCAAATGATTGATTTCATGTAAAGGGCTTGACAGTTTTAATTGTGAACATTAAATATATTAATTAATCTAATATTGGAATGATTAAACATCATTAATGAGAGAAAAATAAACAGAGATGAAGTTACCAATCAATTACTTTACATGTACATCGCTGTATTAATTGTTAAAAGGATAAACTTTCCCTAAATAATTAAGGAATATAATTAAAACTAGACCAAGAAAGAGGCATTTAATTGTTAAAATATATTTTAATTTAACAAAATTGAATTTGATGGTTGACAAAATGTTGATTAACTTAATGTCACAGATACAAAAATGACCTCTTCCTCTATTGATCTGAGTTAACTATTTCAATAGATTTATGTGTTCAACAATGATCAAGATGAGAAAAATACATTATATTAATACTATTAATAATTTTATAACACTTTTCTTCAGTAATTAAGGTGTCAGGGTTTGAATTGAATATTTATTCAGTTGAGAATAGAAATATTTATCGTTGAATTGGAACAGAACATGGAAAATTATTTGCTGACCTTAAGCCTCGAATGCAGCCTCAATGTCTGCTCGTACTGTTGTTACATCATCACTTAAAGTTGCATAGTCTTCAGGTACACTAGGTAGCATTGAAATACCATCACCAGCTTCAGCTGAAGCTACGTCTATTGGCATTAATCCTTTTTCGGCAGGAACAGCAATAGGTTGCATTTCCAATGTCAATTTCATCTCTCTTTTAGTTACGTTTAATTCATCCATCTTGAACAGTCTGATGAGAATCGGATCAACTTCCTTCTTACCATAGCACTGATTAGATTGATCTGAACTTAGACTCATAATCACCATGAAATATACGAAGATAAGTGTTCCAATTGAAGAAACAAAAGCGTTTTTGAGGTTTGACAACATGTTGATTAACTTAATGTCACAGATACAAAAATTATCTCTTCCTCTATTGATCTGAGTTGACTATTTCAATAGATTTATGTGTTGAACAATGATCAAGATGAGAAAAATAAATTTAAGTATATCCTAATTTCTAAGCGATTGATCAAACAATAGTGATATTGATATTCTAGATTATTTATTTGGTTAAATGTTCAATCTACATGAGGCTTTAAATATTATCTAAAGAGTATCGATAATATTAAACGGAAATTGTATCACTCAAATGATGCTAGATAACTAGAGGTCGAAGATGAAATAAAAACAATTGGAAAGACAACAAATTCTGGTTATGAGTTACTCAGGATCAGGGAATAATTAATTGTTTTTCAATATTATGCTGATTATCGTGTCAATTTTTCTCATAATGAAAGTTGACTGTTTAAATTGAACATTGTTATCATGTTACTCATGATTGACATGACTGTCTTTGACTAATTCATTTATTTAGCTTTGAAATTCTGTTAATTGTTTCTCTTTAATCAATATAACCCACGACATTTAAATAACACCAATAGACTGTCACCATAGTTTCTGGGTATATTGATGGTAAAATCTTGTAATTAATCAATTTAACTGAGTTTCATCAATTATCATTGAGTCTTAATCAATGGTTACAATCAAACCTCTCACCCTAAATTAAGGGTCTTAATAAAATGAAGATAATTATCGCCTCTTTGATAACAATTTAAGTTCACTTTATTCTGGTGATTAAATACTTTATTAAGTCACCTGATTACTATCAAGACTATTTGATCTTATCATATTGGTTTGGTTAATTGTTGTCTTCTTAGAGTAATTAATTTTCTAAGGTTTTAATTAATAGTCGATGAATTAAATCAAGGTAGAAAAAAATCTTTACTTTTCATTTGCTTTGATTCAGTTTCTTCAACAATGGATCATGTTAATCTGATCTTTGCCTCTCCCACATCATATGTCATGATGATGATGATCAAAAGATTCAAATGATGATGAGGAAAACGATTAATATAAAGGTATCTTTAAGAAATTCAGTGGCAAGAATATTGAATCTTCCTAACTCTCTCTCTCTCTCTCTCTCTCTCTCTCTCTCTCTCTCTCTCTCTCTCTCTCTCTCCTCCCTCTTCTTATATTCAAGTCCATTGTTCTTGATGGTGATTGGGAAGATGAAGTGAAGATAAAAATGATGATAAGGAAGATGAGGATGAGTTGATTTCTTTTCCCTGTCAAAGTGACCTCACCCATTAAAAAGGCCTAACAAACATTTCCAGTGATTGTTACAGAAATTATTACAATCATCATCATCTTTGAGTCTTTCATTCATCAATGAATGGATGATGAAGATGAAGATGAAGATGAAGATACTACAAAATTACATTGAGTAAACGAGCTAAATATAAACAAAATCAGGTCACTTGGAAAGGTCATCAAATAGATTTGATAATCAATTGGTCAATCCTTTTAAATCAACCAGATCAAAAGTGTTCAATTGTTTTTTTCAAATCAAGTTAATTTAATTGGCTTAGGAAATGATAATATATATTTTTCATCATCAATTTACTAATTGTTACCTGAAATTATTACTAATTTTTTTGTTTTTGTTTCTTCATTTTAATTTCCAGGTAAAATCAATCCTCAAAGGCTGGGAAACTGATAAATTGATCAACGGTAAGAGTTAATTGTCCGATAATTGGTTCATTTTATTATCTCACTTAGAAAATATTATCAACCTGACAATCAATTAATTGTTATTGTCCCTTTTTCATATTTTTAACAACATTTAACAACAATCAAAATCATCAATTTCCGTGATTTAACAAAAAAAATGGTTGATTGTTAATAATAATCAGTCTGATTTGAATTATTTCCAGTCCTGAATATGATTAAGGAAATTGTTGAAAGCATAACAATTGCATTTTATTAACCATTATGATTAACTATTGATTGTTATTGTTAAACGCTGATTGTGATCAACAACAACAACAAATTGTTGTACATTAAAAGAAGTGAAAGTTAATCATTACAATTTAAATTATTTCAATCACAATCATAAATTGTTCAGTCTTCTTCCTAGTAAGAGAGAGAGAGTCACAATTAGTATCTAATATTAAAACAGAATTAACAACAATTAAGAAATAGTTTACAGTCTACCAACAATTAGTAAACTGTAATTACGATGGTGATGAAAGTTAATCATAACCAGTTAAATAATAATAATATAATCAAATGAAACATAATCAAGGAAATTCAAATGTAAAACCAGAAATTGATCAACAACAATTAGCGTAACAATTAACGTTGACAGTCAATAACATGATTTAACATTAATCAAATGAACTTATCTAAATACATTGAATACCTGAGATTGATTCAATTCAATAAACAAAGTTAATTGTAATTACAATTTAGTAAAATTAATGATTAATTTGATGACGATCATCATCAATTAACTAAATTTCATTAAGTCAATGTCATTAATTTTTGTTAGTTTTTTTTTCCTCAAACTGATTAACTTGTAATTGATTTTGTAGGACAGTGATGATGATCTCGGTCAATGAGTTGATCATCATTATCATCCTCATCACCATAATGATGAGGATGAAAATGATGATCAACCAAAGATGAATATAAGATTTGTTATTATTCAATAGGCTTTGAAACTATTTCTTTATATTGGAACCAGTTTTTTGACCTGAATCATTTAGTTGATGGTGATAATCAACATGAAGATAATGATGATGATGATGAATCAGCTCTCTCTCTCACTCACTCATTCACTCATTCATTGATAGACTCTCTCTCTCTCTCCTTTCTATCTTCCACCTCTCAATCTTTCTCCTTTGACTCTCACACTTTTTCACCATCATTTTTTTATCTACTCAACTTTCATAATCTTCATTTTCATCCTCATCCTCATCTTCACTTCATCAACCGTTACTTTTGCTTGTGAACAATTTAACTCTCTCAATTATTTATCCATCTTGTTAATTTAATATCTCACATATACTAATTGTTGTCATTCATCAATCATTTGCATCATCGTCTTCATCTTCATCTTCATCCTTAACTAACTCTCTCTCTCTCTCTCTCTCTGTGTTTGTTAATTGTGCTTAGTATTTATGGATTTTATAACTTCCAATCATTAGATATCAATAGTTTCTCATCATATCCAATCAGTTAATTGCAACAATTAACAAAGTGTTAGTTTGTTTTTCGTGACAATAAATTATTAAAACTTGTGACAATCTAATCGTGTCTGTATTATTATCTGTTAAGTGTTATAACTTAATTACCCATCTAATCAGTTCACTTAATCAACCATTGGGAATCATAAATTTTACAACAATTAACTTCAATCTTCAAGAGTAGTTCATTATTATTAACTAATCAACAGCTGATTCCTGGTAAGTTGATTACAGTTGTATGTAATATATAAATTGTAATTAAAAAAACTTCAAACTATTAGATTGTTATAAAAATAGATTGAGACAAACTTTTCGCAATTCTAATCAGTTTGTAAAGATGAGAAATCATCAGAAATTGATTAGAACCAAATTAAGGGTAATAGTTAGTTAACTGATTAACTGAACTTCCAGGTTAACATGAATGAGTGTAGAAAAAATCAAATAATTAGAGCAAAAAGAAGGAAAAGTTTCTCGAAAGAAAGAAGAAGAAAAAAACTTAAGTTTCTCTATCTCCATCCTCATCCTCATCTTCCCTTTTCTTTTTCTTTTACCGCTAATCCGTTAGAACTTCAGAATCAGAATCAGAATCAATTGCGTGACTAATTTCGCCAGAAATTCAAAAAAAAAGACCATCGTCATTTCATGTGTCATCTTAATCACCCTAATCCAAATGATGATCATCTTAATCCACCTTAATCATAATCATCTTCAACCCTGAAAAGCAAAACACAAACCTGAGAGTTAATTAGAAAGTTGATTTTTTGTTTGTTACTTTTAAATTGAGTTGATTATTGGGATGAATTTAAATTTTCATTGACCTTGAAAATTTTACACAATTTGAGTAACAATTTACTTAATCATTTTTTAATTTTTCTTTTAAATTTAAACCAGTGAAACCATTTCTTAATTGTGCTGTAATCAAATCTAAAGTAAAACATAATCAACGATAATTTTTTTTTCTCTTCACAAAGATTTAATTAATCACACAACATGTCAGCTCGATATTATTTATATTATTTATATAAATGGTGACATTTTAAACATAAATCATCATCAAATTTAATTATAATCAAAGAAGAAGAAGCAAAAATCTCATTCATCAACAATCAACAATCATAATCAAAGATTAATAATCAAACATGTTTAATTCATAAATATGAATATAAATGATTAGCATCATAATATCATTAACTTGACATTGATAATTATGATATTAAAACAATTAACCATTACAATTATCAAAAGCCAATAACAGCAATTAAATAACCATTGATTAACCTTAATCTTAAATTGTTTACAAAGTGTCAACCCTTTTGATTCCAAATACTTGACAATCAACTGATCAGCTGATTTCATATTTTCCTCATTTAATTTATCAGCAAATTTTCCGGTAAATCAAATTTAATTACATCAACTACTGTTTCAGAAAAGTTAATTGTTCAATTCATTAGCTCATTAATCGCTGAATCATTTACCGTTTTAAGTTCCTGATTGTTATTATTAGTATTATATGATTTACTAAATTAGTATAAACCTTGACCTTGGTTAAAAAGTTTCATTCAAACACTCATATATACTTAATTGTTAATTGTTATCATTTAGGTGATGATGATTAGTGATATTGATTTGAAACTCATTATTATTTATTACCTGAGTTTTTACCGGTTAAAAAAGGATGTATATTGATATTGTTTTGTTTTTTTTGTTTATTATTTACAATTGATTTACTAATGATGATGATGATGATTGACTGATTTTTTTGCATGTATTGAGTGATGATAGAGGTTTAATCATCATTAGATAATCATTATCATCATTGATTGTTAGCCTAGTTTACAAGAAAATGGTTTAACCTATTAAATTGTTAAAGTAAAAAGGTAACAAGAGATTAGGAGAGAGAGAGACTTGGATGATATTGATGAAGATGAAGATGATCAATTGATGAGGATAAAAAAAAGGAAGATCAAGTTTGTTTGTAAGAGTGAGAGAGAATTTTTTTTCATTCATTTGAATGGACGATTGAAAGTAGCCTTTAGCAATTATAGAATCATCATCATTATCATTACAGCTGATTATCTGCTTAAGACACTGGTGAAAATTAAGATGATGATGATGATGATTATTATTATTATTATTATTATTCTGAGGGATTGATCATCAAGTGTGATCTTTTTTTCTCATCATTATTATTAACCTAATTTGAATTGATCAGGAACAAGAATCAGTTAATTTGAATACAAGGTAATAAACATTGAGATTGTTTAGTTACCTGAACTTTTTATTTTCTTCTTATTTTTTTCTTCTTCTTTATCGATCATTAAAATTAATTGATTCAATTTTCATGGTAATTGTTTTATCGCACATTTTATGTTTTATTATTTTTAGAGAATTAAATTTAAATTTGAAAAGTTGATCAACCTGAAAATTACCATTGGAAGAGAAAACAAAAACAATGAAAAGAAAAAACTTTTTTTTTAAATTCTAAAAGTTCGTGAGTTTAATTGTCCATCCATCAGATGGCGACACTAGAGGAGAAAATTTTCTCGACAAAAATAACAATTAACTTAATTGTGATCGCAGATGCTGATTAATTGTAATCGAATAATTTATCAATTCTAAATTGTTATTGTAATCTAATTTTCTTTCATTATCAATTCTAATCAAAGGTTAGAATCAAAATGAGAAACTTTCACCTGTTTTAATTTAGAGATTGTAAAGTTGATCGAAATGTGATTTATATTATAATAAATATAATAGGAAAAGAAATTAAATTTCAAATAATATAATCAAATTAAGGGTCAATGTTTTTGTTATTGTGAAAATCATTTTCTCCAATAAATAATAATAATTTTAATTGTAATTAAGTTGATCAGTTTATTGACCTAATTGTTGTTTTTAAATGGTAGCAAAATAAGACAGACCAAACAATTGTGAGTGTTTTTTTGTTAAACTTTAATAAATCATATCAATGAGTTAATTGTAACAAATATAACAATCAAAACAAACCATTGAAAAGAGAGGGAGAAATTTGATTCAAGTTAAAATCAAATGATTAGGATTAAAGTTATTAATCTGATGAATTGTAGGTCGGAAGTGATGAGGATGCTGAAGATGATGAGGATGATAAGGATCATCTTGATCATCTTCGCACTTTTAATTCCTTTTATTTTTAATAATAATTTTTTCTTCTTCTCCACAAGTTCAATATCATTAATCATTTAATTCTTGATTGTTGATGATCATTATTGACCTACAACTGAATTAAATGGTATATAATATAAAATATAAGAAGATAATCTTGACAATCAGTTGATGATACACCTAATAAGTAATCAACCTTGTTAATTACATAACATTTAATTCATCACATTAATTATAATCCTCATATTATTGATCGGCTAATCATCGTCTTCAAGGTTAATCTGTTTTCACCATTTTCCTTTGATATTTATTATTACTAAATAATAGAGAAAAAGTTTCACAATTAGTTAATCTAAATTAACAGTTAATTGATTCAATCAAATTTTACTTTTTCCCTTTTCTAGGTCAATGATATTAGAAAGCAAAAGACAAATTTGATATTAATGATGATCAACATAATTATCAGGCCAGTTAATTGTTTGGTTTCCAAACATGATTAATATCAAATTAGATTGATCATCACAAGGGAATTGCCCTAATTTTTAATTATCACCTTTATCATTTGAATGTTAATCAACATACTAACTGATTGGCACAGTTTCCAATCAATATATTTCCCATTGGATATCAATCAATTGTAATTAAGTTAATTGTTCAAAGTTATAGTTGATCAATTACAATTGATTACATTTTTTTTTATACTTTTAACAATCAAATTATTCACCTTGAACTTCAAGCTATTTAAATTTGATTACAATTAATTAACAACTAACCTCCTCCTCCTCCTCAATTATTACCCTTTATTTTGTTACAACAATTTATTAATCACTTAGACAATTGATTCATTGATTAGTTTTGATTGTTGATTGAAAAAAAAATATATTTAGTTTTTCATGTTAATCAAATAATTTTTTTTTCTGCTTGTGAGTATTTAAAATGATCAACCTTTTTTCATCAACTGCAACAAAAGACTTTGATTAACAGCAATTTAATTTAATTCAATGTCATTAATGACACAGTTAATACACAATCAGTGGTTTTCAGCTACTTAATTTAATCAAATTAATCAATAATTTGTTTGATTAACTATAAAAACTTTATCAATTGTGTTACTGTTATCAAAAGTTCAACGAAATAATAATAATAATGAAAAAAAAAGTTTTCCAATTTTTCAACTTGATTAACAATTTTACTTAATCGTTATTAAATTATTAACGATTACCTGACCATTAGAAAAAGGTTTTAATTAACAAGATTAAATTGTTTATCAGTTGATTGAACTTTTTTTCATTCACGATCTTGATTTTTAATCTAATTCTCAATCAATTTCTCATCTAATATCACAGGTAATTTGTATCCGAATCAATTCTGGACTGAATACGATCGATATATTAAAACTTTTCCAATAATTTGGAGGTAAGTTGATCAAATAATTAAATCTAATTACAATTAAAACTTGAATTGAACAGTTTGTTTTCATTAATATTTGAAAATAAATTCAACTCAATGTCTCAATTCAGTTACTCCATCTATCGGAGTTGAACAAGACTAAAAGTGAAAAAAAAGTTTTCTAAAGTTTTTGTTTTTCGTTGATTAATTTGATTTAATTAACAGTTACTTTGAGGCCAAGTGTGAACAATTTGACTTGTTAAGTGCATGTCGAAGCTACCAAGGTCCAGTTTTACATTCGATTGACCAATTATTTTATTTACCGGTAAGTTGGCGATTTCCTTTAATTGTATTTAGTTAATCTCTAAAATTTAATCTAATCTGAAATTGTCTAAATTAATTTATTTAAATCCTTTGAAATTTGTGGTAATTGTCTCAATTAAAGGCTGATTTAATTGTTAATGAAAGTAGATTAACCTTGATTTCAATGTTACATTTGCTTTTCCATTGTTTGGTTGAATACTATTAATATTTACATTTTGATGATTTGAATGAAAAAAAAAGTTTCTAATTGTTGATTCAGTGTGAATTATATTTCTCGAGGTAATTGTAAACAATTAGATTACAATTACTTACGATTTCCTTGTTCCTAGATGATGATAATAACGATAATCTTGATCATAAGAATAGGTTTGAGCCAGAAAAACCAGAAAAACAAAGTTTAATCAGTTAAATTACTTTGATAATGATAATAATACAACAATGATAATAATGATCACCTTAATTGTAGCGGTTAATTTGGTTACCATTTAAGAAACAATGATAAATATAATCCCGAAGGATAATCAGTAGCAACAATTAACCTTGTCATTGGAGGAAACCATTTCCTTAGACCTTGTCTACAATTAAGATGAATACAAAAACCAACAATCAAATGTTCACAATTAACTAAACAACGATTAACAATTTGACAAACCATTGAACAAAACAAAAGTAGGTAACTGTATGTTCATCATGGTCAATCATCTTGACCAATATATGAATTAATTTATATATTAAAAATAGACACAATCATTGGGATAAAATTTAATATTTACCATTTAATCCGATTGGTTAATCATTAATCAGGTTAAATTGTTGTGTATATTTGTAATAAGATATATATATATATAAATATAAATATAAAACAATCAGCAATATATTTAAACCTTAACTAGTAAGTTGAATGGTCTTAATCACAATCTACATGTATAAGATGATATTTAATTTAATAGCTGATTGTTTGTAAGGCCAACTATTTATTTTGATCATAATCAACAACCAACAACCAGTAGGCAACAATCAAATCAAACCTTCAATTGAATCAGCCCGGATAACCAACAAATCTGTTATTATTATTATCGTTATTAATATATTATCATCATGATTAATATCATCTCAATACATTCATGATAATCATCATGTTATTATCATGAAATAAAGTTATCAGGAAAATTATTAGTAAACAAATATAACCAGAAAAAGGGAAAAAATAATATTTTTTTCACAAACTTCTGAGTTTCAATATCGTCCAGTTTTAAATCATCAACTTTGAATTATCTTCATCATCACCAAGTAATAATTATAATCATCATTGTTATCATGAAGATGATGATGCTGATGATTATTATTATTATGAAGCTTTGGTACTTTTGGCCTTGTTTATAAATAATCACCAACTTATTATTATATCGAAATGAAAAGTTTAGATTAACGGGATATCGATAAGCATGATGATAATGATGATGATTTATATGAATTTAACTTTCAACTGGACATTAACTCTTGTCCATCTTCATCTTGTTATCTTTTTTTTCATTTGTTTACCTTTTCATTCAATTGTTTGTGGTATTTGTAACTGTGATAAGTTATCAGGTAAATGGGTAAAGTAAAGGTTACAACTAATACAATCTAAGATGATGATGATGAGCTTTTCATCTTCCTTGTCATCCGTGACTTCTTGGATCAGTGAAAGGCTCATAATCATCTTTATCATCATTATCATCTTGTTTCTTATTACCCATCAATCCGGATATATGATGAGACCGTGACGATAATGTGACGATGACAAAAAAAAATTCAGTAATAGAAGATGAAGAGAAAAAAGTTTGTCATTGATGAAGATGATGATGATAATGAAGACAGAAATTGTTTTTAAAAGCCAAAATAAAATACTGATGATGAAGATGAGGATGAAGATAAAGATGATATCCGTTCAACTACGGACATTACTTGACCCGTAAGTTACCGTTAGTCGTAATATCAGTTAGCAATAAAGGGAAAGAAAAAAAAAGAGATTGAGTTAAATATTTTAGCTCTAATATGGATTAAAAGGTTTTCGCTTGTGAATGTGATTAAATTGTGATTAAATTGTTGCTAATCAACTTGAAACTTTTTTGCTTTTTTTGCAGAAAAATTCATTGATTAAATTGTCACTAGCTACTAATTTAGGACATTTTCGCCTCAAACAATTTACTAATCAATCACTTTTGTACATGTTCACAGATTAGGTTTCCATGCAAACTTTAGTCTCTCTCATCAGTTGATTAACTGATTATTTTCAATTTCCTAGATGGATTAAGATTAGATTAACAAAATTAACATACCAAATATTAATATATGATATATTTTGATTAAGAAATCCAATCAATAAAAAAAAATGGAACCGTTGACTTGACCAATGGTCACTTAAACTTCAACAATCAACCATATAATCAATTTGTATATCAGTTTATGAGTTGATTGTTGTCCAATAAAATTTGTTGATTGTTATTAAACTATTTCAATATTAAATGAATTGATTACTTTCATTGATTATGAAGGGAAAAAAAGTTGATTCATTTTTTTTTTACCTGGAAAAGTGAATGAGGTAAGAAAACAAGATTAAGATGGAGATGAAGGATGAGGATGATAAAGGGAGGAGATGATGATGATAACATGAAGAAAGGGGGAAAAGGTGTACACAGGTAGATAGGGAAGGGGAAGATGATATTTTGAGAGAGCAACAAGTAAGAGGATTAGGAAGATAAGGGGGGAAATAAGGAGGTGGAAGGTGGGAGGAGGAGGTGATATTATTATTATTTTTTTCGGTTCCAATTTGAAGTAACATTTGAATCTCAATGTTGACCTGAAATTAATAACAAACAGTTAATAGCAATTTATTGTTGTTTAGTAAATTGTTTCAGTTTATTTCTTAATGTTTAACTTTTGATTGTTATCATAATTGTTTAAATTTTGTGTACTTTTGTTTCATTATTAACTCTCTCTTGCATCCTCATCACAATTATCACCATAATCGTAATCATCGTCATCATGATGTGTCAATGAAAGATTGACTTGCAATTTGATTTGATTGTTTTCTTGTTGTGTTGATCAAGTGTCTAAGTGTGTTGATATTATATTAGCTCAACAATTGGATTAACATTAATTGTTAAGGATACGAAGTTTGTGTTTCTATTGTAAAGAGTAACTATAGTTGGAGAAATGTCCAAACTCGAGATCAGTAAAACTTCAAGTAGTTTATCATCTAACTCAATGGTCAATGGTTCGAACTCAAGTTCTAATAAAAGTTCGAGTCCATCTCGATGGACCAAAATGTTTCTATCAAAATCATATTCAACTCCTTTTCTTAAATCATCCTCATCACATTCATTGTCCATCTCTTGTGACCAATTGGATCTTCTTAAAGTATCAAAGGCTCCATCAGTTAATTCAATTGCATCAACATCATCACAAGCAATTAACGTATGTTGATATTAATCATTTTCCACACTAATTAATTGTGTCCATTAAATTTTCGCAATTCAATCAATCGGTTTAGATTATGATTCTGATTTGAAGAATCAAAATGACAAACATTTCCCTTATTATTAGTTGATTAACTTTCTAAATCATTTAAGTCCATCAATGATTAACTTTTACTGACCAAAGGCTATTTTGTAAAGAGAGAAAGAGTTTAAATTATCAACAATGATTAGTTAATTTACTTTTACCTTGATTGTTTTGTACACTTTTGATTAGATGATTAGTTGATTAACCAAAACTGATCAATATCTGTATTGATTAAGTGAAGGGAAAAGTAAAAAAGTTTCAACAATCATAATAGCAAATAAATACAATTAACTGAGCAATTTGATTGTTATCATCAACTAATAACTAATCATAACAATCAACAATCATTTGAAGGTCAACAATCAACGGATTTACTGATTACAGGGTTATAATAATACATATAAAACTAATTATAAAGTTATCGAAATGAGAAAAACAATTTAAATCATAATGATAATACTCTTAATTGTAACAATTAATATTGGTACAGTAAATCAAGTTGAAAATTAGTCCAATCAAACAGTTTCAACCCAAACAATTTGTTAATTGTCAACATGAACTAAATTGTTTACTATTGGATTATATTGAAAGGATGTCCGGATAACCAGTATTCATCGTCATCATTTAGACAAATACAGTTATCACCTTAATCCAATTTAGTAACAACTTTAATTGGATTAAGCCTTAAATGGGAACAAGATTAGATTGTGAAAAAATTTGATCGCCAGCAATTAAGGCAAGAAAATTAACAACGATTCAAAAGTAAAATCAAATATCGTCTTCATTTATATTTAATCATTTGAATATCAGAATCAGAATCAGAATCAGAAATCAATCATTTCCTTGAGGTTGGAAAAAAAAATCATTCATCTTGATATTATTGCTACCAAATGATTTATATGTATACAAGTATATAAGAGATTAGATTAATTAACCTAAATTCATGATTAATTAAAGATGAATGTGATGAAATAATCAACAAACAATAAGAAAAAAATCAAATAATTAACAATCAACTGAATATTATATTATATAAATAACAATAATGTTCAAGGTTCCAGAAATGGAGCTAAAATCCCGTGAGAATGAAAATTTTTGAAGAAAAAAAAATTCAACGATAATATAAATGAATCTTCATGGTGAATATGAAGTTTTTTATGATCGTTTTATTCATTGAATTCATTCATTGAGTGATTTTCAACATTTCTGAGAATCACAATTTTTGAAAAGGTGCCAAGATTTTGGACACAATCATAACGCTTTTTTTTGTTACTACCAATCAGCTAAATGGTTAACGGTAAAAAAAATCCACCACTAACACAATGATAATCATGAGGTGTAAGAGATGATCATCAGAATGAAGATGATGATGGAAAAAAAGAAAGGAGAGAAAGAGAAGAAAAAAAATTTTCATTCTCATTGGCGCGTAGAAAAATTTCCGTGCCGATCCGGTTA